GTCAGGATGGTACCACCTTTGCCTCAATTTGAGCCAGGAAAAACCCTGTACACGAAAAACTCGGAGTGACGAATTATAATCAGAAATAAGGGTAATGCTTCCTTTTAAAGTCCCATAATTTCCAAGTACTTACACGGTAATTACAAAGTCAGTTATGTGTATAATTGTGTAATTACAGTGTATAATTGTAATAAAGTGTAATTATTGTGTAAAACAGTATTTACTAGGAATGATTAATAAAAAAAAGAATTGAACCTGAGTTACATGGTAATAACTGTTTAAGAACTCAGAAACAATAATACACTTTAACTTACTATGTAATTACCATGTAAGTACTAGTTAATTAGGGGACTGTACAAGGAAGCGTTGCCAAAATAATTAAATATGGGTTTTCAGTGAGCCACACCTTTAAGAGAACATCAGCTTGAATTTTAGATGAACTCTTTTTAGGTATGTACTCATGGCCCTTACATTTCTCACAGTAATAACATGCCAAGGCTGCTACCTCACCTCTTTGTTATCCCTCTAAGAGCCCACAGCTCTAACAGCCTCACTTTGAGAAGAGACGGCTGTGCGTTGCCCATTTGCTATGCTTCTTCTGGCTTTTGATGGATCAAAGAGCCTGTTAGGGAGCCAGAAGAGACAGGGCCACTGCAGCAAAACAAAACGCTAAGAGAGCAAGATGACAGAGGGCTGGCAACAGGAGATGGAGGGAAGAGCATGAGGAAGAGGTTGGTGTGGAGAGATGGAGGAGCGGGTGAAGAAGGTTGAGGCTGTAGTTTCACCAGCTGGATCCACCTGAGAAGCAGCAGCACGGGAGTTGCAGGAAGGGAATGCAAAAGTAAAAGTACAGAAATGTCATTTTGGTCGTGACTGATGTTATCAAACTTGTCTTAACCCTCCCACTGTCTTTATGGGTGAGACCCCGCGAGGAAAGTTGGCCATTGAGCAGGACTGATGGTTTATCCCTTGAGGTCCACGTGGCAGGGGTGAGATGGTGCTCACTCCTGGACCCAAGGGATGAACCATCAACCCTGCTCAATGGTCAACTTTCCTCGCAGGGTCACACCCATTAGGACAGTGGAAGGGTTAAATTACCGCTGTGTTCAAACCATGGATGTAATTTGGGGTGGGGGGGTGGGGAGACATGCCTCCCCCACTTTTTCCAAAGTCAAACTTTGACCCCTGCACTTCTACCATCCGAAAACAATATTACGCTATGTTAAATTGACACTGGTTGAGCTCTAGGACCAAGTGGAAAACAACCGTTTGTGTAGAAGCCTGTTTCCCATTAGAGCATACTGTAAAGATCCCCCCCCCCCCCCCCCCCCGTGTCCCCCCCACTTCTAAAGTGAAAATTATGTCCATGGTTCAAACATGCAGCCAAAACTTGAATCCAGTGCAAGTCGGAACAAAAGCAGGTAAAAAAAAATACCTCAAAGCAATAACAGAAGGTGGGTCCAAATTAGGATCCCTCCTGTTTGTCAAACAGGAAGTAGCTTGTTGGGAATAGATTAGAAGAGAAAATCATGAGAGGAAAAGGGAAGGAAATATTGTAATCACTAAATGACATGGAAAGGAAGAGTTGCGATTAGGAACAAATTCCTCATGTCGAGCTAGAAAAAAAAGATGAAGATTACGAGAAAGGAAGAAGCAAAATTTTTTTTTAAATAAAACAGTAGTGAAGAAAGATATGAAGAAAAATGTGAGGAAAGTCAAAGAAAAGCAGCAAAAGTCACATGAATGTATTTCAACATGGACGTGAAGAAAGATAAGAGGGATGAAGGGGGGGGTACTAAAAGATAAAAGAAGAGACAAGGTAAGCGAGACGTGTAGCAAAGGGGATGAAAAGAGGAGAAGTGGGTGGAGGTCAGCTAGCAGGAAGCTTGTGCGTAAGTGTTGGCCGGCGGAGATGGAATCTGGTACGGTGTGGTGTGCTGTTTCTGGCTCGGCAGCCCCCTCAGGAGGCCTCTCAGCTGGCCACTGTGAGAGAGGGAGGAAGAGAAAGACGTGAAGAAGGAAAATAGGAAGAAACTAGCAAATAAAAGAAAACAATCAACAACAGGTCTTGTTCCCAATTTTCAAACTGCAGCAATTGAAAGAAAAGCGAGCCGTGGCAAACCTATCCAATGGTGGAGAAATACAACAGCGTGAAGGATGAGATTCAAAAATCAGAGCCCCGTGGCTACGGAAAAGATTAATTCATCCTCAGAGTGACTCACACAGGAACATTGTCAAGTCTGCCATGTGATAGTCGCCATTTATTCTGAACCTTCTTCCTGCATTTCCAGTCAAACGCGACGCGTCTCAGTTTAGCTCTTTATCAGTTCCTCTGCCTTCCTGTTGATGTCTGAACTTACGCAGAAGAAGCAGAAAGAAGCTGACCCTGGTGCAAAAGAAAGAAAAGCTTAGTGCAGACTGACTTCAGGCTGACACACCCCCCTCCCAGGGTCAAGGTCTCTGCAACTTCCCTTTTGAGCACAATGAAACATAGACAAGCCCTTGGCCTTTTCCTGTATCCAAATAAACAGCCCGAAAAGGGCTTTTTGGCAGAAGCACGGCCATGCATGTGTGTGTCCGTTTGTGTGTTACGTAAGCATGACTGTGTCTGTCAGGCCTGCTCTGGTTTCCTATGGTTCCAGTTCATTGACCCGGGGCCAGAGCAGACATGGGAATCGGACGTGTCGTTCTGTGTGTGTCTGTGTGTGTTTGTGTCTCGCTGCTCCAGCTGTGCAGCCCAATATTTGGCTTCATGTTTGCACACACTTATCATTTTGCAAACAGCCTCTTGAGCATGATTTGTACTTGTGTTTATTTGGTAGTAGAACCCATCTAAGTGGTTTCATAACAACAACTGTTAATAGACGTATTTACATGGAAAAGGCATTGCCTTGACACACACCAGTGTGCTCCAGAAAACCGCCGATGTTGTGATGTTTTCTAAAGAACTGTCACCTCGTAGTACTGGAACGCTAGTACAATGACAGTAAAAACGTCTTGAAGAAGGGATAGGCGAATATTGAAACACCATATTTGCATGTTTGTGTTGACAACTATAGGTCACAGCTTTTTAGAAACAGTATCATATCTATAAGTATCTAGGTTTCTTGTTCATGAGAGAAAGAGAGTGTGAGATCGATAAGCGGATTGGTTCTGCGTCTGCAGTGATGCGGGCACTGTACCCAGGGGTGGACTGGCCTATCTGGCATTCTGGCACTGTCCTGGTGGGCCTCTTGGCCAAGTGGGCCACTTGCCCAGCTTGGGCCGTGACAAACCAAGCCCCCGTCTCACATGCGGTTATAGAGACAAGTCCGCGAGCGGCACACACAGCACCCCGTCCCTCCCCCCACATTTGGCGGGATAGACGAGTCGCGAGCAGCAACCTCCCCTGCCGAGGGCCGACGGTACATAAAAATGCCAGGGCCAAATTTTGGTCCCAGTCCATCCCTGGGTGTGTGGTGTGATTTGGGAGGGGCTCGGAGTAGACCCGCTGCTCTTCCACATCAAGAGGAGCCAGTTGAGGTGGCTCGGGCATCTAGTTAAGGTGCCTCCTGGATGCCTCCCTGGTGAGGTTTTCCAGGCACATCCAACCGGAAGGAGACCCAAAGGAAGATGCAGAACTTGGTGGAGAGACGATGTTTCTAGGCTGGCCAGGGAACGCCTTAGGATTCCCCTGGAGGAGCTGGCCCAAGTGGCTGGGTAGAGGAAAGTCTGGACCTCCCAGCCTAGACTGCTGCCTCCGTGACCTGACCCTGGATAAGCAAACGAAAATGGATGGAAAATATGATGCGTAACCATGGCAACAAGCTGGTTTACAATCGGGAGCAGCTGATTAACATTGGAAAGGCTGAAATAATACCTCAACTGAAGCCACAAATCCCAAATGATCTAAAACGCAAGAAGCGTGGGTGCAGAGCGGGAGCAAAACGGAGACAGAGAAGGAGGAAATTCAAACCATCTCTTCCATCGATCATAATGGGCAATGTGAGATCACTGGCCAACAAGATGGAGGAACTCCAAGCCCTTTCAAGGACTCAGCCAGAGTTTCGGCAGTTTCAGAACCGCTGGAGGAGATAATGCAAAGAAGGATTCTCCAGAGAATCAAGAAAATGACGGACAACCCTGAGCATTCTCTTCACAAGACTGTCCGACAACGGAAGAGTGTCTTCAGTCAGAGGCTTCTTCAGTTTCGCTGCAACACTGACCGCTACTGGAGATCCTTCCTGCCAACAGCCATTGTAATATACAACAACTCTTTGAGCTACTACAGCAATCAATTTCCCTCTGGGATTAATAAAGTATTTTTGGATTGGATTTGGATTGGATTGGATATCATAACCCCAACTCAGTGTTTACCCAGAATGCAGAGTAGCAACGTTTCCAACTTTAGCAGGAACGTTCAAAAGACACCCTGTTAATTAATATGTTGGCATCTTAATAATTTGATGTGCAATTTGTTAGCATGTAAGAAAACATTGAGTTTGATCAGTGAAACTTGCAGCTTTTTTTTTGCTTTAAAGGTATAAATAGATTAGTTATTGTTCGGTAGAAAAGGTCAGGGTGACCTTTAGCTCAGAGGTCAGAAGCTGCCTCCTATCAAACACAACAGATGTTTCTTTATGAGCCACCAGTCCATGACATCAGCTTTTATAATATTTTAACTTTTTGCAAAATAGCTTCCATTTATAATTCTTTTATGGCCTCCTCGGCTTATTTCAAGTCTCCTCTCAAAATTCAATTTGAATTAAAACTCTGTTTTATTTATTTTTTGTCATTTTATTTTATATTATTGTGATTTTTCTTTATTATTTGAATTAGTTACCAAGACACAGAAAACGGCTAATCTACTTGCCCTAATCTTATTTTTGCAAAAATGCCTTTATTGTCCAGCTGTGACCCTTCAGTGTCTCGAAGCTAAAAGGGTGCCGTTTGTTTGGTTTTTGTGTATTTGTGTGTGTGATTCGGTCCAGTTTTAACATGTGGATGTTTTTGTGTTCTAGGTGGCCTCTGCATGCATCCCAGCTCCCTCCACTGATCTGGTATGTCTCCTTCATTTACTTCCTCATTTCCTGAAGAGTATTCTTTTTACAAGACAAGTTTTGCCACTACATCTATCCACAGCTATGAAGTATGACTGCCCCGAAACCACGATATGGTTTCCTCTGAGCTGAATTCCTTCTGGGAAGCCAAGCCCTGAAATCAGTTGGAGATCAGTTCATTTCTGGAGCACAGCAGAAGTTCAGCTTAGAGGAAAAAACATGGCTGACAGTGTTGTAGGAAATAGTTGTGTTTGTCCATTAGGGGTTCTGTTTGTTTCATTAACTCTCCTTTCCTTCTGCTCTTTTCCCTTTTCTTCCTTTGCCCCACTTCCCATCATCGCCTCTTCCTCACTTCCAGCAACGCAGAGGGACAGCTCCTTCTCGACACATCCAGCACATGGTGAGTATCCTTTAACCTCCAAGTGTATTTCACTTTCATGCTTTTTTCCTCAAAAAGCTGAGTTTTCACTATAGGAGTTCTGTCTGATTTCTGGGAGGGGAAAAAGTGACTGGGAGATATGGGGTGTTTCTCAATGTCAAGGCACCTGGCCTTGCAAGGCGATGTCTTGCGAGGCCAGGCGCCTTGCTTACGAGGACACTGTCCTTCCTTGGTCAAAGAAAACGGTTAAATGGAACAGACTTGCATCACGTGACCGCGGCTTCCACGGCGGTCACGTAACGTCACGTGACACGGGAGATAACGTTATATTTTGCACGTATTAGTTTCAATATAAATATATAACAAGCCATTTACTTTTTAAATTGTGTATATGTTTATTAAATTAAATATATAAGCGAGTTACTACCCGCTAGCCACCAAAGCTGCAACTACTAAGCAACTAACCAACCGTTGATAACTTCTTTGGATCTAAAAAAAAAACATTTTTAATTTGCTGACTTATTTTTAAACTTGAAAATTGTCCCCAAAGTAGCTGCCGGCTTCTGATCCATTGTCTCTTTGAAAATACTGCGGTGTATTCTGGGTAATGTTTGACCAAGGCTAGGCTACAAGACACCTCCTATGTATCCTTGCTCAGCTGGCTAAACGGCTAACAAATGACACACGCCTCGTTAGAACATGAACATTGGAACACATCTTGACGGCTCCTGATGACGAATCTCCTAGGCAACTGGGGCGGGGCTAAGACATCAAGGCAAGGTTCCTTGGCTTTGAGAAACACCCACGATGTCTTGGCCCTCTAAGACAGGTCTCCAATAAAATAAATGTTTTTAAACTTCAGAGTATCGCAACCATGTCGGCAGTGAGTGATGTCACTGTCCAGCGCTAAAAGGCGTCCACAGACTTTTAAAAGTTTAATTCTATCAAAGTATGCCATAATTTGATCCATTCGAACATGAGGAGAGTGGCCGTATGAGGGAAAATGCAGCGTTCAATGACCAGAAGAAGCACCGTTATCTATGGTACTCTGTAGAAAACTACAAAGCATTCATCACGGCGTGGAGAGATTTCTGACGTATTTTCCTGCACTGGGAGTTTAGTAACTACGATTTTAACCCTCCCACTGTCTTTATGGTTGACCCCGTGAGGACAGTTGACCATTGAGCAGGATTGATGGTTTATCCCTTGAGGTCCACATGGCAGGGGTGAGGTGGTGCTCACTCCTCACCCCTGCCACATGGACCCAAGTGATAAATCATCAACCCTGCTCCATGGGCAACTTTCCTCGCGGGGTCACACCCATTAGGACAGTGGGAGGGTTAAAGCAGCATTAATGCTACTTAACTCTTCCATTTTTACTAATGCCAGTCGCTTGTTGACATCTGCTGATATGGTGAGTTATAACCAATCGGCGTGAGTTAACCACAAGTCCCACCCAGAGACTCTAAGGGTCTTTTTCGAGTACATACTTAAATGCGGGTCCCTGAAATGGCCCAGAAAGTGCTCCTTTGGGACCGACCTGGTGAAATGGAGACATGCGCATGCCACGAGGGTCCGGTAAAAACACCTGGAAGTTGGGAAAAGGGTCTACTGTTTCTTCTATTGTGTCAAAAAACAAAAATCCAAATCTTTGGAAACACTTTGCATCACTGATGTCAATTTTTCAGAAACTAAGCTGATCGTATTTGTTGGAAACAGCCTTGTAATTGTTAATATGGAGATTGCACACAGATGCCACCGACGAGAAAATCTGAGCAAAAGTGTACATAAAGATTATAAAGTTGCATGTTCTGGGAACCTGTTTGGTCAGGGGACATATACGTTTGCTAGTTCAACAGCTGATGGGAAGAATGCATGGTACTGGAGTTGGGAGCCATTTTTATCTCTTGCTTAAGGGTCCACTTCTACCGACAATCATTTCAATGCGTTAAATAGTTTGAGATGTTTCTTTCATACGTTTTCTAATTTCTGGCACAATCTGGAACCAGTTTTTGGTGGCATTGTGCCGCTGATATCCAAACAGACACATGAAAGAAGGAGCTGGAGCCAAAAGTTAATCTTTGACCTGATGGTCATCAAGAAATAAGAGTGGACAGATAAGATGACTAGGCAGCTCCTCAGGACTGTCACCATTATGTCAGCTGCTAAATATGTACTCTGATTAAGTGGAAAACTAATATTGTTGTTTTCTCTACAGGGCTCTACCAAGTCTCTGAACTACACCAAACAGAGAAACACTCTACCGCGGTAAAGTCCTCTTTTACTCTTCTATGTGCTCCACGTTGTAATACACAACGCCGGGGATTTTCATGTTTAACATTTCTCTGCTGTCAGCTCTAATCTGCTTCCTTTACATCCGTTCCTCAGATTAATGACCTTCAGTCTTTTGTTCTCAGAGAAGGTTCCGTGTCACAAATGTGACGGAGGACATGAATGTGATCCGACCAGCGTGTTACACAGAGGATCCGGTTTCTCTTTCCACCACTTTCTACTCTGCTGTCTGTTTCTGTCCGTCACACTCAGTGGGAGGTTTCACATCGAGCTGCGACATGCAAAGCTGTAGAAGTGCTCCACATTTTCCATGTTTGTGTGCAATTATTGAATCACACTTTTTTTTTAAGTCCCTAAAAGTGGAATAAGACAACCCGGTTGACCATTTAACATATTTGTTTGTGGTATTATTGGTTAAATATGGTTTAACTAGGATTTAACAAGGTGAACTTAAAGCTGTTAACTAAGGCTGTATGACCACGTGGCACGGTGGCACAGGAGTTAAGTGCTCACCCCGTAATCGGAAGGTTGCAGGTTCGAGCCCCGCTCAGTCTGTCGCTGTCGTTGTGTCCTTGGGCAAGACACTTAACCCACGCTGCCTGCTGGTGGTGGTCGGAGGGACCGGTGGCGCCAGTGCTCGGCAAGGCCCCAGGGCAGCTGTGGCTATATCGTAGCTCATCCCCACCTGTGTGTGAATGGATGAATGACTGATTGTATTGTAAAGCGCCTTGGGGGTTCCAGGACTATAGAAGGCGTTATATCAAATACAGGCCATTTACCATACAGGCCATTTACGTCATATAAAACTTTTGCACTAAGTTTTGTATGTGACTGGTTCAAATGGGGCATGTGACGTACTTTAGGACTTTTTGCGCAAGTTTTTTCTCACAATTTAGCCACAAATTGTCTTTATATCTGAATACCCATCTACTCGTCCATTTTATTCTAATCATCCAGGGTCAGGTTGCATAAAAAGAGTTCCAGGAGGGAAGCCCAGACACCCCTCTCCACAGCTCCCTCTGGGGGATTCCCAGGATGCATTGAGTTTTGGGTCTTCCTAGGGGTGTCCTCTAAGTGGGAGATGCCTGGAAAACCCCCAGAGGAAGATGACCGAGAGGACTTGCTGAATCATTTCTGCGAGTAGTGTCTCTACTCAAAGCACCACTGCTTAAGTCAAGTTCGGTTTCTCATAGATCGGTCATGATTCACATCTCATGGCCATTTCTGTGGGCTGGAAGGTAGATGGGCCAGTAAACAGAGAGCTTTGTGTTATGACTCAGCACCTTCTCCAATACGACAGATCAAAGACGAAGCCTCAATCCGTCCATCTCCACCTCCATTCCACCATCGCTTACTTGTTGAATGAGCTTCCAGCTCACTCTTGATTCTCTCTTCCCGCATTTTGTCCCTCGTTTCTCCAGGAGCTTTAGCATGGATCGCGTGATGGAGCGCAACTATGACTTTGACCTGACGTACATCACCGAGAGGATCATTTCCGTCTTCTTCCCTCCAAAACTGGAGGAGCAAAGATACCGGCTTAACCTGAAAGAGGTGGCCGCCATGCTCAAATCCAAACATCAGGACAAGTTTCTGGTGAGGGAACATCTGCCACAAAATACACTCAGCAACCCAAAAATGAGAAGTTATTATTCATATCTGAAATATGACAGTGATACATTTTTCATTTCAGCTCCTTAATCTCTCAGAACGACGCCATGACATCACTCGACTGAACCCAAAGGTCAAACTAGTTCTCATCACATGACGACGCAGACCAGTCTAATCCTTTCAGATCACAGCTCCATTTGTCTTCTCTCCAACAGGTCCATGACTTTGGCTGGCCCGACCTCCACGCTCCTCCGCTGGATAAGATCTGTGCCATATGTAAAGCTATGGAGACCTGGCTGACCTCTGACCCCCAGCACGTGGTGGTCCTACACTGCAAGGTCAGAGTTCAGGGGGCCAGGAGGCTTTTTCAGACAAACGTCCCACATTTTCTCCGGCTCTTAAACGCACCGTTGCAGCTGCATGTTTTAGATGCCAAACAAAAACTTCATTGTGAAGTTTGACACTAAAATACTAATCACACGTCTCAGAAAGATCGTTTTTCCCTGCTTGACGCAGAAGGTTAGGGCTCCTACGGCTTGTTTTATTTGTTGGTTTTGGTCTGATGGATTGAAATAGTAAAACCAGACTACTACTTGGGCTTCCTGCCTCTCCTGAACTTTCCAGTTGCAAGAGGGTGTTTGTTAGCTCCAGATCACGCCAAGGAACGAGAATAAGCCAGCTGTTGTCACCGAAAAGTCCTGCTCTGAGGACTCTGAGGGCGTACGCCCTGCAAAACAAGCTTTAATTTGTGCTCATTGTGTTCAAGGAGGCCTTTCTGCTGGTATCTGGAGGGGTCGCATTTGGAATTTGGAAATGGAATGTGTCAGGAAGTGTAGAGGTCTCGCTGCAAAAAGACACTGCAGGGAGCTTTTTAATTTGAAACTTTTTACGTGGCTGGTGTGTCTAAAAAGACCCACGTTTTCTCGGTTTGTCTCTCGCAGTGAAAAGCAAAACAACAATCCTAACATTCAGACTGTCAGATCCCAAAAAATGCATGAACCAGCTTTATAATCCAATTGTGATTTTTCTGCATCTTATCTCTTGCTACAGGGCAACAAAGGGAAAACGGGTGTGATCATTGCAGCCTACATGCACTACAGCAAGATCTCTGCAGGGTGAGGGCTTTAACTGTTACTGAACTCTCAGCATCTCAGCGGTTTGACTGTGCTGTCCAGTCAGTTTTCATGGCTGTAAACCCACTGGCTTGTTTGAACAGATAAATTGTTTTTGTGCAGACTTTGTTGATCATTCGTTTGATAAATTAAGCCTGCTGGATTCTGCACAGGAACAGTGGAAATGGCTTCATCCTGTCGCCGATTCCAGCTGTATCCTTTCCATGTACTTTTGGAGTCTGATGCAAGTCCCATGATGGAAACTGTTTCAGAACTCAAAATGTGTGTGTGTGTGTGTGTGTGTGTGTGTAGGGCGGACCAGGCTCTCAGTACTCTCGCCATGAGGAAGTTCTGTGAAGATAAGGTGTCCTCTTCCCTCCAGCCATCCCAAAACAGGTAGCGGCGACAGGATTATCTGAGTAGAAATGGAGGGGAAGGGTGTGTGTGTGTGTGTGTGTGTGTGGTTGCTGCAGGGGGGGGGGGGGGGGTTTGGTTAGTATCAAACATCATAGCTGGCCTGATTTAATGGATTTAATGCATCCTCTCTCCAGGAGAAGGAAGAGGAAGCAGCTCCCAGTGTTAAACGCTTTTGTGGCTGCTGGATTTATCTTTAACGTCAAGCATCACAGACGACTTTCTGACACAAAGAGACAATAAATTCACACTTTTCAACTTTTCGTATTTTACAATCATTTTCTTGAGCCAGTATGTGCTAAAACGACCTTTTACAGGGTTAATGAAATGTCACTCAGACCCCCACCGCCCTCTGTGGCCAAAATATTGCACTTGCAACCTCAGAGTGCCGGTCCGGTCCCTGTTGGACTTAATGTGGAACTGACATACCTGGCGCTGCAGTCTGCTTCCAGCCCGTTTCCTGCATGTTTTAGATCATGAAAACCGCTAATTTGTCTGATTTAATGACAAACCGCTCCTGTAGACACTAATGAAGTCTGAGGAGACATTTCAGCTGTTAGATTAAGATGTTAAAAAGACGAACGCACAGCAAGGAGATAAGTTTTACTTCGTTTTTACTAATGGACACTAGGAAGTGCTAAAAGCTAGCCAAACTGGAAAGTATTCCTTTAATTACATTAAATTAAGCTGCTTTTGTTTTTAAGCTTCCGACATGACCTAAACGCTTTACACTTGACCCTAACAAGCTAGCTAAAATGTATGTAGCAGCACTTTGAAAAGGTTTTTGTCCCGTGATGAATTTCTTTTGTTTTTGTTGTTTAAAGTTAAACTTTACTCATATTTTAACACATTTGACATTCAACACATCCGCAACACGACTCTACCACTGACTCTTTGAAACACTGATGTTTTATCTCCACAAATAACACGAGCCTGGAGGAGTTCTGCCTTGTTGTGGATCTAATGAGTCCAAAAGCAACGATTTGGTGAGCTTTTTAGACAAATGCGAGATAGCCACTTTATTACTTGTTGTTTTTTTAATCACAATATATTTATAGTTATGCTGGGTTAGAACATTAAGAGGCATGAAAACAAACGTTTTGAGCTAATTTGCTTTCTGCATTTAGGACTGCAGCTTTAAACTTGCACAGCATTTTAGAAAAACAACGCCAGACCAATGTTGCCATGCTTTAGCTTTTCAGGTGACGTCATAGATAGTAATTATTTTACCAAACGTTTAAGGGATCCTCTCTATTCCTGTTACAATTTTTCTGTAGGCAACACTATGTTGTCTTAGATCTGTAGAGGACAATAAAGCTTGCAAATATCTCATCACAATACTTCAAAGATATGCTTTAAGTTCTGTCACACCCAGTGTGCGGTCTCTAGTAGCAGGACTGTGGTGACACTTTGGTCACGCTGCTTTTTATGCCAGTCCCTTATTTGTTTAGTGCAGGCGGGGAACCACTTTACTGTAGTGTGAGTTTGGTTATATTTATACGTTATGATCACCCAAAGAAAAATTAGGATCCCTTGATTGTTTTCTCAGTCGGTTCCTTATCTCATCACGTACCACAGAGCCAAATCTGCAGGCAGCTTGGGGGTCATGGTGGTTGGGTTGGTGCAACAATAGACAGACCACGTTGTTGCAATGCAACCTAAGAAATGTCCAAGAGTGAGCAACTTTGCTAAAGGGATCAGAATAAAATGTGAATTTAATTCTTTCCCGGGTCAGTCTAGCAGGAATTTCCTAATATGGTCAGGTTTGTATTATTATTTCCTTGATGTGTTTTGATGGCCATCTGCAGCTTTCCTCAGAATTTAGCACGACATGTCTTCTTCAGTTGGTTTTCCTTGTAGGTGTTTAACCTTGTAGACCATATAGGTCAGAAGGGTTGGACACGCCCACCACATTGTCAGAGAAAGGTAACTCCCAGGTGACCCCTGAGGAAGATACACCTGAAATATCAATGATTATAGTAATTCTAGTTTTTGAAACTGAACTGTTGTCTAATGTTAACATTGTGTGGAAATGTGTGTGTGGGTGAATGAATGTGTTGTAAAGCACCTTGAGGGGCTAAAGAACCCTAGAAGGCACTATTAAATATAGACCATCTGAATCCCTCTTGCTCCACCTTCGTCCTTCAGGTATATCTATTACTTTGGAGGTCTTCTCTCTGGGGCGATAAAGATGAACAGCAGCCCTCTTTTCCTCCATCAAGTCCTCATCCCATCACTCCCCAACTTCCAGGAGGAAGGAGGTACATTCTCAATCCAAATTATTTAAAAATTCCTATTTGTAGGCCATGTTTTTAGTAAGTTCTGACTTCCTGATTTTATCATCCCTTATCTTTGTTTACATTATTTAGAATCCTTCATTCCTTTTGTTTTTCCTTGAAACTAAAATCAGATTTCTTCAGGGCATGTTTCTTGGAACATTCAGTGGTTTCGACTCCTTGAGGAGGGCGTTTATTTAGCTGTACGTCTGTAATCCGAGTCTAAATGTAGATAAAACCTATATGGGATGTAATGTTTGTCCTGGCATGGTCCGTTTGACGGGCTTCCCACTGGAATTACAGCAGCTTTCCTGAACGCAGACACCAAAGACATCTCAACCCACACACATACTTCCCTGTTTATCTTTAATCCGATGATCACGTCAGCACATTCCTCTGTCTTCGCACTGATAATGCCCACCATGTCTGAAATCCTCTCTCCAGGTTATTACCCATTCTTGAAGATCTACCAGTCCATGCAGCTGGTCTACACGTCAGGCATTTAGTAAGTCTGCCTTGTTCTCATAAGGACAACTGCTAAAGGCTTGGCCATACTCACCAACTCTGGGGTTTCATTCATAAACGGAGGCTCTTAACACGATTAAAATGATTAAATAAGAGTAAAGTCTATTTTTCTTCTTCTGTTCCTTTTACTGAATGTATATCTGAGTCTGTTTAAATAGCTTATGTCAGTTTGGTTTAAATGGTCCTAAAATTAATCATTTAGAAAGTTATTTTATGATCATGGCTAGCGTTTATATTTGATTATCTTTCTAAAGATCCTTTTTTTTTATCATTGGCAGTGATCTCCAAGGTAGTGGGGGCAGACGCCTGTGTGTGACCATCGAACCAGCGCTGCTGCTGAAGGGTGACATTATGGTGGGTCATACTAGGGTTGTAGGATTCATCAAATCTTTTTTCTAAAATAAATATTTTGTTCTAGAAACAAGGTTTCTGTTACTGTGATGACACCAAAGTACAGATGCAGCTCATTTCGAAAACCTCTTTCCTCTCTCTCTGCTGCCCTCTTCAGGTGAAATGCTACCACAGGCTGGTGCAGAGTGCCGACAGAGACACGGTATTCAGGGTGCAGTTCCACACCTGCACCATCCACGGATCCCAGCTCTGGTTTGGCAAAGGGGAGCTGGATGGAGCGTTTACAGGTGGGTTCATCTAGAGGTCGATTCCACCAGGTGGAAATTTAAGACTCATAAAACGGGATGGTCTGGTTGGGAACGGGTTTTTAGCGGAGTTTGACAGGATAAAAGCTGCCCGCTATTCAATGAAACTCACATTTAGCTATTTCTTTTATTCATGCGATACAACAATTAAAACAAAAAATATATAAAGGTGGTAATGATGGAATACAATACATATCAGTATATCATTTCATTCAAACACCCCCACATTTAATGTTCTTTTATTTCAATAGGTTTTTGTTTGTTTTTCCAGTTGGGTTCAATGCATGCTTAAATAGCATGAATGGAGAAGAATATGGCCTACCAAGCATTAATAAGTAGGAGCGGAAATCACTGGTATGATCACGATACATAATCATTTTAATGGATTGTGACTTGGGGCAGCAGTAGCTCAGGAGGTAGAGCGGGTTGCCTCATGATCGGAGGGTCATGGGTTAGATTCCAGCTCTCGCCAGGGGTATTCTGCTGTTGTGTCCTTGGGCAAGACACTTCACCCAACTTGCCTGTGTTGGTGGTGGTCAGAGGGGCTGATAGCACCAAATGGCAGCCTCGCCTCTGTCAGACCGCCCCAGGGTGACTGTGGCTACAAAGTGGCTTACCATCACTAGCAGTGTGTGAATGTGAGAGTGCATGAAAAGCGTTATATAAGTTCGATGATTATTATTATTATTATTATTATTATTATTATTATTATTATTATTATTGATGTTTCTTTATTTCTGAAGTTCAGTCAGAATACCATTTTGGTTTGGGTTTAGGATCCACTGATCCGGATAGTTGAACACAATCATGAACTAGGGGAGTGGTGACTTCTCACCATGACTAGCTCCTTTATTTAACACGTTTGGTGATGTGCAGGAACAAATGGAAAACAGCATATCGGCAAAACGTCAAACTTAAGAAAATTTCTAAATTAAACGTGTGTTTTATAAACCGTTATTCTTAGGGATGCACAATATATCGGCATCAATATCTGCCGATGTTAGTCATTTTTAACATATTGGCATCGTTCAGATAAATAAAACTGGGCTGACATTAAGATATCTTTTCCATCTTGCTTATCTGTTTCAGAGGGTGAAGGGGCGGTGATGTGTATTTGTTTAGTCATGTGACAATGATTGTAATAATCTCGGAAGCGTAAAAGGTTTGTGTTGTGTGTACATAATAACGTAAATTCAGTTGTAATCATTTTCATTCTGTACAAAACCTGCTTATTTTAGAAGCATTAATGTCAGTACATCGGTATCAGCAAGTACTGGCCATTTAAGTGGTATTGATATCAGATATTGGTATTGGCACAATTTCATATCAGTGCATCCCTAGTTGTTCTATTGATTTCTGCATTTTGGATCGATGATCGTGTAATCCAAGTACCAATGCGAATTAATGTATGATGCTCCTATTAATACAGCTGTGGTCAGAAGTTTACATACACTTGTAAAAAATATAATTATAATGGCTCTACTGAGTGTCCCGTTATTTCTAAAACTCTGATTTTTCTCTGATAGAGTGATTGGAACAGATACTTCTTTGTCAAAAAAACATTCATGAAGTTTGGTTCTTTAATGTCTTTATTATGGGTTAACAGAGAAAAGTGATCACATTTGCTGGGTCACAAATATACATACAGCAGTTCTAATATTTGGTTACATGTCCCTTAGCCATTTTCACTTCAATCAGGCGCTTTTGGTAGCCATCCACAAGCTTCTGGCAAGCTTCTGGTTGAATCTTTGACCACTCCTCTTGACAGAATTGGTGAAGTTCAGTTAAATTTGATGGCTTTCTGACATGGACTTGTTTCTTCAGCACTGTCCACATGTTTTCAATGGGGTTTAAGTGAGGACTTTGGGAAGGTCATTCTAAAACCCTTATTCTAGCCTGATTTAGCCATTCCTTTACCACTTTTGATGTGTGTTTGGGGTCATTGTCCTGTTGGAACACCCAACTGCACCCAAGACCCAACCTTCGTGCTGATGATTTTAGGTTATGTTGAAGAATGTGAAGGTAATCCTCCTTCTTCATTATCCCATTTACTCTCTGTAAAGCACCAGTTCCATTGGCAGCAAAACAGCCCCACAGCATAATATTCCCACCACCATGCTTGACTGTAGGCATGGTGTTCTTGGGGTTAAAGGCCTCACCTTTTCTCCTCCAAACATATTGCTGGGCATTGTGGCCAAAAAGCTCGATTTTCGTTTCGTCTGACCACAGAACTTTCCTCCAGAAGGTCTTATCTTTGTCCATGTGATCAGCAGCAAACTTCAGTCGAGCCTTAAGGTGCCGCTTTTGGAGCAAGGGCTTCCTTCTTGCACGGCAGCCTCTCAGTCCATGGAGATGCAAAACACGTTTGACTGTGGACAATGACACCTGTGTTCCAGCAGTTTCAAATTCTTGGCAGATCTGCTTTTTGGTGATTCTTGGTTCACTCTTTACCCTCCTGACCAATTTTCTCTCAGCAGCAGGTGATAGCTTGCGTTTTCTTCCTGATCTTGGCAGTGATGAAACAGTGCCATGCACCTTATCCTTACAAACAATTGTTTGCACTGTTGCTCTTGGGACCTGCAGCTGCTTTGAAATGGCCCCAAGTGACTTTCCTGACTTGTTCAAGTCAATAATTCGCTTTTTCAGATCCATGCTGAGCTGCTTTGACTTTCCCATTGTAGCGTTTGTGGGCGTTTGTATCCAATGAGCCCTATTTACCTGGCCTAAGAGAAGTCACCAGCTGTAGTCACTCATAATCACTCACAAGAAGTTAAGAGGCCATGCTATGAAGCTCAGTTCACTGACACGTTTCTAAGTCACCAAAATTGCTAGTTCATGTTGCTGTATGTATATTTGTGACCCAGCAAATGTGATCACTTTTCTCTGTTAACCCATAATAAAGACATTAAAGAACCAAACTTCATGAATGTTTTTTGTGACAAAGAAGTATCTGTTCCAATCACTCTATCAGAGAAAAATCAGAGTTTTAGAAATAACGGGACACTCAGTAGAGCCATTATATTATATTTTTTACAAGTGTATGTAAACTTCTGACCACAACTGTAAGTTCCATCCGTCCATTTTAATTCACTTATCCCCAGTCGATTCGCAGGAGCAGCAGTCTAAGCAGGGAGGCCCAGACTTCTCTTTCCATAGCCACTTGGACCAGCTCCTCCAAGGGAAACCCATGGTATTTCCTGGCCAGCCGAGAAACAGAGTCCCTCCAGCAAGTCCTGGGTCTTCCTTTAGGCCTCCTTCCGATGCCTTGAAAACCTAACCAGGGAGGCGTCAAGAAGGCCTCCGGACCAAATGCCCAAGCCACCTCAATTGGCTCCTTTTGATGTGGAGGAGCAGCGGGTCTACTCCGAGCCCCTCCTGGATGACCGAGCTTCTCACCTATCTCTAAGGGAGAGCCCAGACACCCTGTGGAGAAAACTAATTTCAGCTGCTTTTATCCGCGATCTCGTTCTTTCGGTCACCAACCAAAGCTTGTGACCATAGGTGAGGATAGGAACGTAGATTGACCAGTAAATTGAAAGCTTCGCCTTCCGGCTCAGCTCTTTCTGCACCACAACGGAAAAGAACAGCGCCCCCATCACATGCAGCACCAATCAACCTAACAATCTTGCGCGCCATCTTTCCTTCACTCGTGAACAAGACTATTAATAAGTTGTGCATCATTTATCATAGAAAGTTCATTTAACTGGAAAATTGATAAAATAAGCAAAAACTGTGTGGAAAAGCTAAAAATGTAATATCAGAATATTATAGTACCACTTCACAAGATTACTATACCTATAAATGGCCAATATATGTTAATGTTATTTATAAATGTGTTGTAACCATTAACATATGTTAGATTAAAAGTACAGTAGTGACCTGTTTCTAAATGTTATTTCTATATAAACTGCAGAAAAAATTCTTTGTGGGAATAAAAATTATTCCTCTAACTCTCATCTTTAGTCTACAAGAACATATTTTATTTTTCCTTAAATGCCTGACTTTGCTCCTTTACATTGTTTTACTATAAATCGACATCCAAGCAGCGTCTCACCTAATAGCAGCCCTTCAAACTGGCAATGTGGGAAGATCTTCTCGGTGGTTTGGCCTCATAATGTTATGGTGGAATAAATCTTTAAATAGTAGTAATTTAATCCCCATTCTGAAAGAAATAACAGCTCCTTGGAGAAGAGAAAACTGTGAATTAGATGCACTACAAGCCACAATGACAATGTCTCAGTGAAGAAAAAAGCTAAGAGTTTATGATACACAGTTAGTGGCTACGCATCCATTAACTCCATGATGGATACACTCATTACTTAATTTCCTCCTGGGTTTCAATCCATCCATCCATCCATTTTCATCCGCTTATCCGGAGTCGGGTCGCGGGGGCAGTAGCCTAAGGCGAGAGGCCCAGACTTCCCTCTCCCCAGCCACTTGGGCCAGCTCCTCCGGGGGAATCCCAAAGCGTTCCCTGGCCAGGTGAGAGACATAGTCCCTCCAGCGTGTCCTGGGTCTACCTTTAGGTCTCCTCCCGGTTGGACGTGCCCAGAAAACCTCACCAGGGAGGCGTCCAGGAGGCATCCTGGCCTGATGCCTGAGCCACCTCAACTGGCTCCTCTCGATGTGGAGGAGCAGCGGGTCTACTCCGAGCCCCTCCTGAATGACCGAGCTTCTCACCCTATCTCTAAGGGAGAGCCCAGCCACACTTCTGAGAAAACTCATTTCAGCCACTTGTATCCGTGATCTCGTTCTTTCGGTCACTTCCCAAAGCTCATGACCATAGGTGAGGGTAGGAAAGTAGATCGACCGGTAAATCGAGAGCTTTGCCTTCTGACTCAGCTCTCTCTTCACCACAACATACCGGTACAACGCCCACATCACTGCAGATGCAGCACTAATCCGCTTATCGATCACATCTCTCCAGTTTTCTCTCACTCGTGAACAAGACCCAGAGATACTCAAACTCCTCCACTTGGGGCAGGACCTCATCCCTGACCCGGAGAAGGCATTCTACCCTTTTCCGAATCAAGACCATGGTCTCAGATTTAGAGGAGCTGATTCTCATCCCAGCTGCTTCACACTCGGCTGCGAACCGCTCCAGCGAAAGCTGAAGATCACGTTCTGATGAAGCCAACAGGACCATATCATCTGCAAATAGCAGAGACCTGATCCTCAGGCCACCAAAACGGATGCCCTCCACACCTTGGCTGCACCTAGAAGTCCTGTCCATAAAGGTTATGAACAGAATCGGTGACAAAGGGCAGCCTTGGCGGAGTCCAACTCTCACTGGGAACGAGCCTGACTTACTGCCGGCAATGTGGACCAAGCTCTGACACCGGTCATACAGGGACCTAACAGCCTGTATCAGAGGGCCTGGTACCCCATACTCCCAGAGTACCCCCCACAGGGCCCTCAGAGGGACGCGGTCAAACGCCTTCTCCAAATCCACAAAACACATGTAGACTGGTTGGGCAAATTCCTACACAACCTCCAGGATCCCCCAAAGGGTATAGTGCTGGTCCACTGTACCACGGCCAGGATGAAAACCACATTGCTCCTCCTGAATCTGAGGTTCAACAATCCGATGGACCCTCCTCTCCAGGACCCCTGAATTGACCTTACCAGGAAGGCTCAGGAGTGTGATTCCCCCTGTAGTTGGAACACACCCTGCGGTCCCCCTTTTTAAATAAGGGGACCACCGCCCCGGTCTGCCATTCCAGTGGGACTGCCCCCAATGTTGAAGCGATATTGCAGAGCCGTGTCAGCCAACACAGCCCCACAACATCCCCACAGCCCCTTAAGGAACTCCGGGCGGATCTCATCCACCCCCGGAGCCTTGCCACAGAGGAGCTTTTTAACCACCTCAGTGACCTCAGCACCAGAGATTTGAACCCAAAGCCAACCCAAAGTCCCCAGGCTCTGCTTCCTCACTGGAAGACATGTCGGTGGGATTGAGGAGGTCTTCGAAGTATTCTGCCCACCAATCCACAACGTCCTGAGTAGAGATCAGCAGCACACTGTTCCCACTATATTCAATTCAAGTTTATTTATATAGCGCCAAATCACGACAAGAGTCGTCTCAAGGCACTTCACTTAATAAACATTCCAATTCACAGTTCATTAAGCCAATCAGAAATAATGTTTCCTATATAAGGAACCCAGCAAATTGCATCAAGTCACTGACTAGTGTCAGTGACTATACAGCAATCCTCATACTAAGCAAGCATGCAGCGACAGTGGAGAGGAAAACTCCCTTTTAACAGGAAGAAACCTCCAGAGAATCCTGGCTCAGTATAAGCAGCCATCCTCCACGACTCACTGGGGATCGAGAAGACAGAGCAGGCAGACACACACACACACACACACACACACACACACACACACACACACACACACACACACACACACACACACACACACACACACACACACACACACACACACACACACACACACACACACACACACACACACACACACACACACACACACACACACACACGTAATGTGTCTACAGTTATATTGTGATGTCTTAGTAAATATTGTATTTGGTGAAAGATAAACTTTATTGTATTTATCCTAGTGGATCTATAATTAAACGGATAAACTAGTATTAGCACATCAAAAGTCAATGAAAACAGGAAGTTATTATCAGGAGAGAGAGAATGTATTAGTGGTTAGCAGCAGTGTGCTAGTCGATGGCCCCCTCCATGAGGCCACCACAGCTCAGCAGACCCTATAGATAGGGTCCATTCAGACTCAATGTCCCCCGCCTCCCCCGGAACATTTTGGATGTTCTGTCATAGGTGGGAATTGACGCTCCTTCTGACAGGGGACTGCCAGATGTTCCCAGCAGACCCTCGTGATATGTTTGGCCCTGCCTGGTCTGACCGGCATCCTCCCCAATCATCTGAGCCAACTCACCACCAGGTAGGGGTCAGTTGACAGCTCCACCCCTGTCTTCACCCGAGTGTCCAAGACATGCGGCCGCAGGTCAGACAAAACAACAAAGTCGATCATCGAGCTGCGGCCTAAGGTGTCCTGGTGCCAAAAGCACATATGTACACCTTTATGAACATGGTGTTCATTATGGACAATTCATGACTGGCACGGAAGTCCAATAACAAAACACCACTCAAATTCAGATCGGGGGGCTGTTCCCCCAGCAGAACGAGGGAGTCACCGGAAGGAGCACTTTCCAGCACTCCCTCCATGGTCTCCAAAAAGGGTGGGTAGTCTGAACTGTAGTTTGGTGCATTAAGGTAGCGCAACTCGGGTTGCGAATGACCACAGTCACCAATTCTTGTAGAATTCTGTGTACTGAAACTCTAATTTCCCTCTGGGATTAATAAAGTATCTTTGAATTGAATTGAATTGAATGAGCACGGACCAGAGTCAGAACCCATCCCCCCACACGTAGGTGGAGGGAGGCTACCCTCTGATTCACTGAAGTAAACCCAAATGTACAGGCACTAAGATGGGGGAGCAACTAGTATGCCCACCCCTGCTCGCCGCCTCTCAGTGGGAGCAACTCCAGAGTGGTAGAAAGTCGAACCCCTCTCAAGGAAACTGGTTCCAAAGCCGGAGACATGCGTTGAGGTGAGTCCGACTATATCTAGTCAGAACCTCTCAACCTCACACACCAACTCAGGCTCCTTCCCCACCAGAGAGGTGACATTCCATGTGCCAAGAGCCAGCTTCTGTAGCCGAGGATCAGACCGCCAAGGTCCCCACCCTCGACTACCACCTGACCCCTTTGGCCCATCCCACGAGTGGTGAGCCCATGGGATGGGGGACCCACGTTTCCTCTTCGGGCTGTGCCTGGCCGGGCTCCATGGGTGAAAGCCCAGCCACCAGGCGCTTGCCAACATGCCCCACCTCCAGACCTGGCTCCAGAGGGGGGCCCCGTTGACCCACGTGCAGGCGAGAGAACACAGTTTCTATTTATGTAATTCATCATAAGAGGTCTTCGGGCTGCTCTTTGTCTGATCCCTCACCTAGGACTTGTTTGCCATGGGTGACCCTACCAGAGGCAGAAAACCTCAGACAACTTAGCTCCTAGGATCATTGAGACACTCAAACCCCTCCACCACGGCAAGGTGGCAGCCCAGGGAGAGGCTGGGTTTCACTTTCTCTGAAAAAACAGATCATGTGTTTGTGGAAGCTTTTTGGTTTTTAATCCATACAAGAGATTAAATAAATAAATAAATCTGTGGAAAATAATAGTATATTTTAAACAATGCTGAATAATGAATCTGCATTTCATGTGAATGCATTTAAATTGACATATTTGTGCTTGGAGAGAAAACATTTATATTTAAACTGAGTTTTTACAGTTTGGATTTTATTGAGTTTATTTCATTCCTTTTCTTTAGATGAGCGTTTTCCATCCGATGCCACCGTGGAGTTCGTATTCTCCTCTGGACCTGAGAGAATCAAAGGTTTGTTACCCCAAAATACGATTTAGTTCTGATCCAGCACTTAGGTTTTGATTGTTAATGGGGAACAAAACAAATGATTTTATTGGCCAAAACTTTAAAGATGTTTGATTCTTTGTCTAAAATCTGATCAATGAAGAGAAAGAAACTGAGATTACTTGCTTCTTTATTTCAGGTCGTGAGTATCACAAGAATGACCCGGCTGTCATTGTCGATTACAACACTTCTGACCCGGTGGTTCGTTGGGATTCCTACGAAAACTTCAATCAGCGCTACCAGGACAGCCTAGAGGGTATCTGGTCTTTTTATGTCCAACCTCAAAAGAGAGTTGCAGATTACTGCCAGTTCTAATTTTGACCTATGAAGGGACTTTGATCAGATTAGCTCCACAAAAAAACAAGTATTGCCAGTTCAAAGGTTTTTTTCTGTTTCAGATATTGCCCACACCAGAGGTCCTCTAGATGGCAGTCTCTATGCTCAAATAAAGAAGCGCCGAGGTCCAAACTCTGGTCCTCTTACCTCAGCTAATGGCAACAGTCCAGGGGGAGCCCTTACAGAAGATAGACCTGATCACTCAAGCTTTTCGGCCCATTCCCTCCATCTGAATCAATCATGCATCCATTCTGACCACCCGGAGGAGCCTGTCCGTCCCCCGCCACCAACAAGGCAAGAAAGGGAGGAGCTTGAACGTCTCCTTGGTGGAATTGAGGGAAACCAAGATGGAGAGCGAGAGACCGCCATTTTGGACGACGGGGATTCCTGGCCATCAGAGAGAGCTGGCACTCTGAGGCTTGGACGGTCATGTTCATGCCGGGATGGTTACCGGTCCCAGCGCTGTGCTGAGCCGGGCTGTGACCGTACCCTCCTCATGCCAAATGGCTACTGCCTTGATCGAGCACCTGGCACTAATGGGCACCATGGGGCAACCCCTTCAGCCAGTCCAAATGCTACTAGCCCTCTGTCACACATGGACATGTGTCAACATTACAGCCCACACACCCACCAGTCCCTTGCACCCCCAGATCTAGTGTGGGATCGTCAGAGTGGCCCACCTCACTACCTGCACCGAACCTGCTCAGATGCACCATCAACTCGACACATCTGTCCATACCCATCATCGGACCTTACCCCTCACCCTCACAATCATTTACACCACCCTATGGCATCCCCTGGTCGTCAATGCTGTCGTGAGGACACACCTTTTCACCATCCTCCACCCCCTCACAGCATCCACAACCTCTCACACCACCCAAAACCCTCCACCAGCCCAACCTACCAAGACATTATGCTGGTGGATGGTTTTCCGCCCCGTGGCTGTGCCTGTAGGGACTGCAGCATGAGGAGGGAAGAATCCTCTGCCTATCACGGTCTGAGGCTGGACCGTGGTGACAGCTTCCACTGGGACCGGGAGGCGGAACTTCAACAGAGGGAGACGGGGCTTAGGAAGGCCAGGAAGACTGAGTTACCAAGAGCTTCAGAGCTCCACTGGGAGTGGGATCCTGGGCTCAGACGAGGCAGAGAGCTGTCCCTCCACTGGGAGCGCAACAGGGAGGAAGAGCTGCAGTGGGAGAGAGACCGAGAGGCTGAATACTGGCACAGGAGGGCCACTGTAGCTTCCCACGGCCCACAGGGACACGAACTCCAAGCATTCACCTTTGATCCATTGCCATCAGGTCACCCAGCGTATCCAGAAGCATCAAGGTCCCACGCTCATTCTCACCTGGATCTGAAGTACAGCAGCAGCAGCAGTGGCTACCAAACACCACGTCAGGTGTGTCCCTGTTCACCGTATCAACCTTCGCCATCTGAAAGCAGGGGCTATGCCTCCGGCTACCAGTCTGAGTCCACATCTCCACTGCCTCCCAACTCCTCCATGATGGGACCTTGTAGCCATAGCAATGGGCCTGCAGACCATAACCAACATCACCACCCTCCTGACTCACAGCAGTCCTACAGCTCCGACTCACACACTGGTGAGTCACATAAAACAGACACACTTGTATTTTAACAAGAATGTTGTGAGAATAAACAATCTATAATCAGCAACAGCATGCCGTACAAACACGTGTTTGACACCAACTTTTTCTCTCTTAACTGTCTTCTGGAAATGTTTGACCCTAAAGAGATTGTTTTATTTTTATTTTTCCAATGACTCCTTCGACTCTCAGATGGCCTTCGTAGTTCTGGTGAAAGTGTGGGCTGGAGGGATCACATTACCCATGGCTCCTTTAAGAGGGTTCACAGAGATGGTCAAGTTGCTTGCTCCACACCATCTGACATGTCTGGACCTCCCACTCCTGTCCACACCAGTAGCCCTCTTCGTACACAGGAGAGGTACTCTACATTTGTGCATTTTATTAGAAAGGTTTATACAACATTCACCTAGATTTAATATTTGATTAGACATGCTGACATGGATCAGGAAAACAAAGGTCCTAACATCAATCAGGTGTGATGGAAGGGAAATTACTAGCTGAAACACTTTCTACCATTTAAAGGCTTGGTACTCTGCACCTTTCCCTTTGATTGAAAGAATTTCCTCGGATGAAAAGTGAAACATCTTGAAAAAAATGTCATTTAGCTCAGTTGTGTGTGATTGAACGTGAAAGGAAAACCAGAAAGTGTTTTGTGTATGTTATATATCAGGGTTACCTCCAGCCAGGCTTTGCTTGGTCACCCGCCAGGCTTATCAAGTTTTCTGGGGGAAACCTTGTTATGTGTATGTTATGGTAATAAACACCCATATTTGTCCTTTAAAGCCCCAGTCCCGAAGGGAAAGAGTGTGGCATCCGGACCACAGACATAATCGGCAGCGACAGCGAGGCCTCCCCGGACCAAGACCTAGACAGACCCATTTGTAACTACATCAGTGCAGATCAGCCAGGAAGCCCCAAAACTAGCAAAGAGCAGTCCTCTTTTTCACTTGCCCAAAATGCACAAACAGCCACACCTTTACAGACTGAATCACCCAATCACTGCAGTGCACCTACAGAAGCTCCTCCCACCACACCCCTCCAGCAGCACTGTAGCACAAACACGCCTGTAGACTCATCTCTTGACATTGTGGCACCTGTCACATCAAACCAAGAGGGCTGCCAGGTTCCCTCTTCACCAGTCCATGCTTCATCATCACTAGATACACACCCCCTATCGGGTACTCCCTCTACCCAAAACCTCCAGCCTTCTGAAGCCGCTGCTGAACCTGCTACCGTGGCAAACCTGTCTCACACCCAAACCCAGACAAATGGTTCTGAAGTATCAAGCTCAGCACCACTCAATGGTTCTTCTCCAACAAAAACTCAACCAGACATCACCAAACCCAACTCCGACCTCTCCTATGCTCCAGCACCATCTTCCCCGCAACCTGGAACAGGCAGCATGGATGGGTCTCCGGTTTCCGATTCCCCAGTTCCAGGGTTTGCCACCCTGGGCAGGAGGTTAATGTTAGGTGGGTCAGAGCCAAACCACTCAAATTACCAGCAGCACCACGGACCTCTACATCCCCACTACACAGCCATGGAGCAAAGTGCTGCTCTGGACACTAACAAGAGGCACTGCTATTCTGGTCCCATGCCACAACTCCACCCAGCCTCCTACTCCAACTACTCCACCATCTCCATCCCTCTCCCTCACCCACAGCCACCTTTACCAGAGAAACGACATCATCCTGCCCAACCTGGTTCTCCCAGTGAAGGGCTGAGGCCAGCCGGACTGCATGTGCCTCCCTCCAATTCCCAACATCATGTCACATTTTCTCCAACTGTTGGGGAAATTGCACCTCCTGCTGGTCAAAATGTTGCAACATCTACGGAGGGTGAGATGGTGAACAGGGTCAGCATTAAGTTTGTCCAGGACAGTTCAAGGTTCTGGTACAAAGCAGGTATCTCCAGAGAGCAAGGTGAGCTGAGGTTTACATTGACTGAATTAATATATTAGTTTGAAAAACATAGAAAGTTTGTGATGTTCCAATGTGGTTGGCCATAGCAATCGCAGCTCTGAAGGAGAGAGAGCCTGGAACTTTCCTGATCAGGGACAGTAACTCCTTCCAGGGGGCCTACGGTCTGGCCCTGAAGGTCGCTACACCTCCACCCAATGTTACCCACAACAGCAAAGGTAAGAAGGACTAAAACAGTCATTATGTTTCAACCTTTTCCTTTTGACCTCTTAATTGAGAACACACTAACCTTGTGACTTTTGCAGTAAATGATCCTCTAGAGCAGCTGGTGAGACATTTCCTGATAGAGACAGGCCCTCGAGGAGTCAAAATCAAAGGGTGTCAAAATGAGCCTTACTTTGGTAAGTTCCCCCCTCCCCAAATAAACCCCATGTCTGTATCTCATTGAGTGTGATATCATACTGTGCATGATGTGCCGCAACACTGCAAAAACTACACACAAACTATTTCACACACGAAAATTCTCTTGTCAGAAGGGAAATATTGTGAAACCTTTCGACATCAAACTTGTCTATGGGGTAAACCAACATGGTGGAGACGCAGCATGCTTTTGTCAACTCACTTTCTGATTGACTACATGTCACATTCAACAGGCATCACATTTGTTTGGAATTGGAATCAAACCAAGACAATCCAACATGTTTAATATCCCCAATTTGTGACTGAAGCGATCCCGGTCTTCTTCAGTCAACCAGAGTGCTTGTAGCACACACACACACAGCTAGAATATGGACAAAATTGTCTTCTGAGTCACTATGGTGATCATGCATATCCTTAAGATCGTCAGAAGGTTAGAATCAAGTAAAAGATTGGCGCAATAACCCGTGACTTGGACAATTAGTACTCTATCATTATTTCTCCAGTAAGAACCAGAAAGCCAGTTTTAATCTTTTTTTTCTCCAAGATTTTTTTGTTATGTAAACCTTAATGTTTCATGTTTACAGGGAGTTTGTCTGCACTAGTCTATCAGCACTCCATCACACCCATCTCTTTACCCTGTGCTCTCAAAATCCCTGAAAAAGGTTGGTATCACCCAGTGTGTCATTAAGATAAAAGGATAAAAAGAAAGTTTCTCTACAGGTTCTAATGTTTTAATAACCATGGGTAGCATCTTGGTGAGTATTTGTAAAATTATTATTTCTTTTTCATATTTTCAGATCTGATTGGAGAGGTATCGGAGGTTCAAGCAGTCAGTAACATCAGCACGGCTGCAGACCTACTGAAACAAGGAGCTGGTGAGTTCTGATTAGAAATCTGTTGTGTTAAGCTTGTGCATTTTTCGCAAAGGACTTCTTTATGTCCCACTATGAGGATTCTAGAGAGGTGGCACACTGTACAATCCAAGATTTTAGTGAGCCCAACTGCACGTCTCGCTCTAGCAGGACACACTGAGCATACTACCCCAATATAAAAAGAACATAAGTGCTATCTTTCATTAGACTCTGAGCAAAACTCCAAAAACGAGTGGTCCATGTGTTCTTTCTTGTAGCCTCCACTGTTGCTATTATTGCTAATGCTACTCTCACATTGCGCAATCCGCACTAGTTTAAGGCTGCTGGAGGCCGAATTTAGTCACGGGAGTGCTCAATGAGCTCTCTGTGGGTCGGTCATTCTAAATAGCCACATTCCTGTAAATCCACCTCAGGTTCGGTTTTTCCACACGATTCTGTTCACGGCGAGAGCTTTGTCTAGGACGGCCAAAAAACACAAAGTGTGGCCTTGAATCCTTTTAGTACTTTTTTGAAATGAAAAGATTTCAGATATCTAACACCTGAGTAGAGTAAAAATAAACTGCAGCATGAACACTGAAACAATAAAATCTTCATAATGTTTACCGATCTTGTTTAGTGTTTTAAGGAAGGAAACATCCTACTTTTGCAGAATCAACTAAAATATGTCAAAACAAAACTTAAGCAAATTATTTACTAAGTGTAATTCAAAGCTTGAAACATCATTAGTGAGGATCTTAGTGTGAGGAGGATTTTTGAACAGGTGAGAAAATGTTAAATTAAGTATCAGATATATGACTAAAATCTTTAAAGGGGTCCTACAATTGAAAAACTTTTACCTAGAAAAAGAAGTCAGCACCATCTTTGACCTCCATCAATTTTCAGTCGCTTATTTGGAGTCGGGTCACGAGGAAAGCAGCCTAAGTCGAGAAGCCCAGACTTTCCTCTCCCCAGTTATTTGGGCCAGATCCTCCAGGGGAATCCCAAGGCATTCCCTGGCCAGCCGAGTGACATAGTTCCTCCAACGTGTCCTGGGTCTTCTCTTGGGTCCCCTCCCGGTTGGGCGTCCCCGGAAAGCCTCACCAGGAAGGAGTCCTGGAGGCATCCTGACCAAATGCCCAAGTCACCTCAACTAGCTCCTTTCGACGTGGAGGAGCAGCGGGTCTACTCCGAGTCTCTCCCAGATGACCGAGTTTCTCACCCTATCTTTAAGAGCCTAGCACCCCTGGGGAGAAAACCAATTCTGAACGCTTGTATCCGCGATCTCGTTCTTTCGGTCGTTGCCCAAAGCTCATGACCATAGGTGAGGGTAGGAATGTAGATTGATAAGTAAATCGAGAGTGTTGCCTTCCGGCTCGCTTTCTCTTCACCACGACAGACTGGTACAACGCCTGCGTCACTGCAGACGTAGAACCAATCTGCCTATCGATCTCACGCTCCATTTTTCCCTCACTCATGAACAAGACCTCGAGTTACTTAAACTCCTCCACTCGAGACAGAACCTCGCCCCGACCTGGAAAAATCCACAAAACACATGTAGATTGGTTGGGCAAACTCCCATGTGCCCTCCAGGATCCCCCTATGGGTATAGAGCTGATCCATTGTTCCACGGCTGGGACAAAAACCTTATCGCTCCTCCTGAATCTGAGGTTCAACATCCAGAGCCATAAGGGATTCCTTACCACCAAGGAGTTTTTGACCACCTCAGTGACTTCGGCCTCAGAGATTGGAGAGTCCAACCCAAAGTCCCCAGACTCTGCATCCTCACTAGAAGACGACCCGGTGGGATTCCCTCTTCAAAATAGTTCACCCACCGATCCACAACGTCCTGAGTAGAGGTCAGCATCACACCGTCACCTCTGGTTAGCCTCTTCAACAATGGATGCACGGAACATGGACCGCTTGGACTCAATGTCTCTCGCTTCCCTCGGGACGTGTTTGAAATTCTGTCGGAGGTGGGAATTGAAGCTCCTTCTGACAGGAGACTCTGCCAGATATTTCCAGCAGACCCTCACAATATGTTTAGGGCTGCCAGGTGTCACCTGCTTCCTCCCCGACCATCAAAGCCAACTAACCACCAGGTGGTGGTCAGTTAACAGCTCCACCAATCTCTTCACACGGAGTCTCTGTGACCCGATACTGAAGAGGTCGACCTGTAGATGGAAAAACAAGCCATTTCCGGAGGCTACAATGGTAACCGTAGAACAATGCTAGGCCCAACTACTGCTAACAATAACCTGAGCTACTTGTGCCCTTGTTGGGAGCAAATAAAACAAAGAAAATGTTGGTGCACCACTCACGTTTCAGGATGTACTTGGAATGTCCAGATTATGAATGACAGCCATTAAGATCTATAGCTTGTGGTCCTCCTCATGTCGCATTTTGAACTCTTGCACCCACGCACACCTCCCACCCCTTCAACATCGGTTGCCTGTGCAAAATATTTTTATAACTGGTTTATTTATTTTTTAGGCCTCCAGGACTTAACTAGGGTTAGTTAAAAATGTATTTATTTTTCTTAAACATGGAAGGCCCAGTTTTTAGTCTCATAAATTTCTATCAATTTCTGTTTCCTGCTCAGCCTGTAACGTCCTCTATCTGAATTCCGTGGAAACCGAGTCCCTGACTGGCCCCCAGGCAATCGCCAGGGCAACAGATGCCACGCTGGGTCGTAACCCGCGTCCGTCAGCCACCGTGGTCCAGTTTAAGGTGACATCACAGGGAATCACGCTGACTGACAGTCAGAGAAGGTAAAAAAAATCCCCACAAATAAAAGTTACCTTTCCTCTTTGTGTTGTTTTGATGAACAAATTAAATTTACCTCGCTCTTTTAGAGTTTTCTTTAGGAGACATTATCCAGTAAACAGCGTAACCTTCAGCAGCATCGACCCCAAGGACAGAAGGTGAGAGATTAGAAAAGAAGAGCTTATTAAAGTTTGGGCTGCGACTATGATCTTTTATTGCACGGTTAGCTGTGTCGTTGCATGAAGGTCTGATTTTTATGGATGTACTGCTTGTAGCCTGTAAGTGTGAGCATGAGAAACATGTAGATTTGCAGGCTGAGGCTGCAGCTGCGTTTGCTTGTTTGGCAGCTCTGCCTGTGATTGCACGTCCGTCTGAGTCTCGTTTCTCTCTCTCTCTCTGGCCTTTAGGTGGACTAACTCCAACAACGCTGTTAAGTAAGTGCTATTTGTGCGTAACAACTAAAGAATGTGGGAGAAGTTCTTTCCTTTGTGGCTGAGACTGCAGTCATATCAGAGCCTCTGCATGGCATCAGGTTGCGTGCGAGTCTTAGAAATTATTCCAGCAAACAAAAAGCTAAAGTTCTTTGTGGCCTTGTGCTACAGAACAATAATCCTCGCGATTTTGATTTCCCCCTGGAGATGTGCAGATCTTTTTTCTCACTTTCTCATCCTTCCTCTCACAGGGTGTTTGGTTTTGTAGCCAAGAAGCCAGGAAGTGTGGTCGAGAACGTCTGCCACCTGTTTGCAGAGTTGGACCCCGAGCAGCCCGCCTCTGCCATCGTCAACTTCATCAACAAGGTCATGCTGGCGCAGCGCCGATGAAAAGAAACAGAAAAGCCCGATACCCGGACCATGGCAGGGACGTCACCGTGCAAGACAAGGATTGTTAGAGGTTCTGAAATATACATTTGTTTACTTTCCAACGGGTGTGAAGAACCACAACTCTTCCCAGAAGAAGGACGCTTCAGAGGAAAGTGTTTATCCAGGGCTGTTGTCAAAAAGCAAGATTAAGTAAGCTCACTTTAGATTTTAGGTATCAAAAAGTGATCAACGTCGGGTGGAAATAAAGAAACACAAACCTGTAAACAAACATGAAAGGACGATTTCTGGTCTTTGGGGATATAATTATTATTTTTTTTTGGGGGGGGGGGGGGGGGGTTAATGCTAATTAATGAGAAAAATCCCATTCAGAATATAATCAACATCCCATAAACCCTGCTGGAATATCCAAACTCACGCTACAGGCGGTTTGTAATAAAGCTCCACTTCTCTTCCATGAAAACTGACCAGTTTCACTGCAGCCAACTTTCCATGACAACCGCCGTTTGGTTGACTGAATCCAAAGCCGAGCTTGCTTTCCGAAATACACTCCTGACTAAATCCCGTTTCACGCTTCTGCTGGCCAAGTCGGAACAGATCCGACCTTGGTGTCAAAGACTGGTTTTATTTTCTTAACCGTTTTGTACAAATTAAAGAACAGAGAGAGTTGAACATTTAGAGCTGCCTTTAAGAAGCCACAGGTGTTTATATTTTGTATTATTCTAAAAATACTTTTTTGTGAGAGTTCAATGGACCAACGTTTGTTTTGTAATTAACTTCCTGTATGTAGAGATGCTCAGGTATTCTCAGTTTTAACAGTGTTTAACACCTTTAATCATAACCGACAATCGTGCTTGGAATACACTCAGAGGCCAAAGACGTGTGTGTGTAGGGGGTGGGGCAAAATGAGGTGGACGGACTGTGTAAAAAAAAAAATACTGAAAAAAGATCTCAGAACACACACATGCACACACACGCTTTAACCAAAGACGTAGCACTCTTGTATTCATAAGCTTTTTATCAAGCTATATTTTTGTACTCATTATTGCTTCTTGTACTTTTCACTTACGTAGTCGAGTCTTAGCCGGTAGAAAACACGAGTCGTATGACAGCAATAATATATTGTCTGTTTTCATTGGTAATATATTTTCTCAAGCAGCTGTGGGTCAGTGTGAGACAGAAAAAGGAATCTCATGTTCTAATGGAAAGGTTATGATGCTGTTTTGTATACAAGAAATAAAAACACATTAAGAAAACGTGTGGCTCTGAGTGTGTTTGAGGATAAAAGTCACAAAATTGCAGTACATTTTTTCTGAAGTACCATACCAAGTTTATTTGTATAGCACATTTAAACTAGGGATGCAAAGATACCACATTTTCCAAACCGATACGATACCGATACTTGGATCTGAATACTCGGCGATACTGATTACCGATACTGATACTTCTACCACGCAAAAAAATGCAAAGATTTGGAATACAGATTTTTGTTTGCTTCTCTGCTTTCAACAGGAAAAGACTGTGAGGTAGATAAAAAGTAAAATATATGAATAGAAATCATCACAAAACTAAAATATTAGGTGAACAGAAATGACAAGTTACAGTGAAGCCATTTTCAAGCAACTGCATTGGTATCGGTTCCTGGTATCGGTTAACTTTTACCGATACCAATACCAGTATCGTATCTGTATCTACACCGATACCAGTATCGGTATTGGTGCATCCCTAATTTAAACATGGCATGAATACATAATAAAAACAATCAAAAATAAAAACTAAATCCTTTAAAATCGAGTGATTCAAATAGAAAAGGAAAGGAAAAAAGAGAATAAATTAGGCTGAATTAAAAGCCAGAGAATAAAAGTGAGTTTTTAAACGAGACTTAAAAAGGGAAAGAGAGGAAGAGAGTCTGATCGGGAGGGGCAAGTGGTTCCAGAGCTTCGGTGCACAAACTGAAAAAGCGCGCTCCCCGCGGGACTTACAGCAGGAGCTAGGGACATGGAGGAGGTGCTGGTCGGCTGATCGGAGGGACCGCGTAGGGACATAAGGGTGAATGGGCTCAGACAAGTAGCCAGGTGCTAAGTTATTGAGGAATTTGAACACAAAAACCAGGATCTTAAACTCTATTCGGAGATGGATGGGAAGCCAATGGAAATTTGCCAAAACCGGTGTGACTTGTTCTCGCTGCCTGGTGCCAGTCAGGAATCGGGCTGCTGCCTTGTGCACTAGCTGAAGGCGGGCGAGAGTGGAGGAGGAGACAGCATATAGCACTGAGTTAGAGTAGTCGAGACGGGAGGTAATGAAGGCATGGACAACTGAATGGAGACGCCTTTTTTAAATGGGCTTCACTTTAGAGAGACGCCTCAGGTGGTAAAAACAGGTCTTAACTACCTGATTGACATGAATGTCCATTTTTAGGTTAGCATCCATCACAACCCCTAAGTTTGAAGTAAGTTTTTTTTCTTATTTTGGGTGAAATATTTAGACCATTTTGGCTGAAAAACACATTAAAAGTCCAAATTTGTATAAAAATGTCACATTTCTATTTAGTTGTGTGCATTTATAAAGTATGGCTTTGTGTCTAAAAATCTGGCTGAATGCTCTGTAACCATATGTTTTTTTGTGGTGCATTCAAGGCCAACTAGAAAAGGGAGTTTTTAATCTCCTACTTGGGGAAGTGAAATCATTTTGGGCTGCAACAGCGAACAAAACAAAACCATCAAGTTGCTCAAAGTTGAGGTCCAGGGAAGCCTCTTAAACACGAACAGGATCTTCTTTCCGACATTTGGAAAGTCAAATATTTTAAATGTGAAGTGTTTAATTTCACTTGTATCAATCAAACCCACTAAATACTTTAAGTGGACAGCAAACAACACAAGAAGTCACTGTTTTATTACAATTATCTTTAATATTTAAGTTGCAACAGAACAAAAATGCAACAAACATTTTAAAAGAACTTAACATTGGTCTGTCTGTTTTCATTATGACTTTAACGGAAAAATAAATTCTGAACTTTACTTATATGATAATCATTATAAAAGCAACCGCTTGACTCCAGGCAGTATTGTGCTGATAAATATGATTAAACGCAAGTTTTATATTAAAAAAACTCAAATGTGTAAAAACGAACTCCTTAAATCTAGAGATCAGTGTGTGTGTGTAGACTTGCTGGAAGGAAAAATAATTTATCCAAATGGTAAAAATCATTGAACTGCAAATGAGCAAATAGTTTTTCCACTCAGCAAACAACAAAACAGCTCAGGTCAAAGTTCCTGCTTTCTCCTTTAGCTTTAGTCGAGACGACCAGAACTGAAGCGCCGACGAAGATCGTTTGGATCGTTTTAAACCAGAAGGTTGCAGTTGGGAGCTTTTGTGCAATCGTCATTTTCTCCCAAACAAAAAGAACTAATGTGACGTCTTTCGTGACTCCAGTCGAGCCCTTGGTGTGATCTGGCGTCCAGTCGTTGACATCGGAGTGTGTGCGTGTGATGTGGCGTGAAGGGTGACGATTCAGAAAAAACAGCGCTGAACTGGCATTCACCAGCTTTTACGACTAAACCCAACATCCCTTTTAGTTTGTTTCATCCCTCTGTCACAGCAGATGAAAATCAAACAATGTTCTTTGCAACCAGGACTAGAAAATCCATTTTAGTCAGAAAGCACCACCTTCAGCTGCTGTGAGAGTGTGCTACTTAGCTGACTGGTGGTACGTGGTGTTGGACCAACAGTCGATGTAGTTGTACGACTCCAAACTGTTCTGGGATGTCCGCGCCATGTAGGAGGTTTTCACCGACGTTCTAAAAGAGGAAGGGGAGAATAGTGATAATGGGAGGATTTTCTCGCAAGGCGCTTTCCAAACATTCCATTTCAGTCCATTGTGCCAATCAGGAAACATTTTCCTGTATAAGGGCCTCCAGCAGATTGCATCGAGTCACTGGCTTGTTGTGTCAGAGACTTGACAGCTACTTTAGTAAAGTTATAAAAACAAATCCACTCAAGTTAAAACGTAAAACACTAGATCTGTGTTTTGTGACATCGGAGGAAAATCTGCACCGACACATACTTACTGCATAAACACCACTATGTTGTGGACCTTGATGGCGGACATGGAGCAGAAGGTGCTGAAAAGACAACAGGAAAATGTTACAGCTGATTATTCAGCAGAAGCTGCTCCGACAAGGTTTAGATGTTAAAACTTACTAAACGTATGGAGCGCTGCTGCCGATCTCCATGCTGACGGTGAAGTTCACCTGTAGGAGGACCAACGGGACAAAACTCAGCAACACCGGCACCAGGCACTGACAAGGTCACACTAACAAAATTAGGGGTGTGTCATCTTACCCCGGTTTCACACTGCAAGGCATCAGCGGAAAGGAACAGCAGCAGAGCAGCTCACTCGCGAACTTCAAAGCGGTCCTTTTCACACCGGGAGAGTCTTGGCCGCGGCTCGGCTTCCTCGCTGTACTCGCGAGATTCTAAAATCCCTCGAGACTTCCGACACCTTCCTCATGGAAAGATCACAACCCCCGCGAGGAATCAAACCGTTGTACATCTCGAAAGAAACTGGTGGTAAACAAAGCTGTTCGGTCACACGAGCTGACGTAAGTTATATATAACATCGCAACGTTGCAGTTTATTTTGAAAATAACTGGGGATTTTACACTGAAACCGTGTGTGGTTTCCTGTCTCGCACTATGTGAACTGCGGAAATTGACGTGTCCCAGAAGCGGCTGGTGGAAAAAATAGAACTCGATCCTACCTTTAGCGAAGCGGCGTGGCACGGCATGCCGCTTCTGGGACGTGACTGAAAATTGCAGCGTCGCAGCTGGTTTGAAACACTCCATAGACTATAACTGGATTCCATTTGAAGCGGTGCCGCTTCGCTGCTGTTCCGTTCCGCTGTGGCTTGCAGTGTGAAACCGGGGTTAGGTACCTCACGGTTCAACTTGATTTGGGGCCCTAAGATTTGATTATAGAAAGATTACCAATATTTATTATGCATTTTTTCCCACCGTTTAGTTTTTTTATCGCACATCATCATCTTTTCATACTTTCAAATGAATTCAAGTTACCAGACACCTTTTACTCCACCATCTTATTTGTGTGAGACTGAACACATGTGCATACTGTTGCAGGAAATCTACGGGGAAATCATTATTGAAGCAAATGAACGTAAAGTCAGTTTCTCTTTAGTGAACAGAATCAGCTGAGATGGTCAACTGGAGCGATGTAGAGATCCTGGTTCTTCAGGATTTAGAGCTGAAGCTCAGATCTACAGACAGATCATGGGGACTGTGGAGAGCAGAACCTTTTTGGAGCGGCTTATGAAAACATTCAAGAAGCGTTGCTTCAATTATCAATAAAAACAAATTTTTATTTTTCCGGAACTGCGCTGCTCTGGGTGGCTGCATGTTGGAGTAGCTCTGTTGACTGTATGTAAGGTTTGCCTTTTCTTGGGTATTTTTTCTTCTAGTTTCTCAAGAAAAACTGTATTTTTTTAGACACTTTACTTTTCTGCTTCTGGTGCTGTGAAGCTTGGAGGATTTTACTGCTATTTTTTTAGCTTTTTTCACTTTTTGAGCATTTGTTATGATGCGTAACCATGGCAACAAGCTGGTTTACAATCGGGAGCAGCTGATTAACATTGGAAAGGCTGAAATAATACCTCAACTGAAGCCACAAATCCCAAATCCCAAATGAGCTAAAACGCAAGAAGCGTGGATGCAGAGCGGGAGCAAAACGGAGACAGAGAAAGAGGAAATTCAAACCATCTCTTCCATCGATCATAATGGGCAATGTGAGATCACTGGCCAACAAGATGGAGGAACTCCAAGCCCTTTCAAGGACTCAGCCAGAGTTTCGGCAGTTTCGGAACCGCTGGAGGAGATAATGCAAAGAAGGATTCTCCAGAGAATCAAGAAAATGATGGACAACCCTGAGCATCCTCTTCACAAGACTGTCCAACAACAGAAGAGTGTCTTCAGTCAGAGGCTTCTTCAGTTTGGCTGCAACACTGACCGCTACTGGAGATCCTTCCTGCCAACAGCCATTGTAATATACAATAACTCTTTGATGACTTGATTATTATTATTATTCTGAGCTACTACAGCAATCAATTTCCCTCTGGGATTAATAAAGTATTTTTCAATTGAACTGAATTGAATTATGTACGAGCTCAACGAAGACCGTGACGACACGGAGACAGCCCTCACGCCCACTTTATACTGCCACACATAATCCTTTAGTGAACTCGTAACCCCTGGACCCAGAGAACCAGACCACTACTGACCTGTCACCTTGACCTCCCATCTGAAGACGACTATGGAGAGACTCATCCTCACCCATCTACGTTCAGTGGTGAGTCTGGAAATAGACTCTCTGCAGTTTACATTTAAATCAAACATCCACCTGCAGCACCGGGCTCTGACTCACCTCCAGATGCAAAAGAGCACTGTGAGAATCATGTTCTTCGACCTCTCAAGTGCCTTCAACACCATCCAGCCGTGTCTACCGCAGCAGAAGACGAGGGGTGCAGGAGTGAACGAACATCTGACTGCATGGACCATCGACGACCGTACCAGCAGGCCACAGTACATGAAGCTGCACAACTGTACGTCTGAGGCGGTTGTGTGTAAAGTCGATTCTATTCTAAACAACCACAGGGTTCCTGGAGCTGCCTCAGCTTTGCAGCAAAGTCACGCAGCAGTTTTATGAAACAGGCTGAAGTTCCTTCCTCGACTGTTGGCTAGGAGGAACATCTACCCACTTCTTCTCTTCATTTAAACCTATTATAGCTGCAGATGTATTTAATAACCCAGAGTTTTAACGCAGCAGGAGTCTGCTGAAGGATCTGGAAAAAGAGAAACTGGCTGGACTGGTTGGCTTGTTTTGATACTTTCGTCGATCGTTGACAGTAAAATTTTATCTGTTTCATCCTGGCAGGTAAACATCTACAGCACATTTAAAACCGAGGAAGATTTAGTCTGGAACGTCACCATGGTTACCGTCATAAACCTTGTAATGGATTTAAACTGAAATACATGTTTGACCTTTTCTGAGTCTATGATGCAAGTTAAAGTCAAAGTCCCGCTAGTTGTCACACTGGTGAAAGGTGTTCTCTTCATTTGACCCATCCTCGTGGGGATCGGTAAGCTGCAGACACGGCTGTGCTCAGGAACCATTTGGAGGTTTAACCCTCCCAAAACAACCCTAGCAGAGTGTCAAGCGGGGAGGCACCGGGTCCCGTTTTTAAAGTCTTCGGTATGACCTGTCCGTGGATTTGAACCCACGACCTCCCGATCTCGGGTCGGACACTTTACAGCTAGGCCACTTAACCGGTCAAGTCTGGTGTTTGTCAGCTGTACCTGACTCTCACTGAGGGGCAGGATGGTGGTGGCGTCGTCCAGCTGCTGGGTCCCGATCACCGTCTTCAGGTAGAGAACCTGGCAGCTCACGCTCTGAACCAACACCGAGAAGAAGTTTGGGTTGCTGAAGTTTAAAGTTCTCTGAAAAAATAAATCTCAAAGTAAGAAAGGTGCACGACCAGACCTAAAAACTAAGTTATGTTTCCTCAAATCAATTCTACGCAAACAGGAAGTGACTTAGTCACTAAAATAAAACCTTTAAATACCAATGATGTTGTGACATCTCTTCCTGTTTGGTTTCACGCCGACACGTCTCAATGAGAGACAAACTGTGCAACAAAGAAAAGCACAAATTTTAAGCACATTTTCAGGATTTGCTTACCGTCATGTTCATCAGGACCTTCGTGTTGGAGTGGTCGAACCTCACGGTCACAGAACGTATCCCAGCATCCACGACCACCACCGATCGGGGGAAAAGGAAGAAAGCCATCAGCGATGATGCCAGAAGGCAGAGAACGACGGACAGGACCACATAGAGCTTCCTGTAAAATATCAAAACTGTTCAATCTAAATCATCCAGAGCATGTATGCAGACACCGACAGGTTTACAGATCTGGGCCTGTGGCTCTGGCCCGTCTGACAAACCCAGGTCATACACCCTTCTCTCCTTACCTTGTTGATAAAAACACAAAAGCTAAGATTTGTATTACTATTTCCTACTTATGCTACTCATGATCTACAAAAATGGGAAGAAGTGATAAAGTAACTGGAGTATTCTACACATCATCTGGCATCACAAGCATTATTTACTCCTTTCATGTTTGACACATAAAAATAAAAAGGAAAACAGACCGATTGGTTTACCTGCTAGGGGTCCGTTCTGTTTGAGTAGCTATGTAATTCAAACCATTTCTAGTAGGAATGATAATGTAACTGAATGAAATGACTGTTTTCCACCACAAGTCATCCCCCCTCTCCTCTGACACAGAACTAGTCTGCATGAGATATGGCGTCAAGGTCTCATGCATTTGCTCTAAACTGCTTCCTTTCTAGCTCAACAGAAGAATGAAGAATGGACTCTCTCCTTTTAATAAATCAAATAACTCTATTTTTAATAAGCTAATCAAACAAAGTGTTAGTCAATAATAAGATGTGACCAATCTGTGAAATGAAAATATTAATTACTTTATTATAATCCTATAGAATATAATAAGTAATATGACTTTAAATGTTTCCACTAGGACTGATCTCACGTAGCGTTAAGAGACGACATATTGCTTTCACTGATCCAATCAGAATCTGCCAGATCTGACGGAGGCGTGGTTTTGGTGGTGTTTGGTAAACCTGTCATCTTTTCATTCGACCACAAAACAAAACATCAGAAGTATAAAACTATGCCCACGCCATCTCTGATGCCAGTTCAAAGCGTTCTAGAGAAGTTGTCGGAGTGGCCAATCCGTAACTTTCCTCTTCAGCCATAAGAACCAACGACAAGCTGGATAAAATCTGTTGCTGTTCCACCTGCTGCAACGGTTCCTTTCAGAATAAAAGCTGAACCATCACGACCCAGGTTTGGGTCTTGTTAGATGCTGATAAACTGTGGTGACCCGGAAGTATCTTAAGACTGGTGGTCGGCTGCCGCAGCTGTTCCTACAGGCATAAGGTCAAGCTGGACCTCTACACCTCCTGATCTAGACGGGGACTTCCGCTAAGAGTACGTAGACCGACGGAATGGCGTAAAATGTGTTTATGAATTTCCTAACCAAAGCTTAACGTGTAGACATCACCTTCATTTCCCATCAGAACTAATCGCTTCTTCGGATTTGCTGGTTATGAGCAACATTCCACTCTACACCATTCTCCGTCTCATTCACCTTAGTTACACCATACATTTAAAAGTGTCTCTTTGTTTACTCACGTCCTTTGTGGCTGCAGCCTCTGGTCGCTGTACGGGATGAGAGCAACCAGCTCATTCACTTGTTCTGTTAAAAAATAACAATAAAGTTAAACTGAATTTTCACATCTTCTACATTCAAAATGAACAGTCTGATTAATTTAAATCATTCTTTAGTGTTAGTGGCACCCCCACGGGGTGGCCAGGGGGGTCCCATGGCCACTCTGGAAAATTTGTTGTTACTACCATACTAAAATATGAAAAGCTGTGCTAACTTTGTCTTTTTTCTTCGGCATCGGGGTTTCTCAAATTTTAGGTAAATAGGCGTCTTTACACCAACATGGGAATTTTACCCAAACTTCGCTACTTGCGTGTGTCGGGCCGGCTGAAAGGACCATTTTCTCTGCCATTTTGTGGAGCCAATGGAGTGCCTGAACTGGGGTAGGTCCGCGGAAAATGGCCCGCTTCAGTGGAAGTTTTGCTTAACTCACACTAACTCTGTAGGAAATGACATCGGGAGACATCGCCCAAATTTCTATTCTATTTGGTTTATTTATATAGCGTTAAATAGCAACAAGGGTCATCTCAAGGTACTTCAGAAAGTAAACAATCCAGTTGAGTTCAGTTCTTTATGCTGATTAGTTCAACGTATCCCACATAAGGAACCTAACAGATTGTGCCAGTGACTTTATACTAAACAAGCATGTAGCGACGGTGGAGAGAAAAACTCCCCTTGGAGTAGCTATTGTGGTTAGGTATTTTAACTCATTCACTGCCATTGACGACTAAAGTCGTCATTTGCATTTTTTTACTGTGTGGGTGTCGGACGAGCCCCCGCACCGTGAGAACAAACATCTCAGCTCTAAAGCCGATCTTCATCCGCATACGTCACACGATCAGGAAGCAGAACATTCATGTGTTAGGAGATCATTTTGGGTTGCTGCTGTAAAAAAGTGAGACGTGAACCAGAAAAGCTTCTGCCGATCACAACTCAACAACAGATTATGAAAGAACGGATAACGCTCAAAACACGCGGATTCTTCCGGATGTAAGAGATGAGTCTCCTCTTTGTTTTGGTTGTTTTGGCGTCGACATCATCCTAGCGTGCAGCGTTCTGTGAGTCTTAAAAAACAGTAAAAACGGTGAGAAACGCGGGCAGTGAAGGGCTTTACCGATCAGGAAACGGCTGGCAGCGAATGAGTTAAAATTGGAAGAATGAAGCAGGATGAAAGGAAAATTAAATAAACAGTGTTTGTGTTGCATTAAAAGTGCGTTACTAAATTCCCAAATCCAAAGAGATGCAGCTAAATTCCCTCCACGACACCATAATTCACAGGGCTTTGCTGTCTCTCAGAACATCATATAGAACAGCTCTTCTTCGGCTCCTTGAATCCCACAATTTACATCACGCTCTCCCAGTCCTTCATTATAATTACGCCGTACTTTAACAGATTAAAACTTTTATTGTATTAATGCCCGTACGTTTTTGGCTCTGACCAGTGATTTCACTCGCTGCCAAAGCAGTCCCAATATGATGATGTCTTACCAAAGTCCTGAAAGGGTAAGGAGACACAACAGCTGATGCTGCTTTCCAGTTGTCCTTGGAATTTCCCAACAGGAAATGACGTAACTGGCTTGTTTTGCATTCCAGCTTCCAACTCGGAAAAAAATTGAAGTACTAAGCCAAAAGAAGGATAACCAAGTATTCTCTGCACCTAAATAATGGTGACACACAAGCCCTTTGACAATCACCGCATACAACCAGAAATACCTTACAAATCTAATGTAAAAATATAAATGCCAGGAAAAACCATAAACACTGGTCAATTTTGGCGGTAATGTTGAATTTTTCAACAACTTGACTAATGATAACAAAAATAAACACCTGCTCTGTGATGTTAAATGGCAAAAAGAAAGAAAACGGACCATATAAATGAGAAAAACAAAGACGATAACTACTTCCTGGTAGCACTTGACGCAGTCATCTTTAAATTTGGGATCTTGGGGTCCTCGGAAACCTAAGAGCTTGCAGCTTGGAATTCCGAGTTCATTGTGTTCTTTTCGGATAACTTTTTTCCGAAAAACGAGTTCCGAGGACAATGGAACACCATGAGTCATTGCATCTCCTGGTCAATTTTAAACTTCCAGGAAATTTCCCAGATCCCAAAAGTGGAAACAAGACTTTTGTTTTGGATGCAAAGGCTTTTTGTTTTGGAATGGCGGATCATTGCACAGCTTCAGTCTAAACTCTACCAGTTACCAGGGACAAATCTGTTGAGCCACCTCAAAATGCCCCCCATAATTTTTTCTGGGGGCGCCACTGTTAACTGTGTGCTAGCTTGTATAAAACCTTAGTCTACATTCTGATTTTAAAAGATGCAGACATATTTTAGAACACAACTTTCCTCTCGATGTTATTTGTTTACTCACCTGATGGTATCCGTCCTGTCCCCTGACACGTAGGACACGTTATGCTGTCCCTGCCGGTGAACTCCACGTACGGGAACTGAGCTATGTCTTCCCGCCTGCAGAGCCCGTCCAGAGAGTCGTTATCGGAGTCTCCGTCTTCCGTTAGGACCCCTGTCCCTGTTTTCGCCTCCGGGACAAGCGGCAAGCTGCTTCCCCTTCGGGACCAGCGTGTCCCCATGGCGGCGGAAGCGGCGAGTGTTCCCCGGCTACAAACCGCTTAAAGGTGGTGGATGAGGGTCATGAGCCATCCTATCCCCAAAAAGACTAATCCAGTGTCGGGGGTACCGTTCCGTATATATGTCACCAAACTGGCGGACAACAACACGACGTTAAAGCAGAATTCAGTTGTTTGGAGTTGCGTCACTTTAGCTAAAATGACCCGACCGGAAACTAAACTAACTTCTGAGACATTCAAAGTCAAGGTGGCATCACGTCATCGTGTTTTCTGCGGTTTTCTGTCAGTCGCAGTCGGTCGCGTCGCAGTGCAATTTTCTCTTCACAAAAGTTTACGCGAGTTTTACGCAACTACTTTGGCAAGCCAGAACCGCCACAATAACCACTGTACGGCGGTGCGTTCACGTGGCTTGCGAGTTCTCGAAGTTCTTCCTAAAGTTTATAAAATACTACCTCTCGTGTATTATCCACGGTATACAATCACTGCTGGGACTCCTTAAGTATTGTTTATATTCTCACTTTAATTATCTGTTGATTTAAATCAGACAAATATTTTTGAACGACTTTTAATAATACATAGAAGTGAAGCGGCACCGTTTACAACACAATTTTGAAGCATTTAAACGCATCAATTTACTTTTTGATGAAAACGTGTTGGACGCTCGCTGCTGCCACCTGCTGCTCGGAGGTTGCTTTAGCAACCACGTTAGGGTCAAATAAAAAGAAATAGACTGTATTTTAATTTCTTTTTATTTGTAATCTTTAGTTACAAGCCAGTTACATACATTTTTCACTCACAGTTGTTTTTAACATTTTTTTTCATATTGTGGTTTTACATTGTCCTTTCCTCACTTTTTATCATACTTTTTACTTTTCTCTATTTTTAATAAGTATATGTTGTCAAAACTCTAATCTCATTTTCAGTAAAAAAAAAAATTTACTTCATTGTCCATCAATCTATTTTAGCTGCTTCATTATATGTGCCTATAAAAGGTTTATATACCAAAGTGTGTATCCTGTCTATTGAAGAACAGCAAATAAATATGGATCTAATTTTGACTATTATTCATCACAGGATTAAACAGTAACTCTTCTAGTCAGCCTTATATATTTGTAATTGATAATACTTTAATATTGTTTTGTCAAAGTGAAAGTACATGTTCCATCAATGATGTGCATAGAGAAAAGACCAAGAAACACACAGAAATTTGTTTTCTCACATTGATTTTGGTCCTGTTTGTACAAAACTATAGCAAATCTGTTTAGGAACTGCCAGCTAGTTTGCAGCAAGTCTCCTTTTCAGCTCCTCATTCTCCTTCAGCAGCTTTTTATTCTAGGAAAAAAGATAAATTAAGCAGTTGATTAAAGATGTTTAGTAAACTTTTATTGCTTGTTTGCAACATATCAACTGCAAAATAGGGGTGTAAGAAAATATTGATACACTTATAATATTGATGCTGAATTGACATTTAAAAGCAATTAATCAATTTTTTATTGATAATTGATGCAAGAATTTCCTGCATTTCTCCTGTGTGGTGTAATTCAACCTGTGACCGCTAGGTGGTAGCAGATTTTACTGCATTCATTCTGACCAACACATTCTCTCTCCCAGTGCGTCAAAAACAAATGCTTGGTCAGCCACCCTCCGCCTCAGACCCCTGACGCCAAAAGTGCCCTTTTTTGTTACTTATGTGCGAAAAGGGTTTTTCCCTTTTCTGACTGCAGATCCCAATGCAGCGTTACACTGACGCGATGGGATGTCCGTAGCCAGTGCACCAAACAAGCTCATTGTACCTCACCCTAACCTTATCCTCTTATTTAACCTTCCCCTCACCCCTATCCCAACCTTAACCATCTTGCTAGCTAACACGTTAGTGATGTGTCGGTCGCTCTAAAAGCCGGCTCTATGAAGTGAACGGCGGGAGCCGCCTCGTCATTGGGCGGGTTTGGACCGAGGCAACGCGAGGGGGAGGTTTCAACTACCAAGGTGGAGGTTAAAAGTAGAGGGTATTTGTAACGTTCCCCTTGCCAGATGTTCTAATGTTCCCCTTGGGCGGCAAATACGAAAATTCTGTCAGAATGCATGGGAAACAGATGCTTGATCACAGTGAGAGTAACGTTTTAGGTAGCAAGAGGGTTAAGGTTTAGGTGCGGTTAAATGAGCTGGTTCAGTGCCGCATCAGCGGATATCTCATCACGTCAGTTTTACGCTGCATTGGGATCTGCAGTTACAAAAGGGAAAAAACCCTTTTCGCACATAAGTAAAAGGGCACTTTTGGCATCAGGGGTCTGACGTGGAGGGTGGCTGACCAAGCGTTTGTTTATGACGCGCTGGGAGTGAGAATGTTTTGTTCTGACAAATAACTCTGGAAGTGTCGAGTTTTCCATTTAATTTTAGTCCTAAAAATCGCAAACATCATCTAACATTAACCAACGCGATGAATCGTATCGCCTCCCGTGTATTGTGATGCATATCGTATCGCCCGATTCTTGCCAATACACACCCCTTTTATTGCAAAAGTACTTTAGAAATCTACCAGGACCCACTTTGTGTCTGAGTGCTTCCACGATCAGATCTCGACCTCCTCTGCTACTTTCCTCTTTTGGTGAAGTTTGGAAGGATCCACCAATGACAGAAACCAAAACGTGAGCCTGAAAATGTGAGTAAAAAAGAAAACAGCAGAGCAGGTGGTCTCCTGCTCCATCTCACAAACTCTTAATGCTGCAGTGGGAAAACTCACAAACTTCCTGCTCTGGAAAAGATAACAGTGGAACGTGTCGGTGGCGAGATGCTGAGCCACAAAGCCGAAGACTTTGGGCGAAGACGACAGGACGGCGCAGAAAGAGACTGTGGTCAGTGGACACGAGTACAGGAGGAACTGGGGACAACAAAAACAGATCTAAAGACAAACTCCAAAACTCAAGATCTTGGACCTTTGGACATCACACACCTTTGTTTTGTGCTCCAGAATGTCGAGCGTGTTTGAGGACAGGTAAAGGTGGACTTTGCTTTTCTTTGATGCCTTCTCTGAGGAGTACTTATCTGGCGTCTTAGTAAGAAAAAAGAAGCAGTGATACAGAGTCCCAGCATTCCTGCAGAAGTCTAAACTGTTTAGTTGTGATTTTTAATAGAAGAAAAAGCTTGAACATTTATTTTTATGTCCGTGCTCCAAAAAAATAATGCACTAAGTGATATTAATACACATTCAAATGCATGAAAACACACTGAAAATCAAAACAAACTGCACACAGTTGCATTCAGAGACACAAACCCCAAATCAAGTCCAGTTGTTAGTCTCTATCTAACAATAGAACCTGCAGCAAAGGACCAACCTTCAGGTTCTGAGCAGCTTCCTCCAGGATCTGGACTCCAGAAGGCCGAACGACTTCAACTCGGCCGAGAAACTACAGAAAGAGGTGGAGGTCGGTACTTCTGGGAGAAAACAACGTAACATTTCAACTTTCGAACACCAGAAACTCAAACTCACCTTTACAGTAAACAAGATCTCATTGGAATCATCTATGATGTCATCCATCTCAAAGCCGGTCGATGAACTGAACCCTGTCAGCTGCTTGGTTACTAAATCAGTCGAATAGTTATGGATTTAGTCTTATTTTTGTGATTATTAAAGAGAAGTGAGCCGGTGTCTTGTTGCAGGTGTAAGCTGAGGGGTGTAAAGTCTACTGGAGTTAATAAATAACCTCTTCCTTATTGCTGTTTATCAGATGTTTGAGCTAGTTTGAGAGTTTCGCCGATACTTTCAATAAATGTTCAGAGATTTAATATTCTAGGATGTTAAAAAGTGGCTATTTGTGGCATTTTACAGATAAAGAAACAATCACCTGTTTAAAATATGTTTTTAGCCCTTTAAAGCCAAATGATCACATCTGCTCCACATTAGGCTTCTTAGATCTCGATCTATTTGACAGGATTAGCACATTCCTGAATTTCTGTACAAGTCTAGCAGTGCCTACACCACGCTCAGGACAATCCAGACTCTTCTCGTGCATCGTTCCACAAATGTGGAATGACATTCCTAACACTACCAGAACAGGAGCTTCCTTTTCAACTTTCAAGAAACTCCTGAAGACCCTGCTCTTCAGAGAGCATCTTCTTAACTAGCACCCTCCCTGCACCCGTCCGCCCTCTCTACTGTCCACTCCTTGTTCCCTACTCTCCATGACTGATGTCAAGTTGTTGTTGTTATTGTTGTTGTTAGCCTCAAGGGCAATATGCCGATTATCACTTGTAAGTCGCTTAGGACAAAAGCGTCTGCTGAATACATAAACATAAGTCTTCTGCCTCCTTGTGGAAGCTCTAAGAACTGCAGCACATAAAGGTCATTTACACATTTTGCTGACTTGTAATATTTTATATTTGCCAATAAGACCAATTCATTTATTATCAGTGATGGAGTGTAATAAAGTACAAGTACTTTGTAACTGTATTTAAGTAATTTTGTTCTCTTATCTGAACTTAAAGAGCAAGTCAAACCCCTAATGAACTTTTTTTACTGATAAACTATATAAATGCGTGTCTAATCGTGCTGCAGACACGTGTAGTCAATAGTTTTGCACTTTAGTGCATTTTTTTACTAACCATGGACTTGCTAAACTGGTCATTCAATGCGATTGATAAGATTTTTTCAACAATGAGAACGGAGCAGGGGGCTCCCACAGGGGACGCACCCGGTGGGGTATATTTTGGATTCCTGGAAGGAGTGGAAGATCATATGCCTTAGCCAGCTGTCCATTGAGGACATCGAAGACGTGTGGATATTTGGTCTGATGATCACTGGATTTCTTCTGATTAGAGTGGGAGGATATCTGGTTTTCTGGAAATTTGGGAAGACGGGAGCGATTGGAGGGCGACCCGCACCCACGGAAAGCACCGTCCATGTGGAGACTTCACAGACTGGGACGTTACTCGAGGTGAATCGTAAGCTGGACAATGTTCTAGCTGCGATACCGTATTAGTGCGCAAAATGGATGTCATCTCGGAGAGTCACCGGACGGTATGGACAAGTTTAAAAACCCAAAATTGGCTTCACTGAAGGACTGGAAATGATCAGTTTAAAGACTGAAGGCAGAGAGGAAAATTATCTCAGCCTGACCCAAACAAATTCTTGTTATCTGAATCTGACGCCCTGGTAGCCTTGAGCGGCGAGCAAATAAAACCCCCACGAAGGGATGCAGACAGATGCTGTGAAACCCCCCACCCTCCGCCTTCGGATTGGACGAGGTCATCAATCTGTTGGAGTCAATGTGCTCTTTGCTTCTCCCAAGATCTCCCTCCCACCTGTGGCTGTACAGTAGATGAGCGCCGGGGAAACAGGATCCCAGCCCCCCCCCCCCCCACCCCCCCCTCCTATTGGAGTCTCATGTTTTGTTGTCTGAAGTCTGTTGCATATCTGTTGAGGTGTTTTGTTGCAGAGCAAAGCTGCCCTCCCAGTGGAGTAACTCTGAAGTGCCATTTTTCCCTCCACCTGAACCAATCCTCATGTAACCCTGTTCTCTATTAAGGTAGCACGACTCAGGGTTGCGAATGACCACAGTCACCAATTCTTGTCATGTGTCTTGCCCATGTATGTCTGATCTCTGAATTGTGTGCACTGAAACTCTAATTTCCCTCTGGGATTAATAAAGTATTGATTGATTGATGTAAACACAAACAAACACACACTTCCATATCACCTATATTTAATGTTTACAGTAAGTGCCACTTCATTGATGCAGAGTCGTATTATATTATGAGTCCATACAGAGGACGTCCACGTCTCAGTCACAAGAGACATCAAGCAGCAACGGGTGAATGACGGCTGGAAGGACAACATGGCGGAAACACCCGACAGTTCTCACCAAAGGCTGGGAGATCATTCTAGGCTTCTTGTTGGTGATGAGAAAGTGACAGGAAGTGGAATAAAGGCGAGTGACTTGCAGAAAATCCCTTTTTTCGGTGAATTAGAGGATGAGATGAGTGAACCTCCAGTCAGACGGAAACAGAGTCGAACTGTCTAAGATTCAATGAACCTTAACTGATCTCAGCCACCGTGATGAAAGTCGAGGCTCTGTTCCATCGGTTTGGATCTGTGAGGCGGATGATGCGTTTGAGTCTACGAGTCGTTTACGGACATGCTCTCCATGGCATTGGGCAGGTTTGGGTTCCCTCCTCCCTGTTTCTTCTTCTTCCCTCCTTCCTGTTTCTTTGCTTTTTTGGTTACCTCCTGATCAATGGGGGCGGGCTTAACGAATTTAATGATGTCAGTCAAACCTGGAGGTGGAATCAAAAAAATGAAGTCATTTATTTCATTCTAACTCACTAGAAAAGGGACGAGTTGGGAGCTAAAACGCACCTGGAGGCATGAAATCCCGAAGCTTCTCAGGAACAATGATGCCCTCCTCAGTTTGGTAGTTTTCCAGGATGGCGCACATCACCCGCGTAGTGGCACACATGGTGGCGTTCAGCATGTGCACAAACTCTGTCTGCAGGTCAAAGGGGGGATTTTAGCTGCAGAACCAATCTGGTAAGAAGCTGCAGCTGAACTCGTGACTCGTCGTGAGCAAATGTAAGAAGCCCAGCGGCAACGAAAGCAAACGACTCCACATTTTGGATGTTTTAACCTTTTCATCTCCAGTTATGATGGTTCTGGAATATTAAACCTTTTTACAAATCAGGTCCCAGTCTGGTTCTGCATGACCGGCCAGCTTCAGCTCGATTAGCAGCTCTGCTCTTACCTTATCCATCATCTTTTTGGTTTGTCCGTAGCGGATGCGGAGACGTCTGGCCTGGTAGTCGGTGCAGTTTGAGCAGGAGACCAGCTCTCTGAAGGCACCTGAACCAGGAAACCAGGCCTCCAGATCCAGCTTCTTACTGGCAGCGTGATTTAGGGCACCTGCAGAGGTTTTGGGACGAGTAAAAATAAACAAAAGATCTCCACGTCTTGAATTAAGAACTTACAAAGACATACCAGACACGATGTTAACGATACGATAAGGAATTCCCAGAGACTGGTAGAACTCCTCTGCAGTTCCAATCATCTCGTCAAACATCTCCCATGATTTCCCGTCGTGTGGGGAGGCGTAGACAAACTGCTCTATCTGAAACCAGAAACACCAGGCTCAGCTCCAAGATGTCACGGTTTACATCCTCAGTTTCGGTTCTTACTCTTAAGCACCACCTTCTCAAACTGGTGCACCCTGAAGATCCCGCGGGTGTCTCGCCCATGGGAGCCCACTTCCTGTCTGAAGCAGGTGGAGAGGCCGGCGTAGCGGATCGGCAGGTCCTCGGGCTTGAGCCACTCATCCCTCAGGAAGGCTGCGATGGGCTGCTCAGAGGTGGCGATCAGGTATTTTTCATCTACGGAGCTGTCGTCCGACCTTTCGCTGCTTTTGCCGATCACCTGCAGGAAACGTGGCCGCATTTTTAGGCTGTCGCCACGGAAACTTAAAGAGGTTTAAAAACACGTTTAACCCTTCTTTGCTTTGATGTTTGAACTAGACAAAAGCCTGACTCTGTTGTGTTTCATGATTTAAATACTTATATTTAGGACGACTGATTAGGGTGACCAGATGTCCCGCTTTGTGCGGGACAGTCCCGCATTTTCATAACTTTTCACGTGTCCCGCATTATTGACAGCTTCCCGTTTCGAGTTTCGGTCTTATAGAAGAAACTGTGGAGAAATTAGGGATGCACGGATACGATACTGGTATCGGTGCAGATACCGATACAGATACCAGTATCGGTAAAAGTTAACCGATACCAGGAACTGATACCAATGCAGTTGCTTGAAAATGGCTTCACTGTAACTTGTCATTTCTGTTTTGTGATGATTTCCATTAATTTATTTTACTTTTTATCTACCTCAGTCTTTTCCTGTTGAAAGCAGAGAAGAAAATAAAACCTGTATTTCAAATCATTGCATTTTTTGTGTGGAAGAAGTAAAGGTATCGGAATCGTATCGGTTTGGAAAAAAGTGGTATCGTTGCATCCCTAGGAGAAATCTGTCTGTTGCTGTTTATCAAACGGAGGCGGGGCTTGAACACAGCGTGTGTGGAGCGCGCCCGAACCACCAAAACAAGCGTGAGTGAACACGGAGGAGAAAACGCTGTAAACTCGTGAATTAAACATGTTCAGAGATACTCGACAGTCTTTGTTGTTTAAGAGTCATTTTTCATGTCTCGGAGCGGAGTCTGATATGAAGAGGTCAAAAGCAGGTTTTCCAGTAATTAGACAGGCCCATGATGAACACAATGGAGGCTCTAACAGACACGGTGCTGCGGTTTCAGATACCTGCGTACATGCCGAGCCCCTTAAAGCACAGTGAAGAAATAATGAGAATAAATGGAAGCTTTGATCACTTATTCTCAGACATTTGAGGCAAAAAGTAACTCTAAGAAACTTTTATTAGATAAGATCTGAATTTTTTAGAGATTAGAATCTGATGTTTATTCTCTCACCTAAAATCTAAGAGATTTGTTTTCATGTTTAAAAAAAATGTTTTGTTTCTGAATTAAGAAAAAAATATCACTGGCACTTTTACTGTCATTCTATTGCGGAAAACACTGAACGAAAACTGAGAAGCAGCTTAAACCTGCATGTTTTTATTATCGTGGGCCTATCTGTATTATTAAAAGGATCAGAGCCACTACAGAAGGCCCAAAGAGCCTGAGTCATGTTGTGGTAACGTGAGAGGAACCGTGAAATAGTAAAGCTTTTGCTGTATGCTTCTTCATGTTGAGTTCAAATCAAATATATACAAGAAATAAATGATGATAATAAGAATAATCATTTTATGTATATGTCACAGTGATGTTGGGGCTAAAAGGCAGAATATACGTTTTGTTTGTTTGTTTGTTTTTTCTCATTACATTGGAACTTCACGTTGTGCCACATTTGGCCAGCTGGGATCTGGTCACCCTACTGCTGATTACAAGTAGAACGTGTAGCTACTTGTTCAAACCTGCAGGGGGCACCCTTGCCTTTAAATTCCACACAAATATGTGAAAAATTGGATATTCCTGTTCCAACTGATCCCTTCGACTTGACAGGTTAAGAGATCAGTAATAAAATAAAATACAGGAAGGAGTGTACATACTTTATAAAGCTCTTCGTCGAACTGGCTGAGCTGGGCCACTTCCTGCATGACCTCTTTCCTCATGAAGAACGGCGTGTACAGCATGGTGTAGTTCTTGCTGTGGAGGATCCTTAAGGCGTAGCTGATCAGAGCCTGCTCCAGGAACACCAGGGGACCCTGAACACAACACGGGAGAAGAACAGCTGCTTTGGAAACCCTCACAACAGGAATTACATGATAGATGGCAGAGAGTGGAGGGTCAGACCAATGCAGGCCTGTTTGAGTTTGTATGAGAGAGGAACTCACCTTTAGGAAGTAACCTCTGCTCCCAGCCACAACGGCTCCCCTCTCTCCATCAAAACCATCGATCATGACCACCAGGTCAACATGAGAGTATTTCTTCTGAACGCTGCAGTCCCCCCATGTACGCTCCACCTTGTTGTCTACATCCTGGCAGGAGTTTGAAAAGAAAACAATGAAGAGAAATACTGGCTGCACCTCCTGGCTCGTTAGGCTGCATCAAACCCACCTCGTCGTTGCTGATGGGTACAGATGGGTGCAGGAGGTTGCCGATCTCCCTCAGGTACTCAAACCTCTCCGCCTCCAGCTTTAGCCTGTCTCGGTCTGTCTTCTCCACAGTCTCGTCCACAAGCAAGCGCACCTTTTTGATCTGTGCCACTGTCAGCGCCTGATGCAGAATCATCAAAGTAGGGTAAGAATCAGCCGAGGCAGAGACATAACCACGACCAGAGTGCCGTTGCACATACCGACAGTGTCTCCGCTGTCAGGGCTTCCAGGTTCTGTGCATCCTCTGGTACGGATTCGTCCTCCCCAACTGGTTCTTTCCTCTGCAATCACACAGCATCAGGCAACAAAACGGTTATAAAAAAATCTGATCTTTCTTTTTACAGCAATCAAACAACCCAGTTCCGACTGACTTTTGAGGATATTCGTGATTATGATTAATGTACGACTCATGTGCTCCATGAAACGATTTTAAAAGCCTAAAATGTCCAACCTACAAATAAAGTCCAGCTACCTTCTTCTAAGCCATTAGACATTGCTGAAACCTGTTTAAACATATAAACTCACACAGGAACAAATATTGACTGAGGTCCGCTCCTCGCCCTTTTAAAAAACATGTATTTAGTACATTTGTACCTTCATTTTCTCCCCAATGCTCTTGCTGCAGAGGTTCTTTAGCTTGTTGAGGTTGTCTGCAGTGAAGCGGCCTGTAAAGGGTTAAACTTGTCAGTTGCATCATGGGAAAACGAGTCTGTCAGCTGCACCAACACTTAAAAACCTGATGACATCTGGGATAAGCTACTGACATGTAAACATTATTACTTAATCAAATACAGGAGTATTCCTAACCCTACAGTAAAACAGTTACGTCTGCCACCTAAAAAGCAATGTAAACATAATGAGCGATCATGCAAAACCATAATGAAAGCATCTGCTCTCTGCTGCAGGGCGAGGTGGATTGGATGCTGGCTGGGATTGCATCAGATTATGATGTCAAGATAAACTAGCATTACCCCCCCTTAACTATAATAAAAAATACAATTGTCTTAGAAGACGGACAGTTACTCTACCAAAATCCATATACAGGTACAAAGTTTAGTCTCTGTGAAGAAAAACCAAATGAATATTTTAAATTCATTGAATGATGCTAGCTGTGCTAACATTAGCATGTTCTTCTCTGAGAAACACACTTCGTTCAAATCTTCCACTAAAAATCTCACTTAACTCGTTGACAAGCAGTCATGTGTTTCTAGAAGATTAAATCATTTTACAACTAAAAGCTGAGTGTCATGCTCTGTTAGAACCGTGCGTTAACATTAGCATGATAAGCCGTCGTGCTAACGCTAGCTGCTAATGATGACTCAAACTTGCAGGTACGTAAAGGACACTTACATCTTCTCCACTCTGAGTCTGCGGCGACCAGTTTATCAACCAGCGTGACATCTTTAAACCTTTTCCTCTGAGTCTCACGGACGACCTCTGGATCGCCGCCTTTGTCGGTTCGAAACAGGTCCAAATCCAGCACCATCTTTCCACGCTGCTTGTCAGAAAAGCCGAATGAAGCTACGCCGGTGACGCTGCGTCACCGGGTTGCCAGATTTGGTCGCTCAAGGTAAAAAACACGTAAACAAGCAGAGTTGCGTTGACTTTTCTCAAGTTATTTTAAGGCAGAAGCGACTCTGTTGTATAAATAAGGTTAATGGAATCTATGATAATGTTAAAATAAGAAATTGTTTTGTTTCTTTTGATAAACAGCTAAAGAATAAAATGAATATTGCTGGTGAAGGTTCTCAGTCATCCAGGTGGTAGTCTAAATTTGGTTCTAATGAAAGCAACAGGATATTTTTAGTTTCTTGAAACATTTCACTTCTCTGTTGAGGTTTGTCAGTTCTGCCTGTAATACGTGGAGGGTCATGCCCATAAATTATAGCTGTCAGTTGTTTTTTCCTACCTACCTTTGGGAGTCGTCGATGTCAATAGGTCCTGTTGTGTTGTTAGATGCAGGAGGACCTAAACTGAAACTGTTTTGGAGTTGGAGCTGCATTGTAGGTGCTGGAAAGGTGAAAAGTGAAACCCGAGACCTCCTCTGTCTGGATTTTATATTATTTCCTGAAAAAAATTGAAAGATGCTTTATATGGAACCCCATAGGAGTGACAGGTTAGGGCTTCTTGTGTGCGGCTTTCCACAGCTTCCATTGTGCTCCTGAACCCATCTTTATTTGTTCTAACTTTATCACCATCAGCGAGTTACCAAAAAACTAATTTTATTGGAAACTTCTTTTGGCTGCCTCCTAACAACACCCAAAGAGAAACTCCAAAGTACTTTCTTCAGTCGTTTACAATAAGAGGCTCATATATCCACACATATCTCAAAACAGATTACACTTACAAAACCAGTTTATGCCATTTTATTTAGTGGATGCTTCCAAAGCAACTTAGAATTGTAGATAAAGCAATGTAGTTCCTTTACCTGACAGGCAAGCTTTTGGTCTGTGGGAGGAATCTGCAGAACCCAGAGAACATGCAAACTCCACATAGAAAAGCTCCGGCTAAGATTTGAACCTATGACCTTCTCGCTGTGAGACAACAGTGCTACCACCATGCACCCCAAACAGTTTATTAAGTTTTAACTGGGAAAACTTTGGCTTAATGTCATTATATCAAATTCAGTAAAATGCCATGTCTTTGTGGTTTATTCAGTAAAAGCACATTCAGAACCCTGGTTTACAATAATTAAAAATAAAGACTAAAAAAATACAGTCAGAGCAACAGGGGTCTCTTACTGGCCTCAAAACAACCAACTTTCAACATTTTTGAACGGAGATATTGTTTTGACCCTTTTCTCAGGATTTTGCCTTTATTCTGGAAGTATTTTCAAATTTGTTTGACTTTAATCCTTACATTTCTTCATTTTGCTAACTGTATAACATAACACTCATTCTCATTCATCCATATGGTTGTGGGAAGCTAATGTCCATCTGCATCCATCAACAGGCGATGGGTGGGGGGCTTTCCGGACAGGTCGACAGGTCCATCACACGGCTCAATTCAAATTCTTTTTTTGATATAGAGGCAATTACCAACAAAATCCCATCAAAGCTTTAAAAAAGCAACAAGTTCCATTCATATAAAACAGGTCCAGATGATTTAATCAGATTCCATGTTTTATAAAATGACAATTAGTGAAAGGTTGTCCAAGAAGGAAACTAGCAGATCGCATCAAATCTTCATTTCAATACAATCTGCTATCCTGAGCAAGCACTGGGCGATGGTGGGGAGGAATGACCCCTTTTTAACAGGAATAGAACTATATGATAGGTACATTTACACAAACAAAGGTGAAATATGCCATCATTTAGAGAAAACATTCTGAATGTATAACTTTAAAGACTAATACTGTAAATAAAGATGGCAGCGAATAGGTCATTCAGTGATGAGAGGATGAGTCATTCTGCCATTGTGTCCTTGGGCAAGAAACTTCATCCACCTAGCTGCATTCAAACCGACGTATACAGACGCTTTGAATAAAATCATCTTCCGTACACATAAACAGTTTTTAAGTATTTGAAAATGTAGCTGCTTTAATTACATGTACAAAAATATATTTGTGCTCTATTACTGGATGTATAAATCATGTTATAAAAGTCATAGTTTTTAGTTTTGTTCAGATAAACGTGTCTCCTGAACGGAGATGAGAACTACCGTAAGAAGGTTCGATGAAACACAAAAGCCACAAAACCAAAACAAAAAGCTGCAACACAAACAGAAATCCTACGACTACAGCAATAACACAACGTTAGCTAAACAAAAGGGCATAAAAAGGAAGTAGTGGTTAGCTGGAACTGCTTAAAAGGAACTTATGCTAACACTTTAAATAGTCCATTAAACAACAGCGTTCAGGACCTACAACACCACTGAAGAACCGTAGTCCTGAACACCATTTTCTCCTGTTCACTTACTTTTCGAGTAGGGATGTGTATTGGTGAAATTATGGCAATACGATACGTATCATGATACAATACATCACGATATATTGCGATACATTCGGTCAGATGATATTGGCGATTTTTTTAGACTGAATATATTGTAGGAATATTCAATAAACAGTCCAAACTGATACGTTAAATGTTTAACATGAGGTATCGGAACCACAATAGAGGGATTTACATTTCAATGGTGGAAACAAAACCTACAGCACACCGCTGCCAACTAGCGGCCGGTGTTTGAATTGCACTAAAAGAAAAAAATACACAAATGTTTGCATGTAAACTCTTCCAAAAATTTGATACACGGCTTTTGATACAATATTGCAGGGGGAAAAAATCACGATATATTGCCATATCGATATTTTCTTACTTCCCCAAATTTTGAGCATAATTGATTAATTTGCTTCTGTTTAAGTTCCAAGTTCTGGCTGACCACAGCTTCCATTTTATGCTGCTGTTTAGGTAATTTCCTTTTCATTTACTTTCATTTCTACTTCTGTTATAGATTTTGTCATAATGTTGTGGCTTATTTATTTCACTGACCCTTCTGGGCCACCATACTACATTATGTTGGTTTAAACATTCCATGGGTTAGGTCTTATTCCTTCCCGGTGTGCTGCCCGTTTTGCCTTCGTGGCCGTCCCAGCCTCACGTATGGCCCACTGCAGAGCAGCTCCTGATGGTACGGTTGAGAAGCCCTCCTCTGTGATGTGGTTTATCTTCAGGTAACTTCCTGGTCTGTGCAGGGCCACTCCATGAAGGTGGGAGAAGAGCAGCGGTAAGTCATTTGTCAGTCTGTAGCAAGATACCAGCCTCAGCTCTGTGGGGATGTCCGTTTCCTCACAGTACTCGAAAATGGCTGTCATGTATTTGGACAGGTCTTGCCCCCTGGCCTTGGCTCGGCCAACTTCTTCTCCAATAATATGAACGACTGCTTCGCAACTTTTAAAATTCAACCCTAAATCTGCTACTTCGTCACCTTCCTCATCCTTCGCTGACCCTGCAGGGTTGTGTCTTTGCCTGAGCCCCGGAGAACATATCACCAAGACAAAGTCACACTCTTGGATCTGCCGGCAGTGCCAGGACATGCTGCCCTCCTCAGACAGGCTAAGATTCTCCCAAAGGTCCAGGTGCACCTGAAAATGCACACAACAAATGTGTCATGCACACAGATTCAAAATAAGCCACGCAGTATCGTTAGTAAAAAGTACCTGAGTTGCCATGTGCTGCTGTACGAAGGTTCCCAAGTGCATGATGGCTTTAACATGGGCGGGACCGTCATATCTGCTGTAGCAAATCAGTAGACGTGGAGGAATCAGTGGGGTTTTGGGCAATGACACAACTTCCTCTTTGGTCCTGTTCTCATGTAGCATAAAAAGTTCTACGAAGAACAGAAACACAAAGTTAAACTAGTAGGTTGGTGACTTTAATTACTCACTGCAGTTTAGATAGCTGTTATTGCACCTGGTTTTAGGTGGAGTGTCTTCCTGTGCTCCTTGGTTTTCCAATAGACAATAGCAGCCAGTATGACACCAATGACGAGCACCACAGCCAGACACAGTGGTAGCACCACAGACACGGCGGGGGTGTGAGGGGGAGCCTCTGAGGACATGGGAGCTGTAATGAGAAGGTAATACTGACGTGTATCCAGATTTTGTGTGTGATGGGAATGACCTTTTACCAGTGTTTACCAGTGTTGGTCCATTGTGGTGACAATACTGAAATTGGGTTAACTCCATCAGCTACTTAGTATTAGATGAACATCCAATGATGGCGCTTCCCCTGTGATTTTCCTGTTTTTGACCCTTCCTGTCAACTGCATCAACTCTACTGGTCATGAACACCAAACACTTGTTAATCATTAAGTTTGCAAATTTTGATCAAAGCGAGCAACAAGCTGCGTGTCCGTCCTCCATACCTACTACATGCCTAACCGCTCTTGCTAACCTTGAACCAAACCAGTATGTTATCAACTGACATTTTAATTCCGTTTCTAAATTTAGTTTATTCATATACCGCTGATTCACAACAAGAGTCATCTCAAGGCACTGTACAAAGAAAGCATTCCTACTTGCCTTTCTAATTATAGGCCAGTTTCTAAGCTCAAGCTTGGTTTATGTTTCTGCGTCAGCTCCACAGTCGAGAGACACGCACGGATTGACGGAGGCGTTTTGCCTTCGGACTTCTTCGAAGGGTTGCAAAGCAATTCCCCGCCAGGACAACAGAGGGCGTAGCACTGTTCTGGGGTATCCTGTCATGTATCTGGTCCAAGATTGTGTTTATAGTGGGTGTTTATCAATGTCAAGGTGCCTGGCTTTGCGAGGCGATGTCTTGCGAGGCCAGGCACCTTGCTTACGAGGACACTGTCCTTCCTTGGTCAAAGAAAACGGTTAAATGGAACAGACTTGCTTCACGTGTCCGTGGCTTCCACGGCGGTCACGAGATGCCTTACCAACATTGGCCTGTATGGTAACGGAGCCCTCTCCCTGCCAATATCATGTCTGGTGGAGGAGTACAAATGTTCCAAGTCAAGGCTGGAAATGTCCCTCACAGATTCCTGAGATCCAGCCATCAGAGATGCTGCCCCAACCCTAGCAACGGGGAGGAAATGGAAGTCATCGGCAGCAGTTGCGCAGGCAAAGGCTGCTCTCAGACACCGGGACATAGTGGGACATGTACAGCATGGCAGATGGGGCCTTGGAATGGAAGCAGCAACACCCAAATGGCAAAAAGCAACTCCAACCAAACAACGGCACATGGTGGTGGAGGAGGTACGCCGCCAGGAGGAAGCAGCCAGATGTGCAAAGGCTGTCTCCCAAGCCCGGCAAGGCTGCTGGATGAAGTGGGAAAGCATGGAGAAGAGGAAAATCACCTGGAGCGAGATGTGGAGCATGGAGGCAAATAGACTAAGTTTTATCATCAAAGCCACATACGATGTCCTACCCACCCCAACCAATCTACACCTTTGGTATGGAGAAGATCCAACATGTCCCCTGTGTGCCGGCCCAGCAACCCTCAAACACATCTTGGTGGGTTGCAAGATCAGCCTAACTCAAGGGAGATACACCTGGCGCCACAACCAAGTACTAAAGTGATTGGCTGCCGGACCTGAGAACAAGAGGGTAACCATCAACGCTATGCCACCAAATGGCCAGACTGCCATCCCACAAAAAATCTTCATGCGGGAAGGGGAGAAACAGCGGACAGAGCCATCAATCACTGACTATGGTCCATTGGATGCAGCACAAGACTGGGATTTGCGTGTAGACCTCAAACAGAGGCTCACCTTCCCACCCAAAATTGCTGCAACCAACCTGCGCCCAGACCTTGTCCTTTGGTCAAGGTCCTGCCGGCGTGTCTTCATTGTCGAGCTGACAGTCTCTTGGGAGGAAGCCGTTGACGAAGCATTAGAACGGAAGTGGCTGCGGTATGCAAGCCTAGCAGCTGAAGCGGGAGGGGGGGAGGGTTGGAACGTGAAGGTGTGGCCAGTGGAAATGGGATGCAGAGGTTTTGTAGCCAGTTCCATAATAACACTTTTGAAGGAAGTAGGAATCCGAGGCCAGGCCCAACGGAGGGCAATCAAAGAGCTTGCCACTGCAGCGGAACAGAGCAGTCAATGGCTGTGGCTGAAACGAAGGGATGCAATTTGGGCTGCCAAATGATGACGTGGTGCTTCTGAGTGACACAAACCCAGGTCTGATCAACCAGGGGTGGGCCAACCCCGGCAGAGGGTGTATTGTGATAAGTGGCCGAAACACCTAATGAGCATTTGTCGGGGCACACAACTGCAGATGTGTCGCGCCGGTTTCACCACGAAATCTATGGCAAAGCTCACTCCACCAAGTTTTCATTCAATTGTTGTGCTGAAAGGAATCTTTAACAACTAGTCCTAGGAAAATTCTTGATTCTTAAATAAAAAATGTAAGTGAGCTACTACCCACTAGCCACCAAAGCTGCAACTACTAAGCAACTAACCAAAAATAGATAACTTCTTTGGATCTAAAAAAAAACATTTTAAATTATGGTTTATAGGTTGCACAGGAGTTGCTTCACACTAATTATTAAGAAGAACGTAGATTGCTGAAAGGTGCTTATTAAACAGCTCGAACTGACAATCACAGTTGCTTCACACTAATTTTTAAGAAGAACGTAGGTTGCTGAAAGGTGCTTATTAAACAGCTCGAACTGACAATCACAGACTCGCCAACCAAAAAACTAGCCAAAAACACAGAGCTCCCCCCACCACCACCACCACACACACACATACCATTCAGATCTCCGATGTGAACTTTGAAGGTCTTCCTCACTGCGTCGATTTCGTTTGCCGCAATCTGTGAGAGAAGTAAAAATGTAGTCCAACAAAAACAAAATGGTGCTGATTGTACTTGCAACCCTGTTTTCTCTGATTATTGAAAGCACAGCTGGGAGTTGAATAGCATTACTGTTGCACCGGTGATTGATCCTTTTAGATTTCTCCCCATTTGTACTTTCTGTGTTTGACCCCAGTTAGATTGACATCTTGACCCCTTGTACATTCCCCTTGCCCTTGTGTGTTGTTTTAGTTGTACTGGACATATAAGTCTTTTAATTACTTCTTTCTGCTGTAAAGCATGTTAGGGCAAGACTGATTGCTCTAAAGTGTGATATAAATAAAATGGACATTGACATAGACACTCTTGGACGCCCCCAGGCGAGGCGTTGCAGTCATATCCTACCGACGGGAGGCCTCCAGGTCAACCCAGGACACCCTAGAGCAGGAGTATTAAATTTCGATCCTGGAGATCTGGTGTCCAGCAGGTTTTAGTGGTTTCTCTGATTCAACTCACTTGATTCACCTGTTCAACAGCTCATCAGGCTCTGCAGAAGCCTGTTAATCACCTGCTGACTGAAATCAGGCGAGTTAAAACTAAAACGTGCTGGATACCGGACCTCCAGGCCCAGAATTGAATCCCCTGCTATAGAGAGACTACATCTCCATGCTGGCCAGGGAACTCTTTCGGATCTCATGGTGGAGCTGGTTGATGTTTCCGGGGAAAAATCAGTTCGAGCTTCCTTTTTTCCCTCCTTCCTTGCTTGCTCCATAATGAGTTTTGGCACCACAGACGACAGTGGCAGAGGAGTTAAGCGTTCGCCCTGTGATAGGAAGGTTGCAGGTGCGATCCCTGCTCAGTCTGCTGCTTTCACTGTGTCCTTGGGCAAGACATTTAACCTAAAGGTGGAGGTCGGAGGTACCAGTGGCAACTGTGTTTGGCAGCCTGGCTTCTATCAGAGCGCCTCAGGGCAGCTGTGGGTATCTCATAGAACATCACCACCAGGGTGAGGATGGGTGGGTTAATGACTGATTGTATTGTAAAATACCTTGGGGGGTTCTAGGACTCTACATGGTGTATATCAAATACAGGCCATTTACTATTTACCACCAGTGTACTTTATAACTGTGACATTAGTTACCTATAGTAACCTGTAGCTTATTTCTAAGTTTTTAAAGCTCATTATATAATTTTTTAGTTATTTTATTATCTGAATGGTCTTCACCAGGCTCTGTGCAATTCAGCCTGGTTGAGTAGACCCATAAAGCCAGCTGTGATGGTACTTCCCACCCCTCACATCCACCAGCGCTCGATCTTACAAGAAACAAATAAACATAATTGGGGTGTGTGTGTGTGTGTGTGTGTGTGTGTGTGTGTGTGTGTGTGTGTGTGTGTGTGTGTTTCTGCTCTGTCTTCTCGATCCCCAGTGAGTCGTGGTGGATGGCTGCTTATACTGAGCCAGGATCCTCTGGAGGTTTCTTCCTGTTAAAAGTGAGTTTTCCTCTCCACTGTCGCTAAATGCTTGCTTAGTATGAGGATTGCTGTAAAGTAATTTGCTGGGTTCCTTATATAGGAAACATTTTTTCTGATTGGCTTAATGACCTGACCTGTATTAGAATGTTTATTATGTGAAGTGCCTTGAGACGACTCTTGTCGTGATTTGGCGCTATATAAATAAACTTGAATTGAATTGAACTTGTAAACACCAGTAACGACCCCAAATAAACAAGAGTTGTTGAATTCTTCTTACAGGGTGATTCAAGGTTTATTTGGCCTCCGTGTGCATGAAACCGCGTGATTTCTACTCATCTACCAGCTGGCTGCAAGATGGTTTCAGGCTTCACCACAAACACATCAGCAACAAGAGTAAGTCCGTTTAAAGGACAGGACGGACAAATGTAAACAAGTATTTAAAAGGCAACAAAGAGCTCTATATTCCAGGAATACCCTTTTTTCTTTTGTTTGTTAGAAACGGTTCTAGTTACCTTACCTCACAGGTGTAGTTGGTTCCTTCTTCAAGGCCACTCAGCTGGTAGCTGTGGAAAGTTTGGTTTTTGGAGGAATTCTGAAGAAAATCACACAAGTTAAAACATTTACTATGTTAAATGCATCGTTTTAGGGCCTAAATAGTTGCTTTGTTTGGAGGATTCAGTCTGCTCTTATTCTATTTAAAATTAGATTTGTGAACCAAGAAAAAAAATACAACACCCAGTTTCCTGATTCTGGAAACGGAAAAGTGTTTTTTATCAGTTGTGTTCTTGTAACTTATATTCTTTCATTTTCAAAGTTCCATCGTTTTTATTGTGTTTTGGAGGCCAAACTGTAAACAGAAGGGTTGGAATTAAGGTTAAAATAAAGTGACACGAGCGGTTCTTCACAATAGAAGCCTAAGTCACGCCTACTGACATCAGGTCTAGGGGTTCCTTACTGCCGAAACATGAACGGGAGTCTATGAGCTGATAACAGTTACTGTCTGATGTGTGCCATGGATTTCACACGCGATGTCCGTGAGTGTTAGAAAGCGCTAATATTAGACAGGCGGCAAAAGTTACTTTAGGTTTGTGCGAAAAGATGAAGAGGACTACAAATGTTCATCTCACCAAATTTACACCATCAAACCAGACACGGAGAAGAAAAATGGCCGAGTTCCAGGATGACAGAAGGAGAATTAAACGTGGAGAGAACCCCTATAAATCTGTCCTCGTGGTAAGTGACAGCTACGCTCGGGGAGAAGGGCTCTGTTGTGACGCGTCTAATATGTGGTCGTGGTCATAATGAGTTTCTTCAAGCTAATAAATCTCAAATTACATGACAGACATTGAAACACACATTTAATTATAATTTAAACTAAAGTGCAACATATGAGCGAATCAGGGCATCGGGCAAAGCGACCCCTGAGCTGACCGGAAGGGGAGGAGACTTAGGCTCATCGTTAACCAATGGGGTTAGACATCTGCTTGCGTACAGATGTCAATCAGAGCGTGAGCGAGCGTTTGAGGATGTACCTAGACAGATACAGTTTATGACATGTATGCATGAATAAACAGCACGCCGTACGTGAATAATTATTGTAAAGCAATGTATTTAAGTTATTTTGCATGGCTAGAGGTGCACATTCATGGAGTAGAGGCGTTTCTTTCGGCCATAAATACAGAAGTGGTGAGAACAGCTTCTAAAGCAAGTCACCCCCAAATCTACTTTTTTTTCTGATAAACTGTATAAATGCGTGTCTAATCGTGCTGCAGACACGTGTAGTCAATAGTTTTGCACTTTAGTGCATTTTAGTTAAAATTTAAATTTTCTGCCTAAAACTGTCAGTGTTGTGCCGTTGTCAGGTAAAAACTCTGCACTGCAGTTGAATTTGAATCTGCCATCGCTATTGGCTAAGAGGTAGAAAGTTAGCTGGTACCATATGATGTCACAATGTTGTTGTGAGCCTCTGTGTGTGTCTATTTGCTAGCGGCTCCGCCCTCTCAGTCTGCTAGGCAACAGCATTTGTTGCATTTTTCAAACAGGAAGTGGGAGTGGAGTAATACTTTGGTAGGGGGTGACTTGCTCTTTAAGGTGTGATACATTTGGTGCCATCAGATAAAAAAAAAACTTGTTGTTTTAGCAGCATTAACATTTTCATTCATCAAAAATTTAAAGGCATTCCTCACCAGTAGGGGGAACAGGAATGACTCATAATTCAGACACAGTTACACATGAAAGACTTTGCAGTTTGGCACCATTTTTACCTCATTTTTCTGCCTCAAGGTGGAAAACAAACTAGCTCAAAACGGAAATATGTGCACAAAAAGCCTGTGACGTTTTATAAATCAACTCACGGGTGTGATATCTGTGTATTTCTTCATGCCGTTTGCGTAACACAAACAGAAGTAACTTCTGATGCCAAGGTTTGGCGGGGCCAAATTAAAAGTCACGGTGATGATGGGACCATCTTGCTGGACCTCGATGTGCTTCGGGTACCAGTCTGCAACCAAATCACGAAAAACGCTCAATCCTCAGAAGATTCACAGCACCAAGCTGAATGAACAGTTTAGCTCACCGTGTTTGCAGCGCTCAAGACCATTTTTCTCTGCACAAGCTGAAACATCAGAATGCACATGTCACTATTGTGTAAGTGCCATTTCAAGAAAAAAGGACAAAACGCTCAGTGCTGGGGTGCAAAAGGAGGGATTTTGTTGTTAAATGTTACAATAAAGGCTCATAAAGAGAAGAAAAGGGGCTCCTTCGGGGTCTTACTGCGGGTGGAAAAGTGCTCGCTGTGGTAGAACTTCTCCCACTTCTCAGGAACTGGCAGAGCCATGACAGTCACGGCATACTGGGAGCCCAGGGAGAGTCCGGTGAACGGGTCTGACTTATACACCTACAACGAATGCAAGAATGACGTGGAACTCTGAGGATTTATTTTGAATAGAAATCGTGCTGCAGAAATTTTTATTACTTTCTCATGTGCACAAATATAAAAAAAATGGAATAAACAACATTCTTCTAACAGTTAATCAGAACCTGGCTCTTATTTTGTTAAATCTCGGCTGATTTACTTTGAGTTTGTTTATCAAACATCTCACAAAGCTTACATCGGTTTAGAGTGTTTCTTAGCACAGGAAGCTGTGCTGAAATGTTCTTCATAATTGGGCTCAAGTGAATAAATAAACCACTGAATTACAAACAAAAACCACATTTTAAAAGCAGCTTAGCCAGGAAATGATTGCCAGATTTGTAAAAAGAGGCACAGAGTTGAACTTTCCTTTAACTGAAAACCGCTATACAATAAATTTACGGCACAACTAGGAGTTTTTCCTGGTTTCAGTGAACCGCTTATCCTTTAATTTCACACATGTTGCCCTTTTGTTGTCTCCCGACAGACTAAGTTTATGTTCAGGTCAGGGAATGTTTAAGAAACGAAGCTTTTTCCGTTTCAAGCGATAAATTCTGATATTTTTAAACAGTTTTTGATCCTTTTGTCGTAAAATCCACATTTTGTTTATTTCCTAACTCATTTTTAACCCTTTCGTTTGCACATGTTCTCCCTGTGTTTAATTAAAGCAACACTAAATAGTTCTTCTAACTTGAGTTAGTTTCATATGTGACATCACTCTGCAGCCCTCTGCTGAACAGAAACAGCACTTGACCGTTTTGTGGAGAGGGTAGGTGTCCTAGGGGGTGCTCTTTACTTGCTTTACAGCTGTTAGCTATTTACGCGCCGGTAGCTAATAAAAGGCTAGCAGTTAACTTTTTCAGTTCACCAACCGTCAATAAAAAAAACACAAAAAGAAGAAAAAACAAGTCTGTTGCAATCGTGAAGGAGCCTGGAAGTAAAGATAGTTCTTTTTGGAAAGCACACCATGTCACCACGGTGTAACTTATCAACGTGCCGTGGAGGCATGGTGATGCGGGAATTTTGAGGCGTTTGTGCCGCCACGCTTGGTACTATTATTGGTGCAACGCCGGACTTGTGAATGCCTATTACGCCTTGGTGCGGAGGGAGGTGTCATGATCACGTGTCAAGCTCTGACAGGAAACTATATTGAAAGTGAAAGTAAACACAGAAGGTAAGCTGAGATGGTAAACTGGAGCGATGCAGAGCTCCAGGAGGTTCTTCCCCATTAGAGCTGGAGGACAGACACCTTTAGGAGCGGCTTGAGACAAAAACTTAATGAGCGTGGCTTTGATTGCAATAAAAAGCAAGTTATGTCCAAGTTTAACCAACGTCTGTGACAGCACAGAAACCGCCCCCATACCCCCTTTTTACCACCATCGTGTCATCTTTAAAAAATAAAAAACAGTGACATGATTGCACCACATTGCCGCCATGGTCTGACCACTTTTTAGACTCCCTGATGCCGGCACATTTGCAGCATTGTTTTTTAAAAGAAGCTAGCAATAGTAACGTCTTTAAGAGACAAAGCAAAAAGCTTATAACCAAAGCGATCATCGGCACAGCCTATACTAGTTTAAGGGAGCTAAATGATGCTACTAAATCACAGACTGATGGTGACCTGGCTTTGTTGTTGGACTTGTAATTAATATTATTTTTTTGTCCAACATGGACACTCCTGGTTTATTTTGGTATTAGTTGGCTCATGTCAGTGTTAGCTAGATGTTAGCGCTAGCTACAGCAGGCTGCAGCAGGGTTGTTTACAACAGTTGTAATTCCACTTTCAACCAGTAGGGCGGAGGAGCAGGAAACTGCTCTGTGTTACTTTAACCAAATGCCAACGAATAACGGCAAAGTTTTTGCCTAGCTGTGTAGTTTTAGTGAATTTCTCTCATGATCCAATGGACATATTTTAATCAAACCTTCAGAAACAAATGAACTTCTACTGATTAACTTTTTGGAGTCAAACCATTTAAATATGGCTGCCACTGTGAACTGATCTTAGAAAACACACAAAAAAAAGTCTTGATTTGACCAGTTTTGTGGTGGTTTTGAGTCAGTCACAACACAAACTCTGAATGCTAATAGATGGTCGTCTTCAAATAACTCATTATATATATATATATATATATATATATATATATATATATATATATATATATATATATATATATTCTCTCTCTTTTTGAACCAACAAGCAACAGGGAAACAGAAGCGTGTGCAGACGCTTGCTTTCCTACCGTTTGAGCTCCTGAGGCTGATAAGGAGACATTACGGTGGAAAAGCAACAGCTGGCAGGAAACGCCGAACCCTCCCAAAGCCTGGAGAGAAACTTGAAAACCTCTCAAGAATGAGATTCCTGCGGCAAAGACAAAGGTGTGAGTTTACAGGTTTATTGAGATTTTAATTGCACTCATACCCGTCAGAGCAAACGCTCCACCAAAGCTCAAAATGTTGGGTTGCATATTTAACTGAACACTGAGCAAATAAGCTCTTTTGAATTTGGTGACAGATACTTTTAATACTACTTGATGAGCCTTGAAATGAAGTTTGGCAGCTGCTGGTGAATTTAAAAATATTTTTTTTACTTATTCTTGCTTGAGCTTCAACTGCTCAGTGGTACAGAGCAAAATGTTTTCAGGTGGTTTACAAGAGCGGTTGGTTCAGATTTTTAGAAACGGGGTGCTTTAAACAGGTCTCTGAACAGCCTCTGCTGGGGAAAATGGAGATCATTTCCGACATGATTGACAAGCTAACGGCTAGTTTAAGAGCGGGAAAGTTTCAATTAGGGCATGTTAGATTAGTTTTAATAAAAAATAAATTTCTAAACAGCCTGTCCAAATGTTTTTTTATAAATCTTTAACACCTGTTTCACATCAGATGACAGGCACCTGACTGCAGACCTCCACTGCCAGGCTGCTTCCAGTGGAGGCTCCACTGTCAGGACGGGAAATGCACGGGATACATTACAAAATAAAACGGCAAACATACTTACGCTTGTAATTGATAGGTTTCAATATAAAATATTACGTAAAATCTATCAGTTATTTCTCTATAGTTCATATGTTGCTGTCATTTAACATAGTTACGGTTGTAATTTTTCTAAATGAATTAACAAATGGCCGGGGTAGGTTTCAACATAAAACGCTAACATACGCTAACATACTTCCGGTCGTCTTATTTCTAAATAAAATCCCGAATGCTGTTTCCGTTGAATCGCTCTCCTCACAAACGCATTCGTTTTTTTAATATTACGTAAAATCTATCAATTATGTCTCTATAGTTCACATATAGTTGTCATTTATTTAGTAAACCTTAGTTTTGTTTGTCATTTTTGTTGTGTGTTTTCCTTTACTGTTGCACAACGTGGTCATTATGATATATTCTGTCATAACCTAAGACGTAATATTAACAAATAAATGCGTTTATGAGGAGAGCGATTCAACTGAAACAGCATTCGGGATTTTATTTAGAAATATGACGACCGGAAGTACGTTAGCGTATGTTAGCGTTTTATCTTGAAACCTACCCCGGCCATTCGTTAATTCATTTAGAAAAATTACAACCGTAAGTATATTAAATGACAACTACATATCATTTATTTATCATTTAATTAAAAAAAAACAGTCACTTTGAGATTTATACCCCATTGTCTATTTTTTTTAACTATTCAGAAGAGCCCGTCCTTGCAGTCAAAAAAGTAACTAAGTAACTTTTACTCTGACTACATTTGAAATAAGCTACATTTTGAGGCAGGTAATTTTACTTGTAATTGAGTAAAATTTCATGAAAGTAATTATACTTGTACTTAAGTACAACATTTTAGTACTCTTTCCACCTCTGCCCACTAGAATAGAAAAAATGCAAAAACTATATTTAATTTTTATTATATTTGATTTTTAAATGCATTATTTCAAACATTAGGAGTCGGGGTTCGATGACAGAAACGGGAATTCTAACAAAAGGCAAAAAAAGAAGCCATATTTAAACTACAGGAGGCTAAAAGTCAACAAACCGTAGCGACTGGGCTTCCAGTAGATGACGATGGTGTCAGAGTTGGGGTTTGGATCATGCACAAACTCAACTTTTACGTCAGTTGGTGCGTGAACGTAATGCTGACAGATTTGGGGGTCTTCAGCTCCGAGGAGCTGAAAGCATGGCCATGGAATACAACCTGTTCAGGAAGTGAAAAGAAGCGCTTGTTAGGATGTTCATCAGTTTCCTTCTGTGTTTTAGTGTGGCTGGTTAGTGAGGTCGGTCGCCCAGAGGGCAGCCTGGCTCCAGCTTACCTCCAAACGCTTGGATGGAGTTAAAACCCAGAGCCTTATTGATGTCGTCTTTGGTTACTCTGCAGTATTCACACGCAGGTCCTCCCTGTGGACGACATTCAGGAGTCAGAAGTCAAGCTTCCTTCCGGCAGAGATCTCTTCAGATGTTTCATGGGAATGTACGAGTAAGAACACATGCGTGTAATTTCATACAGCGGCGAGGATGAAGGACAACCACAGTCAGTATCTTAATCAAAAGCATAACAAGTTAACGTAAAATCAAACATGTTCGATCAATTTGCCTCTTATGTTTTTTTTCACTGTTGGCTTAAAACGAAAAGCTTGATGATTAGCAGGACATGTTGCCTGCTTCCTGTCATGATGTTTGGAGTTAAAATATGGGAAATGATGGAGTTTAGGTCAAAAGTCAACAAAAAAAAATATGAGCCAAGGCAGCAGGGTTCAGTGCTGAGAACAACGGAGCTGCTAAAATATGAAATCATAGCTCATTATTAGTAAAACAGACTAAGTTATGGCTATTTTTCTGAGTAGGTTAACTGTGTTGTCCGTAATGAATTCGGATAATTACTTTTTACTTTTTTATTGGGAATTTTAAAATTGAACAGAATGTAGGTTTAGTTTTTAGCTTCAACCATCAGCACCAACACACACTGACCGGGTTGAGACCAGCAGGACTGAAGTACTTCTGCACGACAAATCCTATTAAAAGTATTGCTGTCAGAAAACTGATACGATCGAAGAGATTAGCTCCAAATATTCCCCAGATGTGGCTGGATGACCCACCTTAAGTCAAAATAAACACTCAACAGACTTTCATTTGGTTTGGTTCTTCCAAGCTCGAGCCCTCTACCCAAGGCCTGGGATCTGTTTTAGCCACTCCTCCAGTCTGGGGGCTACTACATCGAGTGCCCTAATGACCACGGGCACCATCGATGTCTTCCCACTCCAGGTTCTCTCAACTTCTTCTTTGAGGCACTGGTACTTCACATATAAGAAGCTAATCAAAACAATACCACAGCTAATGTGTGCCGCAATCAAAGCTAAAGGCGGTACAACGGAAGCATCCAAAAGGAGCATGAGGATTAGCTCCTTCATCAGAAACCTGCCACGTGTCTACTGCCCCCTGGTGGAGGATCTACAATGTTATATAATCGCATAATAATTAAAAATTCTGATTATTGTAGAATGGTAAATTGTCTGTATTTGCATAGCGCCTTCTGAGGCTTCTACATCTCCCCAAAGTGCTTCACAACCATTCACACGCTGGAGTGGATGAGCTATGATGTAGCTCAGCTGCCTTGGGGCGCGCTGACAGAGGTGAGGCGCCACCGGTCCCTCCGACCACCACCAGCAGGCAAGGCGGGTCAAGTGTCTCGCCCAAGGACACAACAGCAGCTTTCTCTGGTCGAAACCGTGATCGAACCTGCAACCTTCTGATTACTGGACAACCCACTCTACCTCCTGAGCTGCTGCTGCTCGTAATATTTAACATTAGACCAGAAATGGTTGTTTTATTATTTTTTTCTTCATACATTAAGGGGCTGTTTTTCTTACATCAGAACTACGAACAAGTTTTTGATTATTTGTTTCCCTCCAAGCCAGGGGCGTGTCCAGGGAGTGGCCTGGGGTAGCACATGCCACCCTTGGAATCTGACTGGCCACCCCCAGGTGTCACCATACTGAATTCCCTTTAAATAGGCTTTTCATTGTCCACAAAAGGCTTGAGGTAAAACAAAAAAGCATAACCACTGGTGCCACAAATGCACAAAGTAGTGCCTCACCTGGGCCACCCCATTTTAAAAGATCTGGACACGCCACTGGTCCAAGCTGTCACAAGTCCTTGTAATCCGTTAAACAGTTCAAGCTTAAAGACAAGTTGCAGCTTTTTGGATGGTTTGTAAAACAAGTAGAGGAAATGTAAGTGAAGCAGGCACGTCCAGGGCCCGAAATGCTTTTCTGGAACGATGAACTTTGTCTCTCCAGTGAACACTGGATGTTAGGGATGTGAATCTCAGAGCAACTCACAATTTGATTCGATTCCGATTCTCGATTTAAATCGATTCACGATCAATATTAACAAAGAGTGTCAATTCCAGGGTTAACTGCTTTGTTGTACAAGTTAGTTTAAGGGGCATTATGGAAGTTTGACCGCTAAAACATGTATAGAAATAATACATTTCTTCTTCATACATTCTCCTGCAATGCCCTGGTCCTGTAGAATGAGTCCTGGCATTTTTACTGTGATTGCCTATTTTTCTGTAAAATCGCAGAAAAAGAGAGATGCTCGGGTCGAGCAGGCTGCTTCATGTGCGTTCACGCTCAGGCACAGCCCTCCGAATCGTTCTTTGAACGTTGTTTCAGCTGTCATCAAGGATATAAATGTTACAGATGTAGTAGAAGCCACTGGCAATTTAACTCGCCTAGTAAAGTTTTGGGCTTTCGTGCAGATTACCCGGGTTCGATTCTCTACGTGAATATGGTTGTTTCAGAATTGCGACTTTACAATAATTAATTTTTTTACAGTAAGATGCCCAAATTTTTATTTGAGACTCGCCGAACGGCACTGAATTCACAGATAAAAAAAATGTGGGTTCAACTTTCATTTTGGAACAATTTTTCAAGCAAGGGAAGGGAATGATCTGAGCATGCAGGAGGACTGACCCATCATAAACCTTTGTCGGCTGTGCTGAAGAGAAAAGTACAGAACCAAACTATTTAATTAGCTGCATGTTCTCCTGTCATCTGGGACACACACACACACACACACACACACACACACACACACACACACACACACACACACACACACACACACACACACACACACACACACACACGGGACTGTCAGCTCTCAGAGCTCTGCTTCCCAGAGCTTCGTCTCAGCTGTTATTTTCGTTAAGGAGTGTGCACGTACAGCATGCACGCCTCGTGCACGAGCCTCCTATTGAAGCTGCCGTTACGCTTTTGGTCAGAGGGGGCTATCGCGAGCATAAAAATTCAAAACTCCCTAAAGTCCCTTTAACGCTATGGGAAATTTTTTATTTTACTTTAAACTGGTCATGCTAAAAAAAAAAGCTAATTTACAAGGTTAAAGTGATTCTAAAACTGTAAACAGAAGCAATCTTTTGACCAAAAGGCAACATTTATTTTTGCTTACCTCGTAAAATATAACACATCTTTAGTTACCCAACAGTAGCTTTGAAAGTAATACGGTCAAATACTTTTCAAGTTTCTGTGGAAACAAGTTTAACATTTGAGTCCTCAACATGTTTAAAAAAAGTGCCTCAGATTTCTTACAAAGGAAAATGTGTTCTCTCATTTATCAGTAACTTCAAATAAACACATGAGTAATCATGAGTACTCACTTATCAACTTAGAACATAAATATGAGAATATCTCAAATTTCTGAGTATGGAAAAAATTACATTCAAGAGCCCTCTTATCAGCAGATTCAAAAATAAAACATCCCACAAAACGGAGTACTAACTCTCCTAGCAAAGATCAATAAAACATACAAAAGTGCACCTCAAACCTGTAACATGCCAAACATTTGAGTTCCTGGAATCGATTCGGAACCTTTGTGAATCAAGTCTGAATCTTAATAAACAAGAATCCCGATTCAGACTTGAATCGATTTTTTTCAGCACCTCTACTGGATGTAGCTCAACACGCTGACATTATTGTGTTCCGATTTTAGGACAAATGAGGAAAAAAAATACCGTCAAATAATTTTAGTATCAAAACAATAAATAAATGACCAAATCATTTTGTTTTTACGTGATGATTTTGGCCCTCGTGATCTAAACCAACATGAATCAAAAGAAAAATGTTTACAGATGAATTATTTCAACTCTTTGAACATATTGGACCCATATTGTCTAATAAGGTCACATTTGCCCATTTTCAATCCCTATTTCAACTTAGCTCCTAAAGTCTCGTGTTGTTCTTTACGCGGTTTACTGAACCAACAGGTGGAGGTAGGAATTAAGAACACCGCTTGCCTCAGGCATCGGCACTTAACAATCTTCTTGCCTGCACGCAAGCTGACGAGTGACTGGCGTTCAGAAACAATGACCCAGATGGCTCTCCAATCAGAAACGCTGTGGGAATGAAGCCTTCATGTCACCGCTGAGTTACTCCCAATAGCGCTGGTATTCGGTGTTGAAATGCTTCTTTACAGATGGCTGTTCCTGAGAAATGACGTGAATCTGAGAGGTTTTAGATGCACAAACACTTGTGTCTGTAAATGGAAATATTTTTAGTAATTATAAGACCACTGAGATCAGATATTAGCTTGCAGAATAAAAATACATGTTTATGGAGCTTCAACAGTACACAGACGTGTCAAATGTCTGAAAATCGTTCCTAAAGCTGGAATCTTCCAAGGTTTTATGGACCTTCAGCTCAGCTAAGCACGGTGTCCTTTCCTCTGTAACACGGGCCGCTTAAACTTGTGTAGTTTTGAGTAACGAGTGTTTCGTTCTGCTTCGCTTTGGTTTACTTCCCACCTGTGGGTTTAGGTAGCATAAGAATTCCTCCATCCCTGCTGGGAGACATGAAGCAATCCCAGTTTTCCCATGCATGCATGTAAAGTCTCGTCTCCACACACGAGGTCGTACCTGACTGATGCATTCCAGACTGCAGTCCTGAGGGGCGACGGCAGTGGGTGAGCCTTCAGCCAGGAGAGGCTGAGCGACAGCCCAAAGCTGGCACCACAGCAGCGCTGCCCGCCACATGCTGCAGTGGCAGGCGTGGAGTCCCTGCGAGAAAACCCACAGTCTGCGTGAAAGCTGGCATCTGAAGGTTTGTAGTGGTGCGTGAAAGCAGGAAAACCTGGTGGGAGGGATGAGGGGAGTGGTGACGATGCAGGCGGAGGCGCAGCCAGTCGGCTCCCTCAGACGGATGAGCTGGTTCTGCAGGAGCAGGAACATGTGGAGGGTGTACACCTCAAAAGTATTTAAACGTTTGGAGGAAAATGAAAGCGACAGGGAACAAGTTTGCATTTATGTAAAGCAAAAAAAAAAACCCATCAATCAGCATCCAGGATGTCAGTCGTGTTTATTACACACAGATGTTCCAACAGTTATTATGATCTAAGAGCCAGTCGTTTACAGGAGGGTCGAGTCGTACTTCAGAGGGGGAAGACAGAACTGCAAATACAAAAAGCTCAATATTTCTGTCTGTCAAATCTTAACAAAGCACGATTAAAAGAGGAGGGAAACCAAACAAACGGATCAAGACTCCAGGGTCAGATTGTGACGATCACCGGATCTGGAAAAGAAAAGGAAAAGCATGAAATACTTTGTGTCCGAGCTTTTAGCAGCTTCCTGAGAATCTTGTGTCACACGTTAGGTTATGCATCAAAACAGGTTTTTATATCTGTATCTTTGTTGATCCAATCAGTGTGTGTTAGCGGTTATTTTCTCAAGTTCGTTCATTAAGATACAACAAGACGTGCTGCTGCTTTAAGAATAATCTGCATAAAAGCAACAGCCTATGTTGTGCTACACAGGATTGCTTATGCATGCCGTCATTAAATTGTAGCACCTGTTAAAATAACCGCTCCGCTAATAACATTTAAGATGTTGCAGTTGAAAAGAGTTCTATAACAATGTTTGTAGAAACTGTTCTCTTAGCCTCTCTTAGGGCTGGGCGATGTGGCCTAAAATCCATATCACGACATGTTGAGCATTTCACCTCAATAACGATAAATGGACAATAACTACAGGCATGTGCAGAAACAAAAGTTGTCCACTAGATGGGGCTGTCACGTGTATTACAATTTTACGTGACTTAAAGGGACATGAATGTTACCAACCTACACACATCTTTTCATTTTTTTAATATCAAATTTATTGACATGGAAAAAAAATTCTCGATTAGAGTCACAAATTTTGATAACGATAAATTTTCGATTTATCGCCCAGCCCTAGCTTCTCTGTATGGTATGGAATTTTGTTGGGGCTCAAAACGGCCCACGAGCCCTGATAAATGACCAGGCACTACCCAATAATAAAACCCTACAACGGAAGACTGGTTTACTCCGCCCACTCAGTCAAAACATGAATTTTTAAATCAGCTGCGTGCTGATTGGCCGGGTTTTAACCTGATGGCTCTATGAGTGCCCGAAGCTAGAAACTTTGCGTACATCCGTTTACTGAATCCTGAAAGTCTGGATGCTCCCAGTAGATCCTGGAATGTAACGCGTTCAACAAGGACTTTAGCAGTAGCTCTTGCTAGCATTAGCATGGGCTAGCATTAGTTATGATAAATGACCTGCGCTTGTACAGTGCCTTTCAGAGTCAGAGAACTCCAAAGAGCTTTCCACTACACTGTACCATTCATCCATTCACACCCTGATGTCGAGGAGGTATGATGTAGCCACAGCTTCCCTGTGGAGCACTGACAAAGATGAGGCTGCCGAGCACAGGCACAAGCATGCAAGATGGGTAAAGTGTCTTGCCCAAGGACACAACAGCAGCAATCACTGTCTGGAGCCAGGACTGATCATACAACCCACCAATTACTGGACAACACACTCTACCTCCAGAGCTACTGCTGTCCCAAAGGTGTAGCGTGGGCTATCGTTAGCAGTAGCTCATACTAGCATTAGCAGTAGCTCAGGCTAGCATGTCTATGCTATTGTGTTAAATCGGCTTTTCCCAGAACTGACCATTTTTTGTGTCATTACAAATAGTAAATGGCCTGTATTTAATAAAGCAAATTCAAGAGTCCAAGACCCCCCAATATGCTTTACAACATAATCAGCCATTCACCCACCCACACACACACACATTCACATTCTGGTGGTGATGAGTATCTTGCCCAAGGACACAACAACAGCAACAGACTAAATGGGGCTCAAACCTGCAACCTTACAATTACAGGGCGGATACTTAAAGGTTGGTTTATGCTTGACGCGTCTGCGAGGTTCACACGGCTCTGCGCGGCAAAATTACATCATTTTAACAACCACACCCCTCCACCGCGCCTCCGCACGGACCAAACTTTCCGCACCGCGCACCTAGGAAATTTTCTAACCACGCAGACGGTCGGACACGGAAAAACATGGCGGACCGGCAAGAACTAGTATGGCAGAGGTTCGTAAATACAGACATTTGTATGATTCAGCTCTCAGAGATCACCGTGATCAACATGTTGTTAATAATTCTTGGAGAGAAATAGCTCGCACTGTCGGAAAAGACGAGGACGCTGTTAAAAAATGCTGGAATGCCATGTTGTAAACAACAGTCATTTTTACTTCTACTGTGGTGTAGTGTTGGATGCATGCCGTAGAGCTCCATGCTGCCCCCTACAGTTTGGGAGAATATTGGCTCACCGCAGAGACAAGCCGCATGAACCATAAACGCTGCAAGTTGTGAAGCGCGTTCCATCTGCGAGCCGCATCACCAAGCGGAAAGTAAAGGCGTCAAGCATAAACCAAGCCTAACTCCTCTGCCACCATCGTCCCAAGTCTCCTTCACGTAGGAAAGCGGGTCAGAAACAGACTTTTTTGGTACATTAGACACCTCAAACTGCTGATATTCAACAACAAAGTTGTTTTTATTCTAGAACCCCTTTAATGGGCCAGTCAAAACAGGTAAGGTTCATTTGAGGTTTTATTTGTATTTTTGGGAATGTAGTTTAAATGTTTTTACAAGGTTACTTAAACTTTACTCATCATCTGCCACGACAATAAATCTCCATATCACCTTTCTGCTATTATGGCTTCATTTGGCACACATTCGTTTTCTTAGCGGTAGTAATTCACTTCATGAAGAGAACCTTTTGAGGTTGCTGTAGGATTTATTGTAGCACACTTTGTGTTGAGGTGCATCAATCTAAGAGATCAATAATCACGACAGCTTTCATTCATGCCTGTGCACGTCAGAGTCAGCAGCTTCCATCTGAAACAGATTCCTTCTGCACCCTGAGATGTTTAGGTCACTAGTGTGGATGGTGCAGTCAAAACCAGGTGCACAAAAATTACAAACGTGCCGTCAGAGTTCTGATCAAACACCACAAAGCTTTTCCAGGAAGCATCCAGATGTTGCTCATGAACAAACTCATACAAAACGCTGATTATGGGATGAGTTCACTTCGGTACGGATTCTCCTACATTTGGAGCTTATCCGACAAACATCCATCTACGTCACTGAAATAACTCAATATGAAAGGAGGCTGGCGCTCCTTACCGTATATTTATCCCACTTCTTTTCAGGATCGTACGGCTCCCAGCGACTTGCAGGAAAGATGTGTTTGTTCTTCTCGTACCAGCTCCTCAGGACCACCTTACCTGCGTGAGACTTTAGCCAAAAGAAAACAGCAGCTTAAAGAACTATTTGACTTTAAACAAAAAGTTCAACAAAATAGCAAGAAGCAGTGAAGGCTTTAAAGTGTCGGTGCCTTTCTTCTGCTATCTCTACTAACGTCACCCTCCCAGGACTCTGCTCTACACCGTCGACTCCGTTTTAAACCCCGGCTCTGCCGCTCCCGAACACGCGTCGGGTACAGTTTGTGAACTTCTTTACTGATAAAGTGAAATCAGTCTTCTCTTCTTTACACTCTGCTACATTTAATGAGTTTTTACCAGTTTCTCTAACTGCACCGGTACAAAAACCGAAACCCACGGTGATCCTCTGGAAGAAAACATATAGAAGAAAATATCATTTCTATAGCGCCTCTCAACATAAAAATCACGAGGCGCTTCACAAAAACAAAAAAGTAAAAATATAAAAAAGCATTTAGAAAATGTTTAAAAATATATTTAAATGAGCAAAAAAATGCTTTATCTGGCTCATCCCTACTCGACAGCTCGTTAATTTTCCGGTAAGCCAGGTAACCTCCAAGGCCAAAAAGCAGGAAACCTGACACCAACACCACGAATATCCAGACGTCTTCAGAATCCTCTACAGACAGTTGAGAGAGGCAGATCAGGTTCCACTGTTTTTAGGAGTCCATGATATACCCAGCTGGCTCTGTCCCAGAGGGGCATCCAGGAGCCCCTTCTCTCGTTCTCAACGTTGAAAAAAATGTGTCAATCGCGTTGAGACCAACTGACGCCTTCTCCCGTCCTCGGTCCTGAGGAGGCCGAAAAGTTTCCGTGTGTCCATTTTTAATAATTTCAGTTTCCAGTTTTCCAGAAAAAAATGTAGAAGCGCCGTACACCCAGAGACAGACAAAGATCCTTGGGATAAGATAGGGAGGAGGGAAAAAGCATCTGTACTCTCCAAGAGCCGGAAGAAGTACTTTGGTGTACCCCAAGGATCTATCCTAGGCCCTATTCTTTTTTTCACTTTGCATATTGTCACTTGAAACGTCATTAAAAGACAAATTGTCTTACCATTACTCTGCTGATGACATCCAAATTAAACTACCAGTAAATTCCAGTGACGGTGAGACAATATCTTCCCTTTTACTTGGGACGAAACAGTTGTGGTAGTCAGAAAACTTCTTACACCCCAAAAACAAAACTGAATGCATTTTTTCCCCTCACCAAATATGCAGAACATCACACTGTGGGATTGCGGTTCTCTAGCTCCAAGTTTTAAACATCAGGTCAGAAATGTTGGTGTCATTTTTGAAACCAGCCAGAAATTTGACAAGCAGATTGATTTGGTTGTCGAGACTAGCTTCTTCCAGCTCAGAATTTTGGCTGGAGTAAAACCATTCCTAAGTCGCTGCGACCTACTAAAAGCCAAACCTGCTTTCACCCGCTCCCGTTCGGGCTACTGCAAAACTTTACCTACGAGTTGACCACAAAAACATCTTTCCAGGTTGTAACTAGTTCAAATGCCGCTGCATGTCTGCCTACCAACACCCTTAGGCCAGTTCTCTCATCACGTCTTGAGCTCCCTGTTAAACTTAGGATTAACTTCAGGATGATAATGTTTGAGTTTAAAGGCATTCATGGTCTCGCCCCTTCATACATCCGTGACAAGTCTCTCATGGCAGAAACATGGTGGAGAAACGATATCTTCAAGTCAGTTTTATTACGTGTTCCCAGATGTAAATACAGGCAGTGGGGCAATCGTCCAAAGCTGTGGAACCAACTACTGACGTTACAACCGGACTAAACACACACCTCTTTCTCAGGAGTGTTGTAATCTGTATTGGATCATGTGCTCTTGATTTTAGCATTTTTTATTTGTTTTTTATTGCTGTTTTTACAGTGTGTTTTAATGTTTTACTTGCCCTTAATTCCATTTTTTGGTCACCCTCTGGGTAGTGTAAAGCGCTATATTAACAGAGAAATGTGTTACTCTGTGCGTTCTTCCCGTTTATTCTAAAACTGAATATTTCTGAGCTTTATGATGACGCTAATTTAAGCAACAAGACGCTTTGGTTTGATCTGAATTTGACTTTGTATTGAAAAAAGAGAAACTTCTATTTAGTTTATGTAATAAAAAAATGTGTCACCTGTGCTGAACTCTAAGTACACATACAGGTTTTAAATCCTCATGTTCAGATCACAGCACAACTTTTTTTTTATTTCTGGGGCGGCCATATTTAGTACTGAAAAAAAAATGTGTTTACTTCCTTCTTCAGCAGCTGCAGCCTAGTAAACAAAACATAAGCCTGTTTGTCCTGCCGACTCTAGATCTACTATAAATCCACACAAAGTAGGACCTGAGCCATCCCTTCATTGCAACTCTCTAAATGGAAATAAAGCAGTAAACATATTTGATGGATGGATAATTCCAAAGTCTTAAACAGTAATCGGTGTGCCTTTGTGAAGCTCCGCTGTCGGGCTGAAGCTGGGAACGCAGCTGCTGGAAACAATCCCAAACATCAGAGAACCTCTTCTGGACTCTCCAGGTGAAGCTCGTTGGGTCGGATCACCTTCAAACCGAACTTCAGACTTCCCAAAAGGCTCTTTTTTTCTTTCTCACGAACCGCAAACCAGCGTAACGTTTCTCTGCCCTCCAGCAGAAGTAACCGGCACAGCAGCTGCAGCAGGACGGCGGTTTGGCGTAGTCGTCTTTGTTTAGAGGTGAAAAACTGGGACACTCCTCCCCCGCGGTCGTTCTCTCATATTTAAAACAGGTGGGAGGAGACGGCAGGACCTTTGTTCCCAGAAGGGTTTGATCAAATGGAAGGAATGAGTGTTAATGTCATTATGAATGCATGTAGCAGTTACACCTCCTGCACCAGAGGCTATGAACTCGGGTAAATTAGCATCCCGGTTTCTTTTTACTGATGCCAGTTTGCTCTTTGATTGATGTGCTGACAGAAAAGTCCACGCGTCACCGAGTAACGAGGAGAAAATGTACAGAAGAAAAACCCAAATGGAATCAGGGGCTCAGGTTTAAATCAGTATGATGTCACGGGTCATGTCCTCACCTCGTCTTTCTCCACGGTGGCGTCGTTCACCAGCCGGATATCGTCGTGGACGTCGAAGCTGAACAACGGTCCTGAGGAGGAGGCCGAAACGTTTCCGTGTGAAACACAAACACGTGCGCCAACACATCCATCGCTGCGTCGAGCGTGACGTTTGTCTGACGGTCACTTACCCGACTTTCCTCTGGCTTTGGTCACGATGAAGTCATAAAAACTGTGATGCTGAGAAACAAAAACACACGACAGGTTAAAGGCAGCCCAGAGAGGCTAAAGGACAAAAACATCTGCTGGCAGATTTCATAACAAGTCAAGTCAAAACCATCGGTTTGGTTTTATTTGGCACCAACATGAGGGATGATCAGATCTTCTTTGATGTACATGAGTTGCTCCACGCCCGCAGACCTACAGAGAAGAGAATCAGCAGAAATAAACAAACTGTTGTTCTTACTTTGGTGCCTCGTGGTGGAGGGAGGCGCCTCGCTAGCCTGATCCTTAAACCGGAATATCACGACTTCCTGTCTGAACTCACCGGAGCTCACTGAAGTCCTTCCTGAGGACCTCCAGAGCCTTCTGCAGGAAGTTCTGGATGGTGTTCCCCTTCTTCATCTGCAGGAATAACGTGACCGTGATGCACATCCTTTTACAAAATCTAAAATGACTAATCCTGTGGATTAAGTGAATGTTTCCTGGACACAGCTCATCGCTACTTCTCGCCGTGTACCTTGACAGTTTTACGATGACCAGAACCATCCCAGTAACTGAAGGTGATTTCGATCTCCTCGTCTAGAGACAACAGAGCATCATCACGACAAAGGTGACAAACAGAAAAGACGTTAATTACAGTAAAATCCTTGAAGCGTTAAATAAAATCCTGCAGCTCACTCTTGATCTTCTCCTGCTTCAGCTCCCACTCCTGTCGGAGCTCCTCTCTGAGGCGATTCTCCTCCTCCTGGACATCACAAAGGGAAAGAAACCACGTTTATGTTTCCGGATTACCAGATTAACGCTGCACCACACCTGAGCCTGATCTGGACCTGACAAAAGACAGAACTGAGGTAGTTATTACTGATCCAGGAGGCTAAAAAATGTCCTCAAACGGGAATGCGTGGGCGAAACTTTTATCTTTTAGTCAAAAACGTGAAAAAAAAGATACAATAATAATAATAATAATAATAATAAAATAATAATAAAGATTCAGTTTAAATCATTCATTGATTCTGACTGAGGTGCTTGAGAATAAACGAAATAAAAGAAAAAAAGACATTTTTAAAAGAAAGAAAAAAGAAACAAGAAAGAAAAACCAAGATAAACTGGACAGAAATCACGTTAATCCTGGAAAAGATTAAGGCTAAACTGATTATTGTGTTTGATCAGCTGTTTATAATCCTATAATCTGTCAGGCTGCTTAACTAAAAGGTGATTATTCGTTTATGGATCACTTTGTCAGTTATTTCAGTGTTTTTTTCCTAAAGTTAAGACTATTTTGTCCACATCTGAATTAAACCTGTTTGTAATCTCAGATTAAATTCACTTAAGCGTCTCAACACCAGAGGATCATTTACTAAATATTTAATTTATGATTTATCAAACAGAATCTGAGTGTCAGACGTCACTGATTTACTGAAATGTTCCTCTGGTTCGAACTGGGAACGCTGGTTTTCCGGTCGTGACCTTGATGGATCTGCAGGGTTCTATGCAGGAAAGCTAAGCTGAGGTTTAGTGAATTCTGAGCAACAAAAGCAGCAATGATGCCTGAAATGTGACTTTTTCTGTGAACACGCCCTCAGACTCGGGCTAGAAGCCTGAATTAACTCTAAGATCTTACAGACCAGATCATTAAATCCTCAGTTCTGCGCTTCTCAGGTGAATCAGAAGACCCTCCAGGTCGACCTCACCTCTCGGTCTCGGTCTGGGAGAAAACTCGTGTCCACATCTGGATTTTTCCCCAGCTTCTTTTTCTTAACAGGAACACCTGTGAGAAACGTGACCACATGACGTGTTAGTGGCGAGACCCAAGCATCAGCGATCAAACGGGTATTTTAGCTCATCACCTAAGTAAAAGTAGCAGGTTTCTCCTTTGTTACAATAACTAAAAATACTGTTGGGATTAAGAATCTTAAAAATACAACAAATCAGATTAAAAATTTAAATGTCAGAAACAGGATATCAAAGTATAAATATACATTTTTAATGATACCCACAAATTTGACAGTTAATCTTCATAGTTTTATTCAAACTAAATACAATAAAATAGGAGAAATGACTCTTAGTGATGAATTATTTTAACTCAGCAGGACATAAATGCTCGTCTGAATCACAACAGCTGATGAATTTTATGTGAAAAATTCTCTTTAGTGTAATAAAACCAAACAGAATCTGCATTAAAGTTGTTTTTATGGATAAACTCTGTTTTATAGAGTAAAAGAACAAGAACAAACAAGTCAAATTCTCACAATCCAAATCTTCATCTTCAGTTCTATCATCCTCCTCCTCCTCTTCTTCTTCCTCTTCTTCGTCATCAGGATTAAACGATAAACTGGCGATTTTCCTTTTCTGTTCCTCTTTTCTTTTCTTCTCTTTTTGTTTTTCCAGCTTGCTGAAAAAATAAATAAAAAAAGCACAACTTTTAATTTATTATTGGGTGATGAGACTGAAAAAGAACCCGTTGCTTTATTTCAGAAGGTGGTGTGTTGTTGTTTTACTCTCGTTTCAAGGGGGAGGGGAAAGTGTCACGAAGTGTAAAATATATTTTATCCATAATCATTTGTGGGCAATAAAAAAAACCTGCTAAAATATTTGATTACGAAGTTAACGTTTAGATTACTTCAGATAAGAAAACATGTAAATAAATATATAAATACATAACAATATAAACAGGTACATGACCTAAATAAAAATAAATAAAGAGGAACAAACAAGGTCTAAAAGTTGCAGTATTTTAAATCATAAACAGCTTTTATTTATCATCCTAGACAAATAAATATAATGAAACACAGTTTTGATGCCAAAATTACAAAAACATAAAATGAACCCTTTATTTTAACCTCTGTACAGGGAGCCGATCACATGTGGAGGTTGGCTGAAAAGGTTAGCAAAAGGAATGATAAACCTGAGATGAAATAATAATGTTTATCTTAAGATAAACCAGAAGAGGCTGAAGCATCGCTGCTGACAAGGCCACTAAACTGTTTTTATTTCCCTCTGTGAATCTGTGTTCTGCTCTGTTTAAAGGTGCAGAACCAAAACGCTGACCAGATGTTTGGGCTACAGTCTGTAGTCATGGTAACGGGTCCACTCACAGCTGGAGCTCTTTGGATTGCTCTTTCTTGGCCAGCTGCTTCTCTCGTTCCTTCACCAGCGCCTCCTGTTTAGCTTTCATGTCATTCAGGGTCACCAAACCTGATGGAGGCAATTACAACAAAAGACAGATTAATACATGTACTAAATGACTAAATTTGGCTCCTTTCTATCTGATTCTTCTAAGATAATCACCAACTGTGCTGGACTTTAGCTCTGCCTCCACCGCATCGTAGTGAGCTGAAAACTTCTTATCGATGTTGGCTTTGACCATGTTATCCTGCAAAAAAAAACACAAAATCAGAAACAGTTTCTTTGATTTATTTATTATTATTTTTTGCCTGAGACTGTTGTTTCTTAATTTACTTGTTGGCAAAGATTACATCCTCATGTGTGTCTTGTTTCTCATAAAACATTTGAATTTTGAAATTAACAGAATAAATGCCCTTTCATTTATGTTTATTAGGTCAAAGAAGATAAATAACGTCAGCTTATTTTTAAAAAATGAACCACAGTTTAAGGTTAAATTGTATCAGATCAACTGGATAATCTAATTAAATCGAAGATTCACAAATAAAACACTTATTTTAGAAATGATCTCGTCTACAGGTTTTATGTGTTGGGGGACTATATTACCAAGTCTCCCCGGTATGTAAGCCGTTATGAACACATGGACAAAAACGTTTCATAATGTTACTGAAGCGGTTTTTTAAACCTAAAGGGTTACAAACCTCAGCTATCTTCTGTTTCAGCTGTTCAAGTTGCTCTCTTTCTTTCTCTCGCTTTTTCATCAGCTGCATGGCCCTGCCGGCCTCACTGGCAGCGCCTTTGTACTGCGCCATGTTGGTTCCTAAGTCTTCGCCGCTTCTTCAAATGTAAAAATAAAAAGGCAACAAATAAAAAGGTTTGAGTCTAAAACAAACTAAAGACCGCTCCAGAAATGTAAAGACGCAGCAGCTCCCGAACCACCATAACAAGAAAAATGGCGACGGCGCAGGGCATTCTGGGTAGTTACGTATTACGTAAGACGTTTCTGGTAGTGATGGGAATTCCGGCTCTTTTTAGAGAGCCGGTTCTTTTGGCTCAGCTCACCAAAAAGAGCCGGCTCTTTCGGCTCCCAAGTGGCTCCTCAGATTTTCTGTTGCGTAGAATTCATTTATAACCAAAATAATGCTAAACTATATGTAAAATGATTTACTAATGTAAAAAAAAAGTAATATATCAAATATTTATCATTTCTATGGATTTAATAACTGAACACTTTAAGAAATCTCCACTTTCTGACTGCTGGCGCTCATTTTCTCACCGTCTTCGTCGCACTCTCCTCTCTCTCGCTCGCCTTTTTCCTCCTCCTCATTCCCTCTCGTCTCCCTCCTCCCACATGTGCTCTGCTGTGTGTCTGTCTGAGTCTGATCCTCCTCTTCCCCGCCCCTACTGCTCTGTGTGTGGACAGTCTGGACACGCAGTTACACATGTTGACCAATCGCCTGTAGCTTTCACCAAGGCAGGGGAGGGAGGGGGAGGGGATGGGATGGCTCCCAATGACGAGCCGGCTCCCATTGTTCACTTCAAAGAGCTGGCTCTTATAGCCGGTTCGTTCGCGACCGACACATCACTAGTTTCTGGGACTTTTTTTTTTGTCTGAAACTTTATTCCAAAAAGAGTTTCCGAAAATGACAAACGTCTTTTCTCAAATGTAATTTTAAAAAGTGGCCACACAAAAAAAAAAAACTGCGTTCTTTGTAACGGGTTTCCTTACCTTTCAATCGTGTTCGCTGGAATGGATAAAATTCATGTAGATAATTCGATCAATGCTTATGTTGCTAAAATCCGTCTCTACTTCAACCGTAAATAATCGCTAAAACAAGCTAAGAAATATTTTACTCGTGATTTTTTTAAACAGACTTTATTAGTGAAACTGGTTAGCTTACATAGAATCGAAGTATTAAGCATACAAACAAACTAACAAAGGGGCCAAAGTGATAAAACTGTGTTTAAAAGATAAGAATACAGATATTACATGGAATAGAGAGGGGGAAGTGAGTTACCAGTTGTACAAGTCGTAATCTTCAAGTAGGTTCCAGGGTTTTATAGCTTTTAAATTTCCTGAGATTTTAATAGAATCAGCATTTTTTTAAATTCACAGATGAAGACAGGTAAAAAAAGGATTGACATGGGTATATTTTTATTTGTGAATATAATATTTAGCTAAAATAAAAATTAGGTTCAGTATGTCGTTTCTATTACTCTCTTTGTCTTCAAATAATCCAAAAATAACACGTTTCAAACAGAAGGAGACGTCGGGAAGAACCTTTAGAAGATCTAAGACATCAGACCAAAATTTTGAAGTATTTGTACAGGCCCAGAATAGGTGAGTAAAGGTTTCAGGATGATTGTTGCAGAAGAACAGCAGGTGTTAATGTCCTTTTAAATCTTTGGGAAATAAAATGTTTAACAGTTATGTAATATTTTAAAAGAAACTTCTCTAATTTTATTAGATAAAATATATATATGGGGTTTACTCGTGATTCTTATCACCAAAACTGATAATAAGTCAGGCTCCTATTGGTCCAAAACCCACCAATCTGAGGTGTTTTCTCCGCGGCCGTCATTTGGAATCGTAGGATGTCCAAGGAAGGTCCCACATTTCTCGCCTCTGATTGGCTGGAAGGGCTCTCCTACGATTGGCTATTTCATGTAGGAGCCCGTCTTCCCCCTCTGCAGAGATTTTAAGTTTACAGCCAGATCTTCCGGAGTTTTGAGGAGAATATTTGAACTCATCACTATAAAAATCATTCTGTCCTGTTTTGCAACATTCCAGTTGCAGTTTCTTTCAAATAAAGAACCTGAAAAACGTCAAATGTGAACTTGTAATAAATCTTATGCATTTATCACACTGTTTGACTTTATATCATACTGCATGGTGGCGCACTGTTGCCTCGCAGCGAGATGGTTGCAGGTTCAAAACTCGGCTGTAGCCTTTCTGCATGCGTGGGTTTCCTCCGGGTACTCCGGCTTTCCCTACAGATCACTACATGCCCTACAAGTTAAATATTGTACGTCGCTTTGGATAAAAGTGTCTGCCAAATAAATAAACATGAACATATCTGTTGGCTCCTAAGCACTGGGGTAATCTTATTACAATCTATCTTATGTCTTCACTTCTTGTGACACACCTCTCATCATTCGTGCAAAGGTTGCATTTAGACAGAGTTTTCATGAATCTACAGTAGAAGAGAAACAGGTGACCGGCTGCACACAGCAAAAGAGGGCAGTCTATTATATTTAATGCCCGGGTGACGCACAAAGATTTTTTTTAAATAAAAGAAACCTTAAAAACACTATTTTGCAAAAAAGGACAGAATGGTCCTTACAGCGCCAAGTTTTCATTTCTTTATAAAACTCCCCAAAAAGCTTTCTGTTGGTGGCAGGAGGCCAGTCTGCTCTTAGCGAGGGAAGACTACTGGCAAGCCAGACTAAATAAATATAGTACTTTGCAAGGCAAGATTTTTGTCTAGTTCACTAGGCAGACGGTTTACTGCTGCCAAATGAAATTGCCAATCGTAGTGGAGCCATTCTAGCCAATCAGAGGCTAGAAAGGCTGGATCTTCCTTGGACATTCTACGATTCCAAATGACGCTCCCCGCGGCGTTCCCAGGCCCCCCTCTGTGCCAACATTACATAACAACCTTCTGACTGGGGACGTCAGGCAGAAACTCTCCGCTAAGTTTACAGGTATAAACTATGTGTTTACTTTCCTTTTCATCCAAAAGTGGTGTTTTTTATGCATTTTAACTTTTCCCCAAAGTTTTCAGAGTTTGACCTCCAAAAGCCCAACAGCTATGTCTGAGAAAGTTATTCTGCACTATTTCAACGCCAGAGGGAAAATGGAGTCAATCCGTTGGCTTTTGACAGTTGCAGAAGTGGAGGTGAGTGAAGATAGCAAGCTGTGCAGACTTTCCTTACCTGTCATGTGAACTAAATGTAATTCAGTGTTATTTATGATCACAGTTTGATGAGGTTTACCTGACAACCAGAGATCAGTACCTGAAACTTCTGGACGGTGAGTGTTTTCAGAGAAATGTTCACGGTGGGCGGGCTTCTCTGCGCCTGGTGCCAAGTTTACAGTTTCAGGTTCAACCTGTTGGTTTATTTATTTTTATGGCCTGCAAGATAAGGTCATGTGAGTCTGTAGTAGTGGGAGTCACCGTGGCTCTCTGGTGCTGTGATTTCTCTGCAGATGGGTCGCTCATGTTCCAACAGGTCCCCATGGTGGAGATCGATGGCATGAAGCTTGTGCAGACAAAGGCGATCCTGCATTACATTGCAGAGAAGTACAGCCTCTATGGAAAAGACATCAAAGAGCGTGTCATGTGTGTTCCAGATCTGCCTTTTGTAATGATGGCAGTTTCTGTTCTCGTGAGTGTTCATGAATTAACAATAATTCTTATTTAGGATCAACATGTACTCAGAGGGACTGATGGATCTCATGGAAATGATCATGATTCATGCCTTTGTCTCGGGCACCAAAGCTAAACTCGACGACATCCTAACTAAAGCAAAAGAGCGCTACCTGCCGGTGTACGAAAAGGTAAAACGGAAGAACATTTCTATATTAGATTAAAAAGTTACTAATTTCAGCTGAAACTGTGTTTGGAAACTGAATCAGGCGCTGAGTGGACCCGTTTACCTGGTGGGAGGTAAGCTAAGCCTGGCAGACGTGCAGCTGCTGGAATGCACTTTGATGCTTGAGGAGAAGTTCCCTGCAATCCTCGCGGACTTTCCCAACACCAAGGTAAGCCTGCCACGTGCCACAGTCCCACTCAAGCTGCTACTGCTTAGTTTAAGGTCTTCTCTGGGTTTGTGTCCAGGCCTTCCAGGGGAGGATGAGCCAAATTCCTTCCATCAGCAGGTTCCTGCAGCCGGGCAGCAAGAGGAAGCCGCAGCCAGACGAAAAGATAAAAAAGACGGTCATGGAAGTGTTTAACCTCACAAACCTAAATCTGTAATTTCTCCAAGAAGATCTAAGACAGGGGCTGGCAATCCCAGTCCTCGAGGGCCGCTGTCCAGCAGGTTTTACTTGTTTCTCTGCTTAAACACACCTGGTTTGAATCTACTAGTGATTAACAGGCTGCTGCAGAGCCTGATGAGCTGCTGAACAGGTGATTAATCCAGAAATCAGGTGTGTTGGGGCAGGTAAACAACTAAAACATGCTGGATAGCGGCCCTCGAGGACCAGGATTGCCCACCCCTGATCTAAGACATTCCTCACATTTATAGTGATTTCCTAAAGCAGCCATGGCTGCATTAACACGGGTCCAGCACAAAACAACTAATCATGTGTAGCATGCTGTTTTCTAACGTCACTACTGAGGAAACATCTGAAACCTCTTTTGGACGTTTTGCATAACAACAAACACGCGTTTTTTAATCACACCGTTATTGAAATTGTGATTCATTAAAAACATCTCAGATGTGTTAACCAGTCGTACAACCTATCTCTAAGACGTGCAAAATAAAATGTATTCTTGTTTCTTTGTTTGGTTTGATTGAGCAGAATCCACGGGAAAACAAACTTTTAATTAAATATTAAAAGAGGTTAAACGAGATTTCAGTTGAAGTGTAATCCAGCGACCATCTTTGAGCTTTTCTCTTGTCATCCAAAGAGAATGGCTGCAGCATTGCAGACCCAGGCCAGTAGATTTTCCACAAGAAAGCTGTGACAAAGAACGCCACATTCATGCACACAATCCATCCATTTTCATCTGCTTCTTCAAAGTCGGGTCGCGGAGGCGGCAGCCTAAGCAGAGAGGCCCAGACTTCCCTTTCCCAAGTCACTTGGGCCAGCTCCTCTGGGGAATCCCAAGGCGTTCCCTGACATAGTCCCTCCAGCGTGTCCTGGCTCTTCCTTTAAGACTCCTCCTGGTTGGACGTGGCTGGAAAAGCTCTCCAGGAAGCATCCTAACTAGATTCCCGAGCCACCTCAACTGGCTCCTCTTGATGTGGAGGAGCAGCGGGTCTACTCCGAGCCCCTCCCAGATGATCGAGCTTCTCATCCTATCTCTAAGGGAGAGCGCAGCCACTCTGCGGAGAAAACTAATCTTGTTCATTCGGTCACTCTCCAAAGTTCGTGACCACAGGTGAGGGTAGGAACATAGTAGATCAACCGGTAAATCGAGAGCTTTCCCTTCCGGCTCAGCTCTCTCTTCACCACGACAGACCGGTCCAACGTCTGCATCTCTGCAGACGCAGCACCAATCCACCTGTCGATCTCGTGCTCCAGCTTTCCCTCGCTCGAGAACAAGACCCTCAGATACTCAAACTCCTTCAGTATGTACACAATAACTTACAAAAACCAGACAATTTAACAAGCAGTCCAGTTCAACTCAGAAGACTTTGGTCTCAAGTTTTCATAACATGCATAAAAAACTGGGTTCAACCACAGATTTCACTTTTCATACATTTCTCGTTGATCTTTTACAAAGTAAGGATCTGAGTTAAACTAGCTGCAGTAACCTGCATTGACCTCTGAGTGTCACTGTTAAACTTCAGTTACATAAACAGAACAAAACAACAAACATCCACGAATAGATTAAAACTTGGCATCCCTCAAACAATTCCAGACTCAATCTGTCTTTATAAAAACATCTGTCTAATTATGGATTTATTTAATTACAATTTTTTCATTAAAGCTCAAGGATTTATTTTTAGATTTCTGTAAGGATAACTTTCTGATTCGGTTCGTAGAAAATTTGCTTTAGTGCCTTTTCACAGATGGAAAAATGAAGCAAATTAAGAAAAGAACACTTTGTCTACTGTGACGCATGGAGGAGGCTCTGTTATGTTCTGGGCTGCTTTGCTGCACATGGTGTCTTGAATCTGTGCAGGGTACAATGAAATCTAAAGACCATCAAGGGATTCTAGAGAGAAATGTGCTGGCCAGAGTCTGAAAGCTTGGTCTCAGTTAGAGGTCATGGGTCTTGCAACGGGACAATGAACCAAAACACAGAGCTAAAAACACCCAGGAACGGCAAAGAGGAAAATACCAGACTATTCTAAAGTGGCCTTCTATGAGCCCTGACCTGACCTCAATCCTATTGAACATCTTTGGAAGGAGCTGAAACGTCCCGTCTGGAAAAGGCGCCCTTCAACCTGAGACAACTGGAGCAGTTTGCTCTTGACGAGTGGGCCAAAATACCTGCTGAGAGGTGCACAAGTCAATTACAGGAACTGTTCGATTGCAGTGATTGCCTCAAAAGGCTGTGCAACAAAATATTATGAGTTTATTTATTTAAATAATTTTGTTGAAGCATGGTTGAAAAGCAATATCTGGCTTTCATTACATTTCAAGGAATTTGTATCTATTATTAATTTAGTCAGATTCAAGTAATTTTTGTGACCATTGTGGGTTTCTCTTTCATTCATTGAAGAGTACCAACAAGTTAGTCCATGTCTGTAAATGTACCATACCATACCATACCATACCATACCATACCATACCATAGTTTATTTATATAGCACGTTTAAAACGCAGCATGGGAGCTGCCCAAAGTGCTGCACAGGCTAAACCAAAACACGACCAATCCAAGCAACTAAAATAGAAGGTTAAAACACTGATCTAAAGCAGATAAAACATGATCAATACTAAGAACATAATAAAACACCAAAATGAGTCACTGTCTAAAAGCCACATCATAGAAGTCGGTCTTTAAACTAGATTTAAAAATCGCCAATGATGGAGCCTGCCGAACTACGATGGGTAGAGAGTTCCGCAGGTTTGGGGCAGCATGCACAAATGCTCGTTCACCCCGCGATTTGTATCGCATCTGGGGCGTGCACATCAGCAGGAGGTCAGCCGACCTCAACGTGCGCGTGGGCACATAGGGAGTGAGCAGGTCAGAGAGATAGGGAGGTGCCAGGTCGTTGAGTGCTTTAAAGTCAAAAGTCGATAACAAACTGTACTCTGAAAATGACAGGGAGCCAGTGAAGATGTGCCAGGACAGGGGTAATATGGCTACGTCGGTGTGTAGTCGTCAAGAACCTGGCAGCAGCGTTCTGGACGACCTGCAGACGATTCAGGGCAGAGACCGGAGCACCAACTAGGAGGGCGTTTGCGTAGTCCAGGCGAGAGGTAATGAAAGCATGGATGACTGACTCCAAATGCCTCCGTTTCAGGATTTGTCTGAGGCGAGTCAGGCGGCGAAGCTGATAAAAGCAAGACCTCACTATGGAGTTTATCTGTTGGGCCACTGAGAGTTTCCATAGCTTGTTCTGTAGATAACAGCTGTTATAGAGAATCCACAGAACAGACGATGGGTTTGGAACATTATTTGGCAAGTTAGAAAATAATAAGTAAACAAACAAACAATGCATATGTTGCAGTTTTAATTATCATTTTGTTGGCTTCATACTGCTGGCACCAATTCCAAACTTAATAAGAGACATGAAAAGAAATGATACATGCAAGATTCAATAAAAAATACTTTCAAGCCACACTCGCATAAATGAGCTTGTTTCACGGTTTTGTTATAATTTCCACCCAAGATGCTTTGATCTAACTTTATTTTACACCGTGTCTTTTTCTCTCTTGTGAATGAAGTCTTTGTTTGATAGCAAGATGGAGATCTGAGAGCAGCAAAGAGCGAGGGACATGCAGAAGGGAGCCACGAAGACGTTCACGGCACATATGAACACGGACCGCAAGCAGGGGAGGAAAGTGTTACTGAGCTGTACACAAGGGACCAGGAACCTGGAGAGATAAACGAGAAACACGAGGGGAAAACATAAATCACAGTAAGGTTGCAAATCAGTGACCGTCAGCCATAGGAATTGGAAAGGAACACTTGTACCAGACACGTAAGCAGGCTAGAAGAGCCAGGATGAAGCCACACAGGAACGCCAGGGGAACAGCAAACAGCAAGGAGAGGCAGCGGTACGTCCAGATACGAGTCTTCTCAAAGCCGACCAGACTGTAAATCCAAACTCCATCCATGCTGTACGGTGTGGTAGGCTCAGCCAGGACGTCACTGACCTCCACCTACAGCAAAGAGGAAGGAGGAACAGTTTTCTACGTCTTAATTAAGGACATTTTCATCACTTCTGCCACTATTGCTAACAACGAACATCCTACACGTTTCGTTTAGTTGTTTCCGTGCTCCAACACAGCTGATTCGGTGGTTGAAACGCTTGTTCACCATGTCCTCAAACTCTGCAGGAACCCGTCAATCACAAGTAGTCACAAAAACTGGAAGAGAGAAAAGTTGCATTTCCCACCTCATCCGCTAGGAGCTGGCTCCAAAATGACTCCCATGTTAAAAGAAAATCTTCACAGCAGAAATAAATGTGCCACAGCCTGGTACAAAACACTTTTTAGGGTTACGGTGACTCTGTAATTCATCCATTTACGTCCATTTAAATGCTTGAAATCATGAATAATTAGCAGAGGTGTGGACTCGAGTCACATGACTGGACTGGAGTCATTATTTTAATGACTTCTGACTTGACTTGATAAAATCTATAAAGACTTGCGACTTGACTCAGACTTGCATCTGTTGACTTGATGATGGCATGAGCAGATTTGATATTTTAGCACAAAGTGGCACGACATGGACAAAAATCATGGGTTTGATGTTGTACCGCTAACTGCAGCAGCACTTTCTGCTTGTTTGAGCAAACAAATGAAGCTTTAATTCTGCAATTTATTATCATTGTCATTCAATTTAAGTTGGACAGATGACTTGACTATGACTTGAAAATTCAAAGTTAAGAACTTGGAATCGACTTGGACGTCCACATCATTGACTTTGGACTTGACTTAGACTTGACTGGAAAGACTTGTGACTTACTTGTGACTTGCAAAGCAGTGACTTGGTCACACCTCTGATAATTAGATTAGATTGACAGGTAGCATGATCCATCAGCGCTAGCGCTAGTGGATAAGTGAGCTAACCTAAGCTAACGGTGCTTTTAGCCAGGGTCCTGATTCAGAGCCTCCGGGTATGTGACAGAGCTTTGGAATATGACAAATGAAACAGATGTTTGCTAAAAATCTTTACTCAATGACAAGCTATTATTATTGAAATAAACTACAATGACTACAGCGGCCAAAATGAGTTTTCTCCGCAGAGTGGCTAGGCTCTCCCTTAGAGATAGGGTGAGAAGCTCGGTCATCCGGGAGGGGATCGGAGTAGATTCGCTGCTCCTTCACATCGAGAGGAGCCAGTGGAGGTGGCTCGGGAATCTGATCAGGATGCCTCCTGGACGCCTCCCTGGTGAGGTTTTTCCGAGCACGTCCAACCGGGAGGAGGCCTAAAGGTAGACCCAGTACACGGTGGAGGGACAATGTCTCTCATCTGTCCAGGGAACACCTTAGGATTTGCCCGGAGGAGCTGGCCCAAGTGGCCAGGGAGTGGGAATTCTGGGCCTCTCGACTTAGGCTACTGCCCCCGTGACCCGACTCCAGATACGTGGATGAAAATGGATGGATGGATGGATGGATGGATGGACTACAATGTTCAGCTGGTTTTAATTTCTCGAATCAGTAGAGTATTTGATGTAAATAAAAACCACATAGAACCAAGTATAGAGCTTTGAGGTACTCCAGATGAGACAGATTCTACTGAAATTGTGTGACTGTGTCAATTATGGTTTAATTCAATGTAAAATGTAGCAGGAAAAGTGCAAGAAAACTGGTGTTTATTAGGAACAATTCTGAGGCTGTTCTGTTATATTTAAGTAGCAAAAGCAATCTGACTCATGGAAATCACAGGATTTTAATGTGAAGGATCACCTTAAGGTGTTTGTTGATGCCAAATGGGTCTCTGTTGATGGGACAGGGTGGAGTGGATGGAGTAGATGGAGTGGGTTCTGCAGGAGGAGTTGGAGGTTTGGGAGTTGGAGTTGAAGCTTTAGAGGCAAACTCTGGAGGAGGAGGAGGTGGAGGTGTGCTTATCTGCTCTTCATCGCTGTCGTCTATCTTACACTCTACTAGGCAGTCATCACTCACCATCATCATGTCTGCTGAATAAAACAGAATTGTTCACTTGTTTGACTCACACGCGCACACACATGCACACCTAACCTCCAGGCAGATTGTAGTCGTGCAACGGCGAGTGGCGCCCCAACACCTGTTCTTCAGACCAGATCATACATACAAATAGCAGCTGTTGATTTTAAGAATATCTCTTTTTTAATTGCACAGTTCTTTCAGCAAGCCACTGACAGCTGCAAAAAATGCAACAAGGTCGTAGAAAAGGTGCCAAAATTTAGCGTTTTCATCTTGTTGAGTAAGTATACAGACTTACCTTAGTGAAAGATCTGTCTCAAGCTGATATCCGTGACAGGAGCGTCTGCACACGCGTGTGAGGAATCTCGATGGAAAATGTCAATGAGAGTGAATGATCAGCTTCATCACAATGTCCCTGACAGCCTTTACACCACACACGCACACACACACACACACACACACACACACACACGCACGCACGCACGCACGCACACACACACACACACACACCAGCTATACTTGACCTAAAGTGTTAACGTGGTACCATACATCTCTCTCTGGTTTGGTTGGCTTGTGGGAAAGGGTTATTTTAAGAGAAGGAGTGGACGGGTCCAAAAGTTCACGTTACAGCGGGGGGTGCTGCGTTTAACACAGAAACTGAAACAATGTCGCACCCACCCACACATCCAGCATGAAACACGGCTAAGCAGTGCAAAACGTTACTGGTTTCTGAATTTTACTGAGGAATGTGGCTGATTTAATGATAATGGACACCAACTATGATAAAAATACGTATAACATCAACTTTCTCTAAGGACTTCTGTGTATTAGCACGGAGGTAAACTGTTGAGAAAAGACCTTTTGTGAGGGAATGCTAGATTTTTTTCTGTAGAAAATAACATTTTATGTTGTTCTTGGTGGCGTGCACCAAAAGCTGAACTGAACACAGCAACTGCAGCACTACGGATATAGAAAACTTTCCGCGGTGTAAGGGATATGAGTATTTTGGTCTGAGACACTGCGATAACTAAATATATCATTAATGAACCATTTGCATGCCTTACCCTTCCTGGAGAAGCCCCGTGTTGTGTTTTAAAACATCAAACATCTGTGACTGCTTTGCCATCTTTATTGTCTCCTTATTTATTCTTTGACCCACATAAACAGTTGAACACACTGAACTTTGTAACATCATCATTTGTAACAGTGATCCAAAATACCAAGGTGTTTAAGCAGAACCATGTAAAAACATAGACTTGTCCTAGTTTTCACGTGACCTGGGGAAATTACAGATGTAGAAAAATGATTTTGATGCTTTTGGAATCCAACTGCAAAATTCCAGAAGGACCGATGGACCTTAAATAACAAAGGGGCCAAAACGAAAGGGAGAAAGAGACTAGAGTTTCAACCATGGCTCTAAAAAGACGCTGCAGGTTTCACAGTTTCAACCAGAGGAAATCTCCGATATGGGGACCAGTTTGGCTCTCGAGGCTTGGGGCACAGTTTCTAGCTGGAGCGTCCTGGTGAATTCTGTTGGGCTTGGAAGTTGGGAATGGCCTCTGAGTTGACCATTGTAGCAAAATGTGTAAAACAAATCTGAAAGAAATGGAACTGTACATTAGTCGTGGTTCAATAATTCTTGCGTGGAGCTCCAGGGGTGGATCTAGAAGGGGGCAACTGCCTACCTAACTATCAGCCTTGACCCCCCCCCCCCCCCACCACCACCACCACCAGTATTTATGTTCTTAATATACACCCATCCACTTTTTTTATTAATTTCCGTTTACATATGGAGCATGGGTGTCCAAACTTTTCAAAACGAGGGCCAAGATCATCAAGTTAAAAGTCCTTGCTGGCCAAAGCAAAATTTTTTATTTAACTCATTCACTGCCAATGACGACTAAAGTCGTCATTTGCATTTTTTTTACTGTGTGGACATCGGAACGAGCCCCCACACCGTGAGAACAAACATCTCAGCTCCAAAGCCAATCTTCGTCATGTGATCAGGAAGCAGAACATCCATGTGTTAGGCGATGGTTTTGGGCCGCTGCTTTAAAAAAAAGTGAGGCGCGAACCGGAAAAGCTTCTGTTGATCACAATTTATCAACGGTTTATGAAAGAACGGATAAAGCTCGAAACACGCAGATTCTTCCTGATGTAAGAGATGAGTCTCCGCTTTGTTTTGGTTGTTTTGGCATTGACATCATCCTAGCACGCAAGATTCTGTAACTCTTAAAAAACAGTAAAAATGGTGAGAACCGCTGGCAGAGAAGGCCTTTAACTCATTCGCCGCCAGCCGTTTTCTGATCGGTAAAGAGCAAGTCACCCCGAAATCAACTTTTCTTTGCTAATAAACTATATAAATGAGTGTCTAACCATGCTGTCGACATGTGTAGTCAATAATTAGTCCCTTTAGTGCATCTTAGTTAAAATTTAAATATTCTGCCTGAAACTGTAAGTGTTGTGCTGCCTTCAGGTAAAAACTCTGTATCACATTTGAATTTAAATCTGCCGTTGCTATTGGCTAAGAGGTACACTATGACGTTAGCTAGTACATTATGATGTCACAATGTCATTGTGAGTCCATGTGTGTGTATTTGTTAGCGACTTCACCCGTCTGCCGGGAAACAACATTTGTTGCATTTTTCAAACAAGAAATAGGAGTGGAGTAAGACTCTGATGGGGGCGATTTGCTCTTTAAAAATTTGACAAAGACTCTATGATTTTTGTTGTTGTTGTTCTGTTCAGAAATAGGCAACACATAAATGAGAATAAGTTAATAAATCTGTTAAGCTTCTATGAGGTGGTTCAGCATGGCCACCCTGCCTAGACCCCCCATGTAAAATATTCTAGATCCGCCCCTGCGGCGCTCCCATCTGGGATTTTGACTGATCCAAACCTCTTGTTTGACACAACTGGCATTAACCTGGTGAGACGGCAAATCAAATAAAATTTTCCAAGTTCAAGTGAAAGTCACGTTTATTCCGCCAAAGACCTGAGTAAGAAACTCTTGACATATTCTTCCAAAGCCAAACCTGCGTTTGCCCACCTTTAACTCTGCAAAAGCCCTGAGATCTGGCCTGCACCTCAGACCATTTATCACATATAAAGGGAAGGGGGTGTTTCCAGTATTCCAGCTAACATAGATGGACCCTCAAAGTGTTCAAATTACAGTGAATACAAACAGAATCATTTCATTATCAGTCAGGAGCTAACGTTTGAGTAAACCAGCAACACCTGAATTTGGCGTTTATTGGCAGCATCGAGGTGATTATTGGCTTTGATTTTCAACATCTTATTCTAGCTAACCTACACAAGGCCAAGGTGAAAGGAAGAAGAAAGGAAACCGTCCAAACCTTCAAACAGCACTCGTACTTCTGATAGCAGCATGCAAACCGAACATTTGACCCATGACAAGCGGCTTTAGACGGTTTCTGCTTGAGAGGTTGTAAAACCAACATAACGTGTTTCTTTTCATGAGCTTACAGCAGAATGGGAAGCTAGCTGGAGGCTAAACTTGTGTGTTTTAGCAGAAATTGTTTGCATGTGAAGAATTTTCTTCTTCACTATTCTTTGCATCTTTTGTAAAGTTCACTAAAGTTGGCATGGAACCAACATTATGAACACAAACCTTAAAAGCAACCCAGAACACAAGTTTAGTCATTTCCAGTGTGTAAAATGTTAATCGTATTCTCCATATTTTGTTCCTTTTCACAGTTATTTTGCTTATGTGCACGAAAAAGACCTTGCACGTTCAGGAAGAACTCTACAAACATGATTGAAATTAAACTATGACATGGAGAGTCTCTTGAGATCAAATTTCTACAGGCAGAAGCTGATAAATAATGAACTTTTTACAAAAACGCACACAAAAATAGTATGCAATGTTACCACAAGCAGGCTGATGAAACTGCGCTTTGGTTTGGTGTCGGTTGTTGTTTGATAAATTATGGTTTCTTCAGATAATTCAGAACACTTTTGGGTCCAATGTTAAGTTCCTGGCTCACACGTTTTATTTAAATATTCAAAGTTTAAGCATGACCATGATTTTCAAGTAAGTAAATCTCTAAATGAAAAAGTGAAGGCACTCCTAGGCATAGGAGCTGATCTCAGACCTGCCACTAGGGGGCAGATGAAGGATTTTTCTCGTTGATGCACAATAAAAACTGGTGAAGCCACATCCCCGACTCTCCAGAAGTTGCTAAAACCAGGAGAGTAAAAACAAACGTACATAAAACCAGCTGGGAAACAGATGCACTCGACACACAGCTACACGCACCGAGACTAGTGGCACTATGAGATGTCAGACAAAACTATATCATACACGTGTCCAAAATAAGAAGAGAAGAGAATCCGGATCTCCTCCAAATGCCTGATGGGCATCAGTGTAATCACCAACTCCACAATTCCACCCCTGTCCTTTCTTCATCTCAGTCCACCAGACTGAAAAGCGCTTGCCTTTCTTAAAACAAATCCTCCTTTTTTGGCAGAAGGGGCAATTTGAGTAAGAGAGGAAGACAAGGAGGAAGAAGACGGGGCGACGGCGGCGGCCGAATGCACCGGGGGCTGGCGGGAGAGGAGCTCCTTGAACACCGAGTTCATCTGACGGTTGATCATCTCCTGAGAGAGCAAGAGGAGGGACGGGGAAAGTCGAAGAACAACAAACAGAATCATTTATTAATAAGGAAAACCTTTTGGAATGTTAAATCTGAACGTCCAGTGAACACCAACTTTGTCGACGGGCGCTCTTTCTGCCTGACCGAAAGAAGGTCTGTCTGTGAGTCTGCAGCTGCCCTGTCTCACTGTGTCCAAAGTGTGTCTTCGCTCATGAGACCTGGACAACGGACAAAAGGAAGCAGAGAAAAATATGACTACTGTTCATGTCATAGACATATAAGTACTGCACAAACCCCGCCCGTTGCATTCTAAAATACTTTTATGAAGCCAAGTGGGCGGTTTCCTTCACCTCCATCTTGTCCGTGTCTCGTCACGCCCAGACAATCCAAAAATGGGAAAAGAGGTGGAGCTGAGAGTTGGGCTGTGAGAAATGCTTGACACCCATAAACTCTGAACAGATGTAGCTACGAGCTAACCCAAACCTACCATGAAGCTACGAGCTAACCATTGACTATTAAAATACAAACGCAGCCTTAGACCGCCGCGATGGGAGCCGGGCGCATGTGCCGCATACATGAGCTCTACCTTTACTGCAGCGGTCGGAGATCAACGGGAGATTAGCTACAAGCTAACTCAAAGCTACACGGAGCTTGGAGCCAAGGGGGCTAGCTTAGGGTGTCCATTTTTCCATTTCCAAAAAAGAGGACAGGGGATCTGTGCCTATGACGTCACACTATGGCAACGCCACACAAACCAGGTTGGGACCCATTTTTTGTAAGAACTAAATTAATATCAGATTCTGCCAACAAAAGGGCTCTAAAACAATTTATATGTAAATATTTAGCATATTTATTGCAAAATCTCATTTTTCTGCTTTAGTGCTGCAACAAGGTTTTATTAATAATAAATTATTATATCTTTTGTTTTACTACAGCATCGGTAAGCTTCCTGTGCACAGATTATTAAGGATGTTTGTTTCAGCTGTGAGATTAGATGATAGGATCAATGAAAAAATAAGTTGTCACACACTCCATGGAAACTTTCAGAAAATCCACAAATAGTGGCTTTCAACTGGTTTTGTTACTTTTTGCAAGTTTAGAAAAGCAGCAGATGAGACAGCATGTCTGATAAGTTAGTTTTTCATCTGATAATATTAGAACATGTCAGTAATGTCTGAGGGGTTTTAACAAACACCGTATAACTAATACTCCTGGAAAGGATCTGGCTTACACAGAGGCTTCAGGGGGGCCCAGTTACAGGGGTGGGGGGTGTTCTATTTAGCCTTGTCCCCCAAAATGCCTTGAAACGGCCCTGGGTGTGTGACTGAGTTTTGAAGGTGATCTGAATTGTATCGGATGTATAAATATGACATGTGTATAACTTATTGTTTTATACAGGTAAAAACGTGTAGTAGAGATAAATCTACCTACATTTTACTTTCAAGCTTTGTTTTCTTGTTTTTACTGAACTATTTTCCTGTCATGTCTGTCTCTCATCTTCCTGCATCTCCTCTAAACTCTCCAGAAAATCTGCTGCCTGGATTCTTACTTTTTCACCTCATCGGTTACTTTTGAGCAGATCAAAGGGATCTCCTGACCACAAAGCGGAGAGCGCGTTTCGATGATGCGTCAGTGAGGTGAAATCACCGCAGCACAGGTGATGAGCTCCGCAGTAGCAGAGCGCTTCAGGCACAAATAAGACAGAAAGTAGAGAACATGTGCGGACATGAACGATCGTGTGTTAATTATTGTTTTTGGGTTGCGCCGCTTTGAGAATGGACCGTGCGCTGGACGCAGCAGCCTGGAGCGCACCAACGATCAGCTCTCTGTCGTTCTCGATGATCTCCGCTCAAAAGAACCCCGGTACGCTGAGTCCATATAAATGGTGTAATCTAGGTGGAAACATTTTTTCCGGCTCTCCCTGGATGTGTAGGATATCCAGCTTTCCCATAATTCGATCCTTGCTCCTGGATGAAAAACCGGACATTTTCATCAATACGAGAAAGCCCCCCGGACGCCTCGGACAGAGAGTGAAAAGTGGACGTGTCCGGGGAAAAGAGGACGTATGGTCACCGTAGGCTAGCTTCAACCCACCTGTGCAAACCTGGAGCTAACTCGAAGCTAACTGAGGCTTTTGGGTGCTTTTTGGCTGGAAAACACAGTTGAGCAACTCAAAAGGGAAGCAGTTTGAACTTAAAGAGCTGAGGTGTTTCTCTGGTCTCCCTCAGAGCTCCACTGGACTACTACAGCCTCACGTGGGAGCCAGGCAGCCGTGCGGCTTGGCTGCAATTATTGTCACTTCCATAATGGCTTCAGGTCTGGGTCTGCAGGGTTCCCACTTGGTTCGTATTTTTTACCCATTATAGATAACCTCCTGGTCTACTTATGTTTGAGAAAAACTAGTTTACGGCCTTCATGATTGATAAGCTAATGGCTAGTCTGTGTGCAGCTCATTTAAATAGAATATATAGATTAAAATAAAATCATATTGGGATGTCATTTTGCTTGGTTGTTAAATAACCCCATGGTGGTTTTAACATAATAAAAGACTATTTTTAATCAAGTTTCAAAACGGTCACTTAATATCCGATATGATGCATTAGGGGTAGTTAGCCATGTTCGAGGTTATGGCCACAGAGAAACAGCTGCTTGAAAGTAAGAACAACGGTGATTTTAGCATCTTAGTCTAAAAACGGGTTAAATCCCTAAACTTGGTGGGCATAGTTAGCCGCGTATTGAATTATCATGCAGGTAAACTACTCTGATTACTATTTTATCTAAGTTACATAAATTAAATCTAGTCATGCATGCATCGAGCTGGCTCTCTGTTGAAGGCGTGTCAGGCTTACACTGGTAGCTGTCTCGTGGCTGGGGAAGTTTGCGGCTTCCGACCTGGGCTCCCTTCACTTCCTCTCTGTCTCCCTGGCAACGAAGCACCATCGCTGTTTACCCGCATCCTGTCGAGACACCCAGAGACATCAGGACTTAGCAAAGAGTCTATTTCTACCTGAGAGCACGAGAACGTATGTGTGAAACGAACATTTCTGTGTTCATGTATTACGTAAAGTCTGTGTGTGTGTGTGTGTGTGTGTGTACCTTGTTGTGTTCTCCATGTTTGCATCCTCTGCCGTTAGGTTTCCAGTGCTGCCTCCTCCTACTCTGCCTTCATCTCTTTTTCCCCGTTCTGACCTGAAGGAGGTGGATTTAAAAGGCTTAGTAGAGAAACAGTATTCTGTTGGATCAACAAAAGAATTGTAGGAACACCAGGAGGAGTAAATTCATGTATGATCTGAATGAAATCAGATGAAACTGATTTTTTTTAACTCAGATTTCTAGTAAACATTTTTTGTTTCACCTATTCAATTTTAACCCATAAGCTATACTGCATCTTATTTTTTCTAGATAGGAAGGCATTTTCAATATGTCAACATTAAGAAGGCTCCTCGTCCTCTTATTTTAGTGTGGAAAACTGATTATTTGTACTTTTATTTTAGTAATCGATAGCTATCTAAGTAAAGTAACGTACAGCTAATGTTGGATAATGAATGTAAGAATAGTGGTCAACGTAGCGTAAGGTGCATCTACCCATCATTTCAACGAATCTGAGGTGGTCTCTATAAATGAATGCCTTGTGAGTCTTTCGCTGTGGAGAAAAAATCTCTGGCGCTCCTTTCTCTGGAGGGCAAGAAACAGCAGGATTTGACGTCTTACTCATTTCTATTCATGATATTTAAACATCTCATCTCTGACTGGCTAAGAGCAACGCAGCTCTTCCACTATCTCCGTTTCCTCTGCAATGATGATGTTTTATCACCACAAATAGCACAAGCTAATGCTAATGGTTAGCTTCTGCTTGCCAAAATGTGCGCTGTTCTCTCGTGGATGCTAAACCAACAACAGCCTTTTGCGGTCGCAAGCCAAGATGAGTGAGTGCATGAATGTTAAGTGATAGGGTGTGGCTATTGAAGAAAAGAGTGGTTGAAGGCTATTTTCATGTATTTTATACATTTGAAACTCAAAGTGACAGATTGCAATAAAAAAAAATAAAAACAAGATCATACATTTCTCAGTGGACCTCACCTTGAAAGCCAATCGTTAAGGTCAGATTTTAGAATTAAGCTAGCATATTTAAACTTTGTTTGCCCACATTCGCTATGCTAAGCTAATCTGAATATTTGTTTTCTTTAAAGAGCAAGTCACCCCCAAATCAATTCTTTTTTTCCTGATAAACTATACAAATGTGTGTCTAATCGTGCAGCAGACACATGTAGTCAATAGTTTTGCACTTTAGTGCATTTTAGTTAAAATTAAAATTTTCTGCCTAAAACTGTCAGTGTTGTGCCGTTGTCAGGTAAAAACTCTGCACTGCATTTGAATTTAAATCTACCATCGCTATTGGCTAAGAGGTACCCTAGAATGTTAGCTGGTACCATATGATGTCACAATGTCGTTGGGAGCCTGTGTGTGTGTATTTGTTAGCGGCTCCGCCCTCTCAGTCTGCTAGGCAACAGCATTTGTTGGATTTTTCAAACAGGAAGTGGGAGTGGAGTAATACTCTGGTAGGGGGTGACTTGCTCTTTAAATTCATGTTTTAAAAACATATAAAAACCTTTTAAAAAGTTTCAGAGAACAGAATTAAAATGTTCTAAAGATTCAATGTAACATGATCGTTTTAACTAAAGAAACAACAACAAAATAATAAATAAATAGAATTGGCAAAATGAAAAATCACAAGTTTGACAAAATATTATCACATCTTGACTGTGTTTTTATTTGTCTAGTTATTTGTAGGATGTTTTTGTCACATCTGCACAACCCAACCGGGTTTGACAAACATCAGGAACCAACACTATCTGCTTTTGGAGTTGGACTGTAATACACCCTGTTAAGAGGAACCAAAAACAAAATGCAAAGTTGGGAAGCTATTAAAAGAAATTTGCACACACTAGGTGGAAACACCCCAAAATCAGCAGAAACAAGTTCTAATAAAAGGTTTAAGGGAATAATAACCGATCTGGTCAAGTTTTATTGTCAAACCAAAAATCGTCTTGGCTAATGGGCCATTCCCATCTGTACCGGGTCGGCCCGGGCCGGGTAGCCCCAGTCGGCCCCAGCCTGGCCCGGTTGATTCCACACATCCTTGTCTTAAGCCCATGTGGGCTGATTCTACCCACCAATCAGAGGCTTGCTCTAATGGAAGGTGTGAATTTGCTGTCAGCAGTGGGTGTGTTGGCCCTGGTCGGCCTGAAGCAGACCCCCTCGAGAAGAGGGCTGAGAATGAGCCTTGGTTAGCCCGGAAAAATACCAGGCCACCCAGATATGTAAACAACCTGCACTACCCGGCCCGGGCTGACCCGGTACAGATGGAAATGGCCCATAAGTCTGAGTAGTTGATGCATGAAAAGGTCCCTCACCCTTCCAGGACGCTGATGTACTTGTGCGGGATCAGACCTTTGACCCCTCCAACTTCACCTCTCCACCAGTCTGGGGAGGCCTTGCTGTGGAGGATGAGTGGATCTCCTTGCTTGAAGGAGAGCTCAGCTGGAGATCTGGCCACATAGTCGAACATAGCGATTGCCTCCCACTCTGCACACAACGTTTTTACATTTTCTGTTACATTTGCGTGGAGCAGCGTGCTTGATGCTAATGTTTGTGCACTGACCATCTTCGCTGGGCAGCTGCTCGGTCTCTCCGTCACCCTCCTCTGTAATCGGTTCACTGCACAAGACGGAAAATGCAGTTTCCTTACGCAACACCACCTACAAGGCTTATTTCCTTCAAGTGATTTTATTTTATCTTTTAATTCATGACAGCAGAACCTCAGAATTAGTCATTTTTCTAAATACTCATGCAGAAAGCAGATTTAGTAATTTCCCCGTGGAGCTCAGGCTGGCATGTTACTCTGCTGATTGTTGGAGGCTTGTGTTCAGTTTAAGTGAGTAATACGCTTATTTGTATTTACGAAAAGAGGCATGAGTGCCTTTGCCTTGGCGTGAAATCCTGTTTCAAGTTGACGAAGTGAGAAAAACAGACTGAGGGGGAAGTTGTTTTAGATATTTGGGACAGTTGCAATAAAAAGTTTTGAACTTTAAGATGAAAAAAGGAGAATTTATTTCCATCTCACCAGTACTCCTGCTCCAGAGTCATGTGTTTCTCGTAGATGGGGCCCGGCAGCTCCGATTGGCTCGGGAAAATGATGTCGTGCTGAAGGATCATGGTTTTAACGAGGTCGTTAACCTGTGGCTGCCTAGCAACAGCATCGTCAGAGTCAATCCCTCTCAGGAGGCTTGGTCCGAAGCAAACAGCTAAGTTGTAGGGTTGCATCATGTTCTCGTCGCTGTACTGAGACACACTGGGGGGCAGAAGATGAGCTGTTTGTGGAGCTTTAGAAGAACAACAGCTATGAGGCATGCAGGTGGAACTTACTGGTTGAGAAAAGCGAAAAGATAACGCATCACAATGAGGAGAGGCCGTGGGAAGGTGGAAAAGATGGATCTAATCTGGGCGGCTTTCTCCGACTCCTCCTCGATTTCTGAGCAAACAAAAGAAGAGAAACATGAAGGAGTTGACTCTCAGGTTAATTAGGGTCTGTGTTGCTATGGTTGCCTTCATACTTGTCTGACAGATTAGCCTTCTTGGCTACATATGTATAGGTCCCACTCCTGTCCTGTCCAGTGTGGTGTTCCTCAGGGTTCTGTTTTGGGTGCATTATTGTTTCTGCTCTTTCTACTCCCATTTTTCAGGACATTTCAGGATCAGAATCAGAATTGACTTCATTGTCATTGCCCCAGCATCCAGGAGCATAGAAATCTGTCTCCGCGGCACATCAGTGTTATGCAGATGATGCCCTGTTGTATATTTCTTTTCCTCCAAATGATTTTTCAAAATTGCAATTTCTACTAAAATGTTTAGATTCAGTTACGTCAGAGTTAATAATCATCATTGCACCTACCTGCTGAGACCTACTAACCTTTGACTCAGGCTGGAAATTTATGTCAGATCTCTGATTTGTCATGGTCTGCGTCTTCCTTCATGTGTCTCCTGATGTTTCTCCGTCCCTCTCTAGATTCCCTTCTGTGTCTCATAGCGCCCTCATGTGTCCTTTATCTGCGTCTTATTTAGGTGTCTTCTGTTTGTAGGCCTTCATAGCATTCTCTCAGGTCCGGTGTTCATTTAGTCATCCTCAGCCCCCTCCAGTTGTAGCTCCAGCCTCTTGTTCCCCCAGCTCACTATATAGATATGTGTGTGTGTGAGTTTACGTGTGTGTCAGTGTGTGTATGTGTGTGTATGAGCCCTTCCCTCTGTCTTTAGATAATTGTTGTTTAGTTTTGTGTTTTAGGTTTATTTGCCCTCCTCTGTTTCTGTTTTCCCATTTAGATAATTATATTCACCTGTCTTCCCTCCAGCCCTCATTCCACACACTTGCTGCCATTTTCCCTAATTACTCCTCCCTGTGTATATAAGCCCTGTATTGTCTCTGTCTTGTGTCGGTCCATTGTGGGTTATTCTGTCAGTCTTCTCTAGTCTCCAGTGTTTTGTCTCTAGTTTTGATTTTGGATTTTGGACTTTTGGCTCCCTGCCTTGGATTTATTCTTTGGTTCATCCTTCAAAATAAAGGATTTTTTTATATTATCACCTGCCTCGTGTCATCTTGGGTTCCTGCATTTTGGGTCCTACCATCCCGTATCGTGACATGATTCAATCCTGTTGTCAATTTTAGATATAATGTCAGATTTGGCTTCGTTGTCTCTTATTCTGAATTAGAGATTTGAAATGATGTTTTTTTTGTCTGGAGCTACACCCCCATCAGGCTCACAAGGTCTCGTAGTCCCCCATACAAGACTGTGGTCTTCTGTGGCTCCAAGACTCTCTTCCGCTGGCTCATAAGTAAAAATAAAATTCTACTTACGAAAATCTAGAAGCAACAGGGAATATCTCGAATCTGTTCTTTTTAATCAGAGATGAATAAAAACACCTAAAGTTCAGATAACTATGTTGTTACATATTTTGTGTCCATTTTTTGAGATTGTTTGCACAGATTGTTTGCAAAGATTATGCTAATTGTGACTCAGCAGCCAAGGCGATGAGATAAAGCCTCACAGACCTTGCATCATCATGAATGACTATTATTTATCATTTCTGCAGAAGATATTTCTCTAGAAATGCAAACAGAAAACTGAACAATCTTGATAAGAAGCAGCAGGAAATTCACGAGTTTTCCGACAGCAGAAATCTGAATATGCACGGCTCTGAAGGAGGTGTGGATGTTACATAAACGGCGTCTTACGGACACACTCCAGCAGCTGAGAGTAGCTTTCGTAGGGGAATAGAGGAGGCTCAAGCCCCCTGAAGTACAGCTTCAACACGCCGGCCACGGAGTCCAGGTCACACTCGCTGTCTGATAGAGGATCCTCTCCTAGAGAGGCGCAAACACAACTGTCAGGATGCAACAAGACGTGACTTCTGTCTGAAACTGTGTCTTTGTGGATGATCTGGAGAAGAGCAGCTGGGAAGATCCCAAATGTGTGTTTTTCACAAGTAGTAAAACTCTCAGAGAGCATCGACCATGCAGAAAGAAGGATGTGACCTTCTCATCGAGCCCATGAATACACCCAGTGGACTGTGCTCTCATCTACCCCCCCCCCCCCCCCCCCCAATAAACGACCATCAAGACCCATAAAAAGGTCTTGATGGTCGTTTATTGTTTAATGAAGGTGTTGTAAGTAAATCTCACCTCTCTCAAATGCATCTCTGATGAGGTTAACCTCCCTCTGCGAGCCAGGAACTCTGAAGATGCCTTCATGATGTAGGCCTGAAACACACACACACACACACACACACACACACACACACACACACACACACACACACACACGCATGCATGCACGCACGCACGCACACACACACACACACACACACACTTTATCACTTACGCCTGTCGTCTCCGCACAGGTTTACACAGACATGCACGTACACACCCGAGCTCTTCCACCTACTCTTCCTGCCAAATCATGAGATCTGACTCACCGTGGAGGTTTATGAAACGAATGCAGCTTTCCACCACCACGGGAATCTGCTGTCCGGAGCTCTGCGAGAACAAACGTGGACAGGAGGAGGGCAAAGATACGTAATCAGGTAAATGCACCAAACCGAGGAGAAGGCAGGAATCTAACCCAGCAACTCCAACTGAAGTTTGCCTCAGCTTTTATTTAACACGTTTGTTACAGGACACAAATCTGCTAGATGGTTCTGCAGCTGTCACAAAGGACACACACACACACACGGTACCTGGGTCCGAGACATTCTCCTCCTTCTTCTGCACCAAGCCAAGCACAGCAAAGCAGGGGGAAGACACAGAAATTAGAAGAGAAGGAAAAGCAAAAGTATGGGGAGTAAAGACTTAGAAGCAGTGGGAGGAACACACACACACACACACACACACACACACACACACACACACACACACACACATTCAATAGAGGAGTCGAGAGGAGGCAGCAAAGAGGACATCAAAAAATTTAAATCCTTTTCAGAAGCGAGAAAAGAAAAGATAAAAAGAGGGGGGATTGAAAGGAGAGAAAGCCGGCAGTAAGCATGAACGTGGAGATTAGGGGAGGGGGGGTGGACTGTCAGTGGGTGCATGTGCTGCAAGACGACCCCCCCCCCCCCCCCCCAAAAAAAGCAGGGGAAATTCTGCATCAGGATTTTCTGATTCCCTTTGGAGGGCTGAGCAGCAAAGAGGTGGCGGGTGTGTTACCTGTATGTAGGAGAGTATGTCTGAGGTGAAGAGTGTGTGGCAGAATTGGGAAACGGGTCTGGACTTCCGAACGCGCACTGAGCGAGCGCATTGTGTTCTGGGAACAAATAAAATCCATAATCCCTTTCAGACACACTTCCAACAATCATTATTTAAACGGTTGTTGTTTCAGTCTTGCAGATAGCTTCCTGAAAGACCTCAGTTTGGAGAAATAGAGTTTACATCCAACAGGACTGATGAGCTAACAGCTAGTCAAATCACAGCAAAAACCAAAGCTCCATGTTACTAAACGTTAAATAAACCTTGATGCCACCATTTAAAGGGATACTTTGCCACATCGAGAGGAGCCAGTTGAGGTGGCTCGGGCATCTAGTAAAGCTGAGCGGACACTGTGCGACTTTTTCACTCGTAGCGCTCAGCTTCAGCTCAAACTGTACGACTTCCTCGCAGGGCAGATCTCACGAGCCATGTGCTCACACTGTACGGCCCAGTTCTCGGATGCGACCTGACTGTTTACACTGTACGTCTGGTAACAACACGTCGGACCCAAAAATATGCTAAAAATAGCAGTTTTTACTTAACACGTCAGACTATTTTATCTTGCCTGTTGTCCCTCGGGAGTGCTGCAGCAGGACACAAAAGGATTTATGGGGGTTGGATGAGGAAAACGAAAGTGAATCTGTTTTGTGATCAGTTTAATTTGACATGAACATGACAAACACACTTTCTTGACAATCTTTGTGAGTAAAAAAACGTGTAGAAATAAAAACGAACAACGTGTGTTATTAGGGAAATAGCGGGCGAGCGGTGTTGATGCAGGATTGCGCATGCGACGTGAGCGGTTCTGGTACTTTTTGGGTTGCAGCCGCTCGCTGCGCCGCTTCAACCCTCGCGAGGAATGAGCAAAATATCAAACACTCCAGATGTCCGTGTGAGCTCACGATTGCTGATCGGTAGCTGGTCACGTGGTGTTAATCGACTCTCGTAACCCCCTGTATACTACACGACGCTCAGTGCAAAACTCGCCCCGATCTTGTGGATTCTCGCACGAGTGGAAAATCGGCTCAAGAAAGTGAAAAAGTCACACAGTGTACCCCCGGTTTTAGGATGCCTCCTGGACGCCTCCATGGTGAGGTTTTCCGGGCACGTCTAACTGTGGGGGATGCTCCAGGAGTATGGGGTGGGTGGCTTTCTGTTAAGGGCCATTCAGTCCCTTTACCAGAGGAGCGTGAGTTTGGTCCGCATAGCCGGTAGTAAGTCGGACCTGTTCCCAGTGAGGGTTGGACTCCGCCAGGGCTGCCCTTTGTCACCGGTTCTGTTCATTACCTTTATGGACAGAATTTCTAGACGCAGCCGTGGTGTGGAGTGTGTCGAGTTTGGTGGCAGGAGAATCTCGTCTCTGCTTTTTGCGGATGATGTGGTCCTCCTAGCTTCATCCAGCTCTGACCTTCAGCTCTTGTTGGGTAGGTTCGCGGCCGAGTGTGAAGTGGCTGGGATCAACACCTCCAAATCTGAGACCATGGTTCTCAACTGGAAAAGGGTGGCTTGCCAACTCCGGGTCGGGGGAGAGGGCCTACCTCAAGTGGAAGAGTTTAAGTATCTCGGGGTCTTGTTCACGAGTGAGGGTAGGAGGGATCGGGAGATCGACAGGCGGATTGGTTCGGCGTCTGCAGCGATGCGGACGCTGAGCCGATCTGTCATGGTGAAGAGGGAGCTGAGCCAGAAAGCCAGGCTCTCGATTTACCGGTCGATCTACGCCCCAATCCTCACCTATGGTCATGAGCTTTGGGTAATGACCGAAAGAACGAGATCGCGGATACAAGCGGCCGAAATGAGTTTCCTCTGTAGAGTGGCCGGGCTCAGCCTTAGAGATAGGGTGAGGAGCTCGGACATTCGGGAGGGACTCGGAGTAGAACCGCTGCTCCTCCGCATCAAAAGGAGCCAGTTGAGGTGGTTTGGGCATCTGGTCAGGATGCCTCCTGGACGCCTCCCTGGGGAGGTGTTTCGGGCATGTCCTGCCGGCAGGAGGCCCCTGGGTCGACCCAGGACACGTTGGAGAGGTTAAATCTCCAATCTGGTCGGGAACGCCTTGGGGTCCTGCCAGAGGAGCTGGTGGAGAAGGCCGGGGAGAGGACGGTCTGGAGCTCCCTAGTTGGGATGCTGCCCCCGCGACCCAGACCCGGATAAGTGGAGGAAGACGACGACGATGATATAACCATATTTGATATATATCACAATAAATAACATACAACTGTTTGTATTTTAACATCGTCCTTGTAGTTTTATAAGCTGATAATTAAACTGAAGAAAACATCTTTACTGTGAACTAAATTTACTGTGTATCTTCATTCCTTTTGCCGGCCTTTTTCTTTGATTTTTTCTACTGGGAAGTTAGAATTTCCGAGGAGAAAGCGAACGCACCGTTAGCTGATAACAATGGTGGCAATGGAAGCTAACATATCAAGCTAACGTTATCTTAAACAGTTTATTTGGCTGCTGGAGCAGATTAAAACAATGATGCCTCACACTTAGATCGTTGTCACTGGTTTCATCTTCACCCAATAAACCGTCGCATTTAGTAAAGTGAAGCCAAACTTTAGAGCGCGTTCATGTTCTTCTAGTCGGAAATTTGGAGTTCCGAGGAGAAAGCGAACGCACCATTAGTGAAATGGAAGCTAACATATCAAGCTAACGTTATCTTAAACATTTTATTTACCAACCGGAGCAGATTAAGATGAGGATGTCTCACTTAGATCGTTGTCGCTGGTTTCATCATCACCCACTTACCCATCACATTTAGTGAAGTGGACCCAAGCTTTAGCGTGCGTTCTTTCTACAATGCTGCTCTGTTTACAACTCGCTCTCAGTGACCAACATAACGCTCTTGCGCATGCACAGCTGTCTAGGTGAGTTCTCGTTATGAAGGACGGGTACCGAAACGAGGCACCGTTTCAAATGACGTGAATCGGTGCTCAGTCAGTACAATGGAATTCGGTCGGTACTTTAAAAAGTACAGAATTTGGTACCCATCGCTACTTGTAAGTAATAAGTGTGGATTTTTGTGTGTGTGTGGCTTGTTTAGTATCAGATGGCTCGTGCTAGTGTTAGCTCATTGTTAAGGCAGCAGGCTGCGGTGGAATTGTTTACGATAGTTGTAATTCTGCTTTCAACCAGTAGGAGGGAGAAGCGGGAAACTTATTTAGAATCACTTTAAAGAGAAAGTCACCCCCAAATCATCTTTTTTTCTGTGTCTAATCGTGCTGCAGACACGTGTCGTCAATAGTTTTGCACTTTAGTGCATTTTAGTTAAAATTTAAATTTTCTGCCTAAAACTGTCAGTGTTGTGCCGTTGTCAGGTAAAAACTCTGCACTGCATTTTAATTTGAATCTGCCATCGCTACTGGCTAAGAGGTACCCTAGAACGTTAGCTGGTACCATATGATGTCACAATGTCGTTGTGAGCCTGTGTGTGTTTGCATTTGTTAGCGGCTCCGCCCTCTTGGTCTGCTAGGCAACAGCATTTGTTGATTTTTTCAAACAGGAAGTGGGAGTTGAGTAAGAATCTGGTAGGGGGTGACTTGCTCTTTAACTTCACGCAACAGAACAGTATTTTCATTGCACCTAGAGGACTAACCCTGCTGGAAATGATTGAAATTTCTGTAAAAATAACTTCAATGAAAGATGGGCAGTGGTGGAAAAGTTTTTAAAATAATTTTGGCATTACATATTGAACAGATGAGATTTTCTAAGATGCTGAACTCAATTTCTCCAAAATAAGGATGTTCAAGAAGCCGCTTACAATGGGTCAGACAGTAACATTTTAAAACTTCTAAACATTTCCCCCTTTCAAAGATTTTCTTGGTTTTTACAAATAACAGAAAACAAATTGCTTTGCATTTGGAGCGTCTTTATGATCCTCTGTGCTCTCCACGTCTCTCTAAGCCTCTCAGACACACTGGTTTCATTTTTAACACGATGATTACCTGGAAGGGTCGCTGTCCACGGCCTCGGCTGGAAAAAACAAAACAAAAACGTTCAGCGGTAGCGCTATCTCAGCCATAAGAGATGTCTGTGAGTAGCAGTAAGAGTACCTTTCTGTATGGCCTCATGTAGAATATCATGTTTGGCTTGAAGCTTAGAGGACAGGGAGCTGCTGATGAGGAACTCCTTCACTTTCTAAAAATAAAATTGATTTTTTTTAGAAAAACACTTTCACACTTCCTTTAATTTAGTCCAAATTTGAGCCGACTCACAGTAAAGTAGTAGGTCTCCGTCTCCTGCTGATTGGCTCGACGCTTGGCAAGTGTGTGTTTTGGGGCGGAGCCTCCTCCAGGGGGCTCATGTGACAGGCTGCTGGTCACGTCGGGGGAGGGGTTACAGTCGCTATCGCAAATAGACTCCAACAGGACAGAGAGCGTGGCTTTAAGGGTTTTACTGATCTGAGAACGAGTCAGAAATAGAATATTTCAGTCTATTTTTTATTTAAATGCTAACACACAAGGACAAGAATGAACAACCTCTTCTGTTTCCAAGATCACTGAAGCGAGTCGAGACTGAAGCTGTTGGAACCGCGTCTCCAGTTCATAACGCACCTGGCTCTCCGCACTCACCTCGCACACCTGAAATACACATACAAGTTTCTTTTAATTTAAAAAAAATTTCTTTTTTTATCTGAGTTTTTGCTCTGATTTAACATTTGGAGCTTCATTAAAGTGAATCGTTTACTGACTTGGATGATTTCTCTGATCATGAGGAGCTCAACACGTTTGATTTTCCAACACGTGTGAACAACTAGAGAACTCTTGGTTAACATACATAAAACCCAAAAAGCAGATGATGTAAATGTCTCTGAGGCAGAGTTCTGAAAGAGCAGCTGTGAAATTCCTGAAATAAGAGCTGGAAGGAATTTGGTCTGACTAGCCGTTAGCTTATCAATCCTCTATCTAAGCTGGGGTTGCACAGAGAACCGCCTAAGCCATCATAGTAATGCTCAAAAAATCCAATCGTGAAATATCTTTAAATGCAAAAAGAGCCAAAAATGTTTTTCATACAAGAGTTTAAAAAAGCAAACATGGTGAAAATGTGGATAAGAACATTTATTTTGAGATATCTGCTCTAGATGATGATCAGAACACAAAAGTAGGATGTGAACCATGAAAAGCAAAGGAGACGGATGATTCCTGCTGCTTCACACTACCTGGTCTCCTTCATGTGGATGGTAGTTAAATTTAAAGGGAAGGCAGAAGGCAGCGTCGTGTTGCTGTAGCAATGCATCCCTGTCTCCACCCTGGTCCAGGGAAGTCACAGCCGCCTCCAGCTGCTTCAGCCCCATCTCCTCTGTCTTCTGAATGTGCCACCTGCTGGCCAGGTAACACTTCATCACTCTCTCCAGGGAAAGATGGAAACCAAGGTCGCAGCACTACAGGGCGAAGGAGGAGGGGGACAGATGTAGACGTTTAACACAAGTTCCAAAGCAAAATATTCCTTTCATGAGAAAAGCGGAGTGTTTCTCACATCGATCAGAGTGCTGACATCCTGCAGGTAATATTTGTTCATGGCTGCGTTTGCTCCCGCTAGATTCAGCAGGTAGTCGTTACGAGCCTTGGTGCACTTCAGCTGGGTCTCCTGCACCCTCCCTTGCCTCTGTGTGTTTACACACACACACACACACACACACACACACACACACACACACACACACACACACACACACACACACACACACACACACACACACACACACACACACACACACACACACACACACACACACACAACTCGTGTCATCAAATAGATGCAAATCTGCACGATTTTCCACTCACAGACGTTTAGACGCTGGGGCACATTTGAGTAAAAAGGAAGAGGATGTGGTTTAAAATGAAGAAACCGTACATCAAATATTCTTGTGACTAGTTGTGCTTTTCTCACTCTCTCTTTTTCACACACACACACACACACACACACACACACACACACACACAAGCACACGCACGCACGCACACACACACACACACCTTCTCCATTAATCTCTCCATCTTCTTGACGGAGCTCCGTCTCTGCCCTCCCAGCTGGCCCGGCCCGAGGTCGGCCGACTTGCCGGTGTGCCTCTCCTCCAGACGCTCGGCCTCTTTCAGCTTCCCCTCAGCGATCAGGCAGTCCGTGTGGTACTGGTTATACGTCTTCAGAGCCTTCATCACCAAACAGAGCAGCACCAAGCTCCACATCAGTACAACCAACCTCATCTGGCTATTTCTAACGTTTTCACGGCGCCGGCTGGAGGAGCTCACCGTCTGCAGCTCAGTGGTGACCTTCAGCAGCTCATCCTGCATCTGGATTCCTACGTCTTTGCTCTGAAATTCATAAGAAAGGACAGTGAACTTAAAACACACATTTCCACCTGAATGTGGGTAATTTAAAAGCAGGGTGACCACAGGTGTTCCTATTTATGAGAGACTTATGTGTCTCTCACTTACCACAAGGCCCTTTTATTTTTAAAGTCTACAGTGCAGGACAGATGCTTTTCGGAGAGAGTTGGCTGAGAGGAAAGCAGTGATGACTCATCAGAGGAACTGTGTTCAATGTCAAACAGAGCAGACACGAGCCAGAAACAAACCATCGCTGGTTCTGCAGCCTACATCCAAATCTGTAAGTTCTGACTGAAAATGATGGAGACTAGAGCACGGAGAGGAACTGCAAAGCAGGAACAGCTCAATTTAGTTCTGGTGTAAATCCACTCAGATGAACAGTTATCAAAACGACTAACGGTGTTACACAAGGCTTTGTTTCAGGAACTCCCTTCTTCATCATTTACAGTAATCGATATCTTGATGCTGATGACACGGCTGTTTATCGTCATGGTAACGCTCACCGTCCTTGATCAGCTTTACCTCGGTACCTACTAAACTCCAACATTTCCTTCATTTTCTTCTTCACTGAAAAAACATTGTTAATGATTATTTCTGATTATAACGGGTCACTCTGAGCGTTTCATGCTGGCTGAAGTATGAAAAATAGTCTCCTGCACCTAGCTCCTGCATTAGCTTCTGATAGAAAACAGACGGTGAAACTCTAGGATAAGAAAATCCTGACAGATCTACGTCACACTGTCACTAACATTCATGGACTCATCTTGACGCACGACGTTGAAGGCTGTTGTTGGTTTAGCGTCCAGGAATCAACAGAGATCATCTCTGCAAGCAGCCGTTAACCATTAGCATTAGCAACTCCGTCTGGAAACGCCTTGGGATTCCCCTGGAGGAGCTGGCCCAATAAGGTGGTTTCAGATTTTAATGTGAATAAAGAAGGAAAAGTACTGATTTGTTACAGTTTTCTATACTTCACTTGCTGGTTAGTGGGAAGAACGCCCATCCCAAACATCGTTATTACTCAAAACAACATTTCATTCACATAGCAGAGTCTATAACTCAAATATTAAATCGAATCCGTAAATATAGAACCAGATGTGGGTCTGACACCTACATACAGCATGTCAGTAAAGAAACAACAACAGCAGGAGGATATTGTCCTGCTATTTTCTAAAACTAGTAAGCTTTACTAGGAAGGAGGTGAAGCAAGTCGCTGTCTTTTTGCTAAGATTGTTTTACGTTTATGAAGCATTTCATTGATTGGTAGCACACTGAAAAAAGAGAACAGATTAATCAACCTAACTGAATTGCTTCAATTGGTAACAAGCAATTTAATTAAGTTTATCCAACCTAAATTATTAAAATTGTACTAATAATTTAAGTTGGTAAACTTAATTAAACTGCTTGTTACCAATTGAAGCAATTTTTTTAGTTGGATCAACTTTTTCTTTTTACAGTGCAATAACATAAAATACATCCTAAAAATGAGCTCTAAATGCCTAAAAGCTGCTTTAAAATGGCCTTTAAACCAATTATAGGATTCAGCTCAGATGAGTTTTTAGCGAGAGGTCCAGAGAGCTTTAAGACAAATAAAATATCATTTTATAGACAAAATAAAATCTGGGGAAAAGGAAAACGTACGTTCGTCACAACGTGATTTAGTTGGATTTTATTTTGAAGGAGTGGCAGTGCTATGCCTTTGTAAGTTTTATTGTGCCAATTTGTTTATTTTGTGTTACATAATGATATCGATCCATCAGAAAAGGAATGCATTAAGTACTCGGTTTGTTTTTCCATGAGAGGAAGATTTCAGTATGCTAGAGTCCAGTGGGGTGGATTCAAACCTGACTTTTGCATTAAAATGAGAAAAATCTGTCCAATTTTGAGCTTCAAGCCTTGCTTTAAAGGTTTAAAGTATGAAGTTCAATGCAAAATCCAAAATAAAACAAAAAAGCAGTTTTGTTTGATTGGATCATTTTGAAGAGAACAAGTGAAGGTTCCACCTTTTTGTGCAGCCGGTGTGTGTCCTCCGTACAGTGGATCAGGCTCTGGGTGAGCGTGTTGCAGCAGGTGTCCCCCAGCGCTGCGTGTTCCCGGCTCTCCAGACGGGTCTGAGTCAGCAGAACGGACCAGACCTGACACACAGACTGTCCCCACTGCTCCTTCCTGCAGATTAAAGGAAAGACAATGAGCAGCAGAACCAGCAAAGGAAACACAGAGAGCCATGTTTACTCAGAAAACCTTACTTTTTGGTCTTGTGAGTGAACCTTTCAGTCAGTTTCTCGAGAGCCCGCGCGTACTCAGTCTCAATGTCGCCCCGGCGACGCAGAAACTCGGACAGATCTGAAAGCTGCTGCTGTTTCACCTCCACCTGAGAGTCCAGGATCTTTATCTGGTCTGTCAGCTGGACCCGCAGGTCTGATGTGTCGGGGGGGATGGAGACATCGAGACAGACAGTTATATAAAGGCATATTCATGAGCAGAGAGAACAAACACGCACAGGATCAGTTTTTTAAAGACCAAGTTCACTTGTTCTGCATGGGTCTCTGATATAAATGCATGCCATGTGAGTCTATCTCTGTGGGGGGAGCTCTGGCGTTCCTGTTTCAGAAACTAGAAGTGAACCAGTTCGTAGCTAAGCTAAACATGGCAGGATTTGGGGTTCCTGAAATTTGGACATCTGGGGTGTTTCTCAATGTCAAGGAACCTTGCCTTGATGTCTTGGCCCCGCCCCAGTTGCCTAGGAGATACGTCATCGGGAGCCGCCAAGGCGTGTTCCAATGTTCGTGTTCTACCGAGGCGTGTGTTCTCCGTTTGTTAGCCGTTTAGCTAGCTGAGCAAAGATACACGGGAGGTGTCTTGTAGCCTAGCCTTGGTCAAAAATTACCCACAATACACCGCGGTATTTTCAAAAGGACGGTGGACCAGAAGCCAGCAGCTACTTCGGGGACAATTTTCAAGTTTAAAACTAAGTCAGCGAATTTAAAATGTTTTTTTTTTGGATCCAAAGAAGTTATCTATGGTTGCTCAGTAGTTGCAGCTTCGGTGGCTAGCGGATAACAACTCACTTATGTTTTTAATTTACACAATTTACACGTATACACAATTTAAAAAGTAAAAGCTCGTTATATATTTATATTGAAACTAATACGTATAAAATATAACGTTATCTCCCGTGTCGCGTGACGTTACCGCTGTGGAAGTCACGGTGACGTGATACAAGTCTGTTCCATTTAACCGTTTTCTTTGACCAAGGACGGACAGTGTCCTCGTAAAAACTGCAGTTCCCCCCTTATCCACTAGGGGCTGGCTCCAGAAAGGAGCAAGTTCCCATTGACTCCCATGTTAAAAGTACCAACTTCACAACAGAAATTAACATGTTTACAGCCTGGTGAAAAAAACAAACATTTTAGGTTTCATTTCTCTAGATTTCTGTTATGACAGCTCTGAGGAGGAAAAATCTTTTGGTAACTCATCCGTTTAGGTGTATTTAAAGTAAGACTAGGCTGTTTTGGCTTGCTTTTAGCACCCCCTAGTGTCCGTTAGAAGAACCAAAAGCAAAATCTAGCAGTGCGTTGGTCTTTTTAACACCTTAATCTAACTGTTGAAATGTCTCCCCAGCCTTCCTTAGTGTCTACAGGAGTGATTCATCACTAAATGAAACAAATCAGCTGGAATCAGGCTGGAAGCAGAATACATGTGATATCTCAGTTTGTCTTTTTTAATAAACCTGCATACATTTCTGACATGTCAATTTGGGATGCTGTGTGTACATCAATGAGGAAAACATGAATTTAATTGATTTTAGAGAATGGTTTCACAAAGAGACGGGTCTGAATACTTTCCGTACCCACTGCAAATCTGTGCTTGTGCCGCTCTGTGCAAATCTCCTAGAGCTACATCTGATCTTTGTACGTTTTCATTGAGAATTTGGCTGCATTGTTGCATTTGTTGTTGATTCTTATCAAACAGGCCAAAAACAAAAAGCCCTAAACTTAATGAAGGAGTCATTTCAACATAATTTGTTGCCAATTTTTTGTCAAATTTATAAAAAAATAGCCAAACATTACCCGTAAAACTGGAAATCTACCAGATAATAAACCGAAATTTGATGCATCTCTCGGATCTTTACTAGAATTATCATTTTTTTCTTAAACACACAACTTCCATGTAGCTACTGGTCCTACTGGCCTGCACAGAAGTGTCACGCTTAACATGAGTTTCACTGTCATGTCATAAATAAACTGATTTATGATTTTAGGTGCCAGATTTTAGCCTAACTCACACCTTTATCCACCACTTTTGTTACTAATATTAAAACATTTTCATCAGCCGACTGGATCTGATGAAACCCTCTAGCTGAAACGTTTGCCTCCGCCTTGCAGCGTACTCTGACAGAAATGTACGGATCATCCCACACACCTCACTTGTTGTAATCCCACGTAACATGATATTATGATCACACGCTTGTGAGCAAGCACAGAAAAATCCAACAGCACTTTGAGAAGAGAAAGCTGTAAAATAACACTCCCTCCATGTCCTCTCTCTAGTTTTCTGCTCTTTATCTCTTTATTCATGCTTCATCCTAAGCAACGCCTGTCCCCCCCCCACCCCCCCACCCCCCTTGTCTCTGTGTGAGTACACAGCCCTGGGCTGACTGGATGTGAGGAGACAACATCACTAATACTAGCTATAAATATGCCCTTGTAGTACTGTACGGAGAGCCAGGCAGCCATGAAAGGCACTCTGGGCACACACACACACACACACACACACACACACACACACACACACACACACGCATGTTGTTGTCATGTGAAGTCTGCACATCGACTGCACACTTTTTTATCTTCTGTTCAGGCATGAGAGTGTTTTGGATCTGCTGCCAATCAGGAATTCTTTGGTTGCTCCAGCAGCTTCCTGCAGCCTTCTCAGAGTACATGAATAACAGTATATGGTTGGGTGACTCTGCAGAGGAATTGCATGCATTCTCGCATCGCCGGGCACATGCTGTCTTGCAAGCATTCATGCGTGCAGGAGAGCAAAAGCAGAGCAGCAACACCTGACACACAGACTCTTACCTTTCATCTGGGATTCATACTCGGCCAGACTTCCCTTCTCCTTCCTCAGCTTCCCGTGTGAGGTCATCATCTTGGTTTCTTTCGTCCCAAAATCAGATATCTCGCAATACCCAGCTCCTGCTCCGGCTCAATAGTCTGCAACCTTTCACCCCTGACCCCTTCTTGCTCTAAAGCTGCGTGTGGCGCTTCGGCATCAGAGTCGATCGACAGCTCTCTGTGGGGATGTCAAACGGGTCGATTTGTCCATGGAAACCAGCAGGGTTCTGACCCACAGGTGAACTGACCTCAGCAGCATACACAGGAGAAACAGAGAGAGAGGGATTAGTTAGAGAGGAAGCTGATATGATGACTTGAACGGGACGAGGAATTATTCGGAGCAGAATGAACCAGAAAGAAGAGGGCAAATGAGACCAGGGTGACGAGAAAGAAAGAGACACCAGAGACATAATGAGACGGAGGCAGGGTGATGCGAGAGCAGAGTGATGAAGATGTGAGTGTAGAAGGATGGAGGATAGGGGGATGGGAGGATGACTGTCAGGATTAGCCATAAAGGAAACTGAACAGGTTGGAAAGTTGGTAAAGGTTGAATCTTCAGAGCTGGATTGTTATGTTTTCCAACGCCAACGACACCACGAAGGTGGTCTGATGAAGATGTATCAGCAGGGAGGAGCTCCTCAACAGGGCAGAAGTATAAGATTATATGTTTTCTCACATTAAATTACTATTTCATTTCAATATTTAAACTCTTAAAGGTGTTGCACACTCATTTAATTAATACATCTGCAGTAGTGTCTAGTAGGATTGAATGCCTTGTAAGTCGTACTCTGGGGAAGACAAGCACCAGCGCACCATTTTCAGGAACTAGTAGCGAGTCACATGACAGCTGAGCTTCAGACGACAGGTTTTGGAGTCTTATTTCCTGATATGTGGACATCTCTCCTCTGACTGGCCAACACAGCAACACGACTCTACCACTGGCTGTTTGCTCTGCAACGTTGATGTTTTATCTCCACAAATAACACAAGCCTGGAGGAGTTCTGCTGTGTGGTGGAGTTTCCAATGCTAACAGTTAGCTTCAGCTAGTTGAGACGTTCTCTGATGTTTCCTGGACGCTAAACCAACAACAGCCTTCCCCGTCGTGAGCCAAGATGGGTGAGTCCGTCAACGTAAAGTGACAGAATCTAATGCAGGAGATCGGTGTAGACTATTCTCTTGACCATGGAGATGCTGCATAACCATAGCAACCAGGCTAACACCACATTGTTGGTGGTGCAATTCCAGGGTTTATTAAAGCGTCAGCCTTAAAATAATGCTAAATAACAACATAACCCCATTTTCTGTGGACTGATGGGTATTTATCATCAAAATAACGTTCATTGTGCCACGGTTAATTGAATTTTTTCTGATTGGTATTTAGATTTTGAAAATGACAGAATAAAAAGGACGGGGCAATTAACCACATAATCACCTGAAACTGTGAGTGCAAGGTCTCTAAGTGTGATTCAGACCCAGGATTTCCACTGGAGGGCGAGGTTGGTTTTATGAGCTGAATTCAAGGAATGTGGATGAGAGTTTTGATCGTTTCAAGTGAAAGACTTGAAACTGAAACGTTTAAATGCATGAATGTCTTTGGAGGCCATTAAAGTATTTCTCATCATACAGATTTTTTTTAATTATTCTATCATTTTATTGTTTTCCCTAGATTTACAAGCCTTCTCCTAAAAATGATGGAATGGATTTAAGTGATCAAATACAATCACCCATCATAAAGAGGTTAAGAGTTTCACAACATCAGGCCAACTCCTGCTCTCATTACTTAAAGGTGATGTATGATTTTTTTAAAGTCATAAATGTCCAATGGTCAACACAAAATCCCTCACATGAAAGAACACGATGACTGAGAAACCAGCTTATCATTGAAAAAGATCGATCACTGAGTTTTGCAGCCGATCATGAGAATAGTCTCCTACACCTATCCAGAACACAGCCGAGAACGTCTCGACTAGAAGAAGCTAACTGTTAGCATTAGCAGCTCCACCACACGGCAGGACTCCTCCAGAGTTACTTGTGGAGATAAAGCATTTATTCCCAATAGAGACCATTGCAAACGCATGAAAATATGAGTAAACTTGAGCAAATTCTGCCATTTCATTCTTGACATTTCCAGTATCTTCCAGAATGAGCAGGGCTCTGTCACTTTAAGAAAAACAAGCTGGAGCCGGCCACTCATTGCTCACTCAGGCTGCTATAAGCTGAGAAGCTCTGATATCCAGGAAGTGCTCCAAAAATTTCCTCTTAAACATGAGAGTTGAATCCATGCAAATGTTCCCGTTTGTGACATCACAACTGCTTGTTTTAGGCAACTAATTCCTGAAAGCAAACACTGACAGAAAATGAATGAACGTGTTTTTCTTCTCGTGTGGAATGTTTACAGAAGCGGCGGAGACCCACATGGCAGCACAGAAGGATGCAAAGGGTGAGTTTCCATTAGAGAAAAACCTACATAAATACAGGCACTAATGTTTTTGCCTCTGTCTGTCTGTGTACATGTATAGAACATTTCATGAACAACTGGACAAAATTCAATGAAACTCTTAGATGAGCCTCTACAGCTGATTCAACCCATTTCAACATGGCCACCACAGCTAATCAACCTTCTCAAGCACAAGAATGACTCGGCAAATTAAACAGATAAGGAGCTGAAACTGGGTGCGCAGCAGCCGAGTCACCCCCAACACATACTCGAGGTGCTAAAAGGTCGCACAAGATCGTGCTGCAAAACGCGAGATGCAGCGTAAAGTTATATTCAAGATCTGACCCAAAATACATAAAGTTTGTCGAAATCCTAGGTCTTTAATTAAAAACTTCCAATCTTAAAAGGTGGTTTCTCTGATCTGGTCATATTTTCCACTCTGGGAAGTAAACACACACACACACATAGGCAGAAATGCTTCTCGTCCCACATTCTGTGTCAGTTTCTCAACAGGTACCAGAACGTACTGCCTTTGATGGAAACACTGATCTCTAACTAGCTTAAAGCACGCGTTTGGTTTCAGCAGTCTGCTATTAGCCACCAGGCTGCAAGAAGGATGGTTTGGCAGACAAAAAAAGCACAAAAGTGGCCTAAAATGTGGGCTATATCAGACACAGTTGTTGTAGCTGAGGTTTGCCGTTCACTCTTTAAATACTCCGACAGAACCGTACTCTCATTTCCTCCAGCACCCTGGATGTGACTCGGTGACAGTTTCAGACGGAAGCAGCGAGTAAATGCAGAAGCAGCGCAAAGAAGCTCAAAAAGATCCTCACAAATGAGGCCGCGAGGCTCTGAGACCTCCAAAGTCTCTCAAGGGCTTCATCAGCGTGCGACCCTAATCTGAGTAGAACAAAGAGGATGTAATTGAAGTGAGAAAAATAGATGTGTGTGTGTGTGTGTGTGTGTGTGTGTGTGGGGGGGGGGGGGGTAAAAGAGAAAAAGGTGCTGTTCTGAGAAGCTAAAAGGGCAATGAGGACGGAGAAATGATGCTTGTTGGAGGAAGGGAGCTTTATTCTTAAAGTCGTGGTTAATAAAAGGAGGTCATGTGATGCATACAGTGAATGTAAATGAAGCTGGCAACAACAGTGGATATTGAGCATAAATTACAGTATCCGATCCTTAATGTCCATGGGCGTGTCCAGGGGGTGGCCTGGGGTAGCACATGCCACCCTTTGGAATCTGATTGGCCGCCCCACTGAATTCCCATTAAATAGACTTGTCTACAAAATGCTTGGGGTAGAAAAAAAATCATAACCATTGGTGCCACCCATGCATAAAGAAGTCCAGCCCCATTTTAAAAGATCTGGGCACGCCAATGTTAATGTCACGGGAATTTCTAGCAATGTCCCAGGACATTAAGCAGAAGCAGCACAAGTAAGACATTGTGTTAGATGTTATGTCCTGATAGTCTGAGGGGATTTCCTGATGCAGCCGACAGCCACAACACGCTGCTTTGTGGACCGTTTTCAGGAACATAACACATTTCTGAGCTGCGTCGTCTACAAACTTCACTCATTTTGTTTTGTCAGTCCTTGATCGGTCTGCCCTCGATCAGCTACGCAGAATGCCAGAAACGAAAGGAAGCACGTGCCAGATGATCTTGCTTCCTGAATATTCATGCTTTGGAGAAAAGTACGGATTCCGCCGGACAGTAGTGCTGCGAGCAGGTGTGATCTTTGCCAAAGCAGCAGTTGCAAAAGAGTACTAAAGGCTGAAGAGAAGGAATGAAAGAGGATGTTCGGATTTTATGCTAATGTGTGCCGTCAGCCATGTGCTTTCGTCAAGTTGGGTAGAATCAGGTGTGATGATGCATCAGCCTGAAGGCCGGTCTGGAGTGGTTCTTGCAAATACACTCGGGGCTTGGATAAGAAAGCTTGTTGCAACTAATTGCAGCAGTAGACCTCACTATGAACCACGATGAGTAAAAGTAGGGTCTTCATGGTTTGTTTTTAACTCTTGTTTGTTTTAAGGTGTCCTCTACCATAGTTAGCTCCATGAGATGTCTAAGCTGCAGCTGTTACACACCTGCTTAGACTCTATCAAAACCTGGATGGCTGGGAGCTTTCGACAGCTGAATGAAGATAAGACTGAGGTCCTCATCTGTGCCCCAGACAAGCTGGTTCCCAAAGTCAGAGACTCTCTTGGTCAGCTTGCTTCTCACACCAAACCCTCCGTCAGGAATCTTGGTGTGACCTTTGACCCAGCTCTCACCCTGGATTCTCATGTCAGTTCTCTTGTTCGCTCTTCCTTCTTCCGTCTCAGGAACATTGCTAAGCTGAGTCCCATTCTATCCCGCTCTGAACTTGAGACAGTGATCCACACCTTCATCTCCTCACGCTTAGACTACTGTAACTCTCTTTTCACGTGTCTGAGCAGAACCTCCCTGAACCGTCTACAGGTGGTTCAGAACGCCTGTGCTCGGCTTCTGACCAAGTCCTCCAAACACACCCACATCACCCCGCTTCTCCTCCAGCTTCACTGGCTGCCAGTCAACTTCAGGGTTCATTTCAAGATCCTGGTTCTGGTCTATAGGGCCTTACATGGACAAGCACCATCTTACATTGGTGATCTTCTTAGTCCCTACACCTCCAGCAGGTCCCTGAGGTCCAGTGATCAAAGCCTACTGGTTGTGCAGCACCAGGCTAAAGACCAAAGGTGACAGATCATCTGCTGCTGTGGCCCCCAGACTCTGGACCTCTCTCCCCCTGAGCCTGAGATCAGTGGACTCAGTGGTCTCCTTTAAAAAGCAGCTGAAGACTCACTTGTTCAAGCTGGCTTTTGTATGACCTTCTTTACCACTCTCTCTTTATTCTGCTCTCCCCACCTATTCCACCTTCCTCAGGATCCACTGATTTCCCTCTTTCCTGTTCACTCTCTCTCTTTCTTAACATTTTTAATCACAATTGTCTATGTTTTGCTCTTTTTAAATATATTTTAATCATTTTCTAAATTCTTTTTTATATTTTACATTTTTTATTTTTGTGAAGCGCCTCGTGATTTTTATCTTGAGAGGCGCTACAGAAATACTTTCTTCTTCTGCTTCTTCTTCTTTAAGTATACAGACTATTCAGTTCAGTGACTAGTGTAGCCTGGCAAGCCAGACTAAATAAATGTATTATTTAGTCTGGCAATGCTCCATTGACGGCTCTCGGTTGTGGGGCGGGTTCTACCGTTGTCTTTCAAATATCTCCACATGCCACTGGACAATGAATGTGACATACTCTTGTTTCACTCTGTTGCATCATCCCACCCACCAGGCATATGGAGTGCCCTGATTGGCCCACAAAGCGGATAAAGCTCTGTGATTTGTTCACTAAGCAGATAGAGCACTATGATTGGCCCACCATTATGGACCAATCACAGCTCTTTATGTGTTTGAAACCCCTCTAGAGAGCTGTGATTGGACAGCCAGAATGCTGTTGGGGCTGCAGAGGTTCCAGTGGAGCATTCCTAGACCAAATTTTGCAAAGCAAGAATTTGGTCTAGTTCACTAGGCTATGACTAGTGGCCATTTTTCCTAATCTGGCAGTATTCTGTTAGCTTTAGCTTAATAAATGGTAACAGCTGGTATTTTGTGTGAAAAGGTCATCAAAATGGTTCAAAAATTATACTAATTTTTCTTGATTACCTCAATAATCAACGCCAAGGTATGGGAGGGAATAAATCTGAACCATTGTTCTGACAGAGCGCCATACATATCAGAGCAGCATACATGCAGTACATGCGTTCATCTAAACCGCTGCTACGTTCTGAGAAGCCTTCAGTTCAGCATACAGACAGCAAAGTACAAGGAAAGCGGGTGTCGATTGTGTTCATAATCTTTTATCATCCACAAAAATGAACTGATGAATGTGTATCGCAAATTTTTATTTTACCACCTTCTGATCCTATAAAACTTTGAGAAAAATTTCACTTTAAAATATATAAAACCACCCATCAGGGTGTCATACGGTTGCTAAAACAAAGTGTATGATGATCCAATCCAATCCAATTTTATTTATAAAGCGCATTCACAAGGCATTACAACCAAACAAGGCGCTGTACACTAAAAATGTTAGTTAATTAAACAGGCGGTATACAAACATGTCGAACACAGATAAAAGATTAAAAGGAAATACAACAAAATTCCCAAAAACTAACAGCTAAAAATCAATAAGACACAGGGAGAATAAAAATTAGAAAAACATTTAAAAAAAGAACCTCAATAGTACGGAAGTTGATATTGTAAAGTCCATTTTTAAACAATGCAGATGTAAGTGATGGTCATAATTATGTTGTATAAGCTAGGTTGAAGAAGTGAGTTTTCAAGCGTGATTTAAAAATGCTAGCTGTTGGTGCTTGCCTCATGATCTGACAGCACATGCCTGTCTGACCGACTTGTGTTGTCAGATAGGCATTTGCTGTCATGCATATATTCTAACCTGACGGTGCATGGCGATTGGACAAAACATTGTCCAGTTTCACAGCTGCTCATTTTGCGGTTGACGCAGGACCTGGTCTAGGTGGATCTGGGTGGGCCGGTGTTCGGACTATCCGTGCTTCCTCTTTGAATATTCCTACCGCAGCGTGTTACGACAGTTTTGCTCTTGTTAACAGTATAGTAACACGCTTATTAAGCAAGGTTTATTTTAAATAGGTGATGTTACTCAAAAATACAGAACTGTAGTATAATTGCTATCAAAAATATACAGTTTGTTGTGATTTATTTATGAAAAAGGACGTGTTTGTCGCGATGCCGTGAATGACGGTAAACAATGGGAGAAATGGATTGTTTACAGTGTAATAACGATATTTACAAGCTAACTCGGTATACATCCCAGAGGTCGCTCGTCTCTTCAGATAAACAGCCTGCGATGTAGTGTTCGGTCTGCGCATTTCCCCAAAGTAGCACAGGAGGTAGAGCGGGTTGTTCAGTAATCGGAAGGTTGTAGGTTCGATCCCGGCTCAGACCAGAGAATTCTGCTATTGTGTCCTTGGGCAAGACACTTGCCTCGCCTGCTGGTGGTGGTGGTTGGAGGGACCGGTGGTGCCAGTGCTCGGCAGCCTCGCCTCTGTCAGTGCGCCCCAGGGCAGCTGTAGCCACATCGTAGCTCATCACCACGAGCGTGTGAAAGTGTATGTGAATGGATGAATGACTGATTGGGTTGTGAAGCGCCTTGGGGGGTTGTAGAACCCTAAGAAGGCACTATACAAATACAGGAAAAAATAAAATTAAATAAAAATATTGGCGAGTAGCACGGATAGTTGGAACACCGGGTCCTTCCAAGGATGCAGGCCCTGCATTTGGACACCACCGCCACAGATACTTTTAGTCAGTCCAGTTCAAGATGAACACCGAAGATAAGCAAACATAAAAAAGTGGCTATACCTCCAATAATTTCACGTATTTGGAATTGAAATGCAGCGTGGTAGAATCTGAGACTCGTCCCTGTCGTAAACGTTAAACGCTGAATGGTCACACCAGGTTTTAGTTCCAAGTTTAACATCATAACACAACAAGTCAACATGGCCGCCACAGCTACCTGAACTTAGCAAACGCAAAAATGTTTGTGAGTCATTCAGATGTTGAGCTACAGTGTGATGCAGTAGAAACTGAGAGTCATCCACCACACACGCTTTGTGTACCAACGGATTGCACAAAATCTTGGATTACACAATTTGACCATAGCGGTCGATATGCATTCCTAAATGCTAGACCTTCAATTGTAACCGATAGTCACTGCAATAATCAATAATTAACTCCCAGTTACGTTTCCCTTTAACGGACCGTGCACGAAGGGGGAAGACTGTTGGCTCCTCTTCCACGAGTTACATAACCACACATAAAGATAAAATCTTCTCACCAGCGAGCCCCACAAAGCCTTTCCTTCCTCACAGACAAGCTGCACTGCAAATCACCAATTAGAACAACTGGAAGCTGTCGGTTTATTTATTGGCAGGTCGATTATGAATCCCTCTGAGCCGCGACAAGTCGAGCCGCCGGGTACACAGAGTTCATCACAAACTGCTGAAGCTGCTGCTCCTGCAAACAGGAAACCGTATCACGAACGCCACCGCAGGTTTTTACTCTCATACCATCTGTGGAGAATTTACTCGTACCTGCAAGCTTGATCCTCTCACCACCGCCAAAACACACACACACACACACACACACACACCACAGGGACGACTACTTGCATAGTGCAACATGGCAAACACAACTCAGTCAACAGGGACTTTTAAATGACACACGTTATAAAATGATGCATATATGCAAAAGAGTGCAGATCACACACGGAGCATGCAGGATTTTAAGATCGTGGCTTTCTGTCTGTTTGAAAAATGCACTCGCAGCAGTTTTACTTCTGACTGAGCGACAGAATTGAAGCCAAAGGGCTCAGAAAGCTCCCCACTGTTGTCGTGCCAGGCTTGTTTCTTGTTGCTGGGGGATTATTTGGAGGTGATGTTTACGAAACGCATACCTGTTGGTATTTAAGAGGAAAAGAAACACAGTGGAGTAGTGTGAGGGAGGCAGGGTGGCCACGTTTGCCCTCCAAACCCGACTCAGACCTCAACTTCTGCTCCCATACTGGAACTTTCCCAGACAAAACCAGATCAGAGATCAGCTCTTCTCATTTCTAATTCTCATTTCTCCTGCAATAGAGAGCAGATCAGACTCAGACTGAGGACACAGACCCTGTAGTGTGGAGATACTGATGCTATAATTGTTCTCTTTTTCTCTTCCTTTTCATCCCACTTCATTACCAGTATTAGCTGACAAATTCTTTGTCGGATCTACATCTACATCTAGACACATGAGAATTAATCTCAAGATTAAAACAAACGTGACCGAGGACTTTCACTGGCGGTAGAAGATGTCGCGTACACGATGGCAGACTGAAATCTGGAGCTAAAATGAGACATCTTGAGTTCCTGTTGTGTCACAGAAGTCACCGCATCAGCTCGCCAGGCAAACCGCTACATGAGGGAAGTGGGGCAGTTTAGAACAAGTTGCACAGCAGGAGCTTCATGCACTTCATGCATGTGCAGCAAAACATGCATGAAGTGCACAAATGTTGCACATCCCTAGAAAAATAAGAGTGAGACAGCAATCTGGCAGCTTTCACCCTTTGTGTTGGTTTGCTGTCGCCCAGCGGCTTCTTTGTGATTCAGCGTGCAAATTTTATTTAGACCTTGATTTAATTAACCTTAAAATGATTTTTGGAAGAAAAGAAAAACATTAAAAGATGCACTTTAGTAGCCCAAGCTGCTTGTGTTGCACGGGAAGGCTGCTGCACTCGTGCATGGCAGCAGCTTGTTTATGCATCCAGTAAAAGCATCTCTGGTGATGCTGGGAGGAACAACTAGAGCAGAGAGTGGGGTTGTATTTGCTTTGGATGGAAATAGGAGCATATGGTCAGGGCTTCAGACAATGGCCTCAAACACCCCAGGATAAACACACACACACACACACACACACACACACACAGAGAGAATATCAACCCTGAAAATGCTGCACACACATTACATAATTGATACTGTTAACAGTCTGTGGGAACATTTGTCACCAGAGTGAATAAAGTGTCCATTTGAAGCTCTCCACTAGGAGTAAACGCACGTGCGCAGACACACACATGCACACATACACACACACATGCACACATACACAGGTTGTTATTGGAAGAGCAGCATGACAGCTGTACATACCTCACTTTGCGGTCCTCCTGTCTCCTATCTGTTCCTCAGTTCCTCTCTTCTCATCCTCCGTTCTTTGTATCTCTCTCTCTCTCTCTCTCTCTCTCTCTCTCTCTCTCTCTCTCTCACACACACACACACACACACATACGAAGCAGTGTGTTTGAATCTGACAGATTTCTCTCAGCTCAGTACTCTTATTTCTCAGATACACACACACACACACATACAAACAGCCCTCCCCCTCTTTCAAAGTATGCCAAACGGTCTCTCCACTCAAGCCAGAGCTGTTTCTCCTCCCCATCCCTCCCCTCGCCTCCCTCCCTGCCATACGAAGCAGTGAGAAAGCCCCAGCACAGGCCACGCCTCCTCGCTCTCTCCTCTCCTCTGGGCGGCTATAAATACCGCTGCTGCTATGAATACACCATCCTTCTCCCTCAGCATCCCTCGCTCCCACTCACTTCCCCCTCCATCCATCCATCGCTGGTGCTGCCCTTCCTCCATCCCAGCTTCTCTGCTCTGAACCTGCTTCTGATGACCTTGTGTTATCTCGCGACACAATCACACGACAGCATCTTTTCTTCTCACCCGACCACCTGCAAGATGCAAATGTTATCTTCAAGGAGGCAGTGAGGAAACGACTGACATTATCACAGGAACGCGACCGCAGACAGCGGCGCGTGGTACTGCCCGTCTGCCGGGCTTCCTGTCTGTTGCACAGGATGTGCTCCTTTTATATTTTAAACACACGTGTCAGCAGCAGCAGATTAACCTGTATCTCACTCTCACATTAATTCTAGCAGCATCATTAATTCTGCTCACAGACGAGCCGGTCTGCTTACGATTAATGGATCCACCTGTCCTTGTGCAACGCAATAGTCTCTATAAAATCTGAAGCTGAGGTGAGCGAGCGAGCATCTTTTCTGGATTTATTGCACTGCATGCATTGTAGTAAACCTGTCGTGCTATTGGTCGGTGTTATTCAACCTGCACGTGCAGAGATACGGATAAATGGGGTTGGCTCATGTGCAAAAAGGAAAAAAAAAACACCAAAAAGCGGTGGACAGAATGCTCCTTCAGTACAATAGGCATGAGAAATGTTTAGCAGCATCCCGTTTCTACCCCAGCTCACTACTGCCTGGGAATGAGGTTACCAACATCTGGTGCACGAGTGTTATGTGCACCGAGGGCACACTTAAACAAAATCAGATCTTTGCCCGCAGGCTGTAGAGTGTCATGGATGTAATTAATCCTGGAATTCAAGCCGTGCCGCTGAGATGCAACTTCATAAGCGAAGCGTGAGGAAAGACAAAGACGAAAATAAATAAAGAGACGCAACCGATTTGTGCTGATGGTTCCCCTTTGATCCTGGCAGATGTAGGAGACCACAGAGCTGTCTGTGCAGCCCCATATTTGGTAAAAGCAGCTCTGCATCTTTAGTGTCACGTCTGGGTTTTTTTTTTATTACTTACATGAAACTTCCTATTTTAGGCTTGTTTGTTTTGTTATTCTCTAGTAAAAAGATGTGCAAAGACCTCACATGAACGTATTTATTACAATAACGCTTCGGTTACTAAATTAAAATCAAGAAAAGGATAAAGATGAGCGTAAATACAGAAGAAATGTGAAGTTGGAAAGTGGTCAAGAAGCTGAAGCTCTAAAGCAGGAGAAGATTTAAGTCCTCATCGTCCAAAATTTTTATTTTCTTTTATTAAAACCATGCAAAAATAATTTGTTTTGCACAAATTTGATCTTTTTTTTAATACAAATCATTCAGAGGGCTGCAAGGTTCTCTGAATAAGCATGAGTGCGTGATTGGACGGCCAGGATATGCTGCTGCAGGTGCAGGTGTGTTCTCCCCTACTCCTCCATCAGGGCCACATCTGACTTCAGGCTCCTGGCGGACTCTGCGTGCATCCTCAGAGAGTTCTGGAGAGCTCTCTGTAGCTCCCCGGGGGAGACCAGGTGGAGGCGCCGCAGAGAGGTGACCAGCTGTGTGCGAGCGTTTCCTATGAAGGACTGCGAGAGAAAATTCGGAAGGCCTCCTCCACTTTTGGTGGTGTAGAGAGGAACTCGGACCATTCCCATCGCCTGAGAAGAGAAGGCAGGTGAAGCTGTGCAGAACCGTAGATCTGGACAAACGGCTGACCGCTGCGGTTACCTCCAGCCCGTGATCCACTGCCGTGGTTGTGGCTGCTTTCTCCAACTCCCTGATCTGCTCCTCCTCCATCTTCTTCACGTAAAAGTGGAGGATGAGACGTGGGTTAAAGCCTGGGTGAGGGGGGGCGATGCAAGTTTCCACAAGGTCTTCCTCTCTTATCGGCACGGCCAAGCCCACCTCCTCCAGCAGCTCCCTGGTAAGCCCCGCCTCCAGAGTCTCCTCTGATGGGTTAACAAGTCTGACATGTAGACAGGGTGACAGAGGTCAGCATCAGGGCACAGAGGCACCAAACACAGCCAGCCTTAATGCTCTCCCAAGGTTCCTTCACAGTTAAAGGAACCTTTAAACTCCAGGGTTTAATATTGGGGAGAATCTTAAGCTAAATGAGATTTCTGTGGATTCTGATGATGTTAATATGGTGATTTGTTAGGATTACAGTGAGTGTTATAAAACTCACCATGGAGAGGTTAAAGGGATGTTCCACTCCTAAGTGGAGTTTTGTCTGTTGCCATATTCCCCAGAGTCAGATAAAAACTAGTAACCAGCCCCGTGGTACTTCTTCAGCTATATGGTAAATGGCCTGTATTTGATATGGTGCTTTCTAGAGTCCGGCAACCCCCCAAAGCCCTTTACAACACAACCAGTCATTCATCCATGCACACACACATTTGCACCCTAGTGGTGATGAGCTACAATGCTGCCACAGCTGCTCAAGGGCACACTCAGAGGCAAGAATGCTGAGTACAGGCATCACCGGTCCCTCCGACCACCGCCAGCAGGCAATGTGGGTTAAGTGTCTGGCCCAAGGACACAACAGCAGCATTATCTGCTGGGAACCGGGATCAATCCTACAACCCTCCAATTGCTGGACAACCTCCTGAGCCACTGCTGTCCCTTTAGCTTTAGCATAGCATAAGATAATGTAAGTGAATGGTAGGGCTGTCGCAATAATCGCAAGAACAATATATTGCGATATTAAGAAACCCACCGCGCTGCATGACGTGCCACCACAATTACCGCACTTGATTAAATCTCGCGACAGCGCATGCTGAGAGGTAAAGTCCGCGCTGATCGAGGAGATAGTAGGGCACTTTTTTTTATTTCTCTTAGATGTTGCAGCCAAATTTGCATTTCAAAGTTAAACCTCCTGAATGTTGTTTTTAAGTTCAGTCAGAGAATGCCGTTACTGCCCTTTGATCTGCATTCAATAAAGTGTTAAAAATGGCCATGTATTTTTTTCTAACATTTTTTAAATGTGTAAGCACAATGTTTCAAAGGAAATATTGCCACGAGTTTAGTAATTAACAAACAAATTTGCTAAGTACATAAATAAAAACGGGGTGCAATAATATCGCATATCGCAATATTGAGCTGCCCTGACTCACTGCAGGGGGAATTCCTCAACCGCGACAGCCCTAGTGAATGGTACCAACTAGCATTGAGTGTGAAAATGTCATAAAAATGACTCAACAGTCATCCTAGTTCTGCTTGGCGACCTCAATAAGAAAAAAGGGATGCAACGATACCACATTCTTCCAAACCGATACGATACCGATAATTGGATCCGAGTACTCGCCAGTTTTCACCAATCTTCCAATGTGCTGATAGGTTTTTCTTTTGTTTCTGAATGTGTCGCTGTTGCATGATCTCGATGTGTTGGTGAATGACACACCAGCAATGCTGGCAGTTCTGTTATTCATGTATGAAAGGCATAAACGATTCATATTTCGTAGAATACTAATTGGTTTGTCCAGGATGATAAAATGATCTTTAAAAGAAAAATGAGGGTTTCCTCAAACAAAAGAGCCTGGCACTTCCTTAAATCTAAATTTTCACCTTTGCTATGTGATTATTCAGCGTGTGAATGTTTGACCCGTGTTAAAAAGAATTTCTTCGCAAGGGTCACCGGAGAAGAAAAGATGAACAAACTATAGCGGTGTAACGAAGGATGAAGCAGCAGGTATACTCACCCGCCTGGGAAGCCCAACAGACCGTCGTAGCGCATCTGCATCTGTGGTGGTGGTGGGGGGGGGGGGGGGGGGGGGGGGGGGGTTGACGGATGTTGTCAGACACTCACATGCTGATGCGTCCGCTCAGAGACACACACAGACTTGCAGACACGTGCAAACAACAGCGCAGATGAGGATTGTGCATCACATCGGGCACTTCACATTTAAAAAGTAACTAGTTATAGTTACAAATTACTGTCTCCAAAAAGTAACAGAGTCAGTAACTCAGTCACCACATCGTAACGGTTCACTGCTCAAAAAAATAAAAGTAAAGGAGCACAAAAATGAGACATCCTAGATCTGATTGAATAAACACTACAGGCTGATCCAACTGTGATGTGATCGAAACAAGTCTAACTGAGGCCCAGCAGTGAGTGTGGCCTCCATGTGCCCGTATGACCTCCCGACAACGCCTGGGCATGCTCCTCATGAGGTGGTGGATGGTCTTCTGGGGGATCTCCTCCCAGACCTGGACAAACATCCATCAACTCCTGGACGGTTTGTGGTGCAGCGTGGTGTTGGTGGATGAGGCGAGACATGATGTCCCAGATGTGCTCAGTAGATTCAGGTCTGGGGAACGGGCCAGTCCATAGCATCAATGCCTTCGTCCCACAGGAAGTGCCGATGCAAGCCAGCCACATGATGTCTAGCATTAGAAGGAGCCCAGGACCAACCACACCAGCACACGGTCTCACAAGGGCTGAGTTTTTAAGTCCAGGCTCAAGACCCGCCTGTTTAGGTTAGCTTCTACCTAATTATTTACTATAGTTTTATTTCCCGTTTTACATGATTTTTATTTTATTGCTGGCTTTGCATGTTTTATATGATTATATTTTAGCACAGTTTCATTATTTAATATTATTATTTTAGTGTCTGTATGATTTTATTTATTACAGCTCTTTTATTTTCATATTTTTACTCATTTTAATCCACTGTTTTCTCTGTAGGGGCCCTCCGCCCCGGGGGCGGTGGTCGACTGTTGCTTCCTGAGCGTTCTACAGGTAGTGTTTAAGTGGAGGTGGGGGTCCATGCTCCCCCTCCTCTGATCACCCTGACTTAGTGTGGAAGACCTGATGCTGCCGGGGCAGATGGCTCCTCTGATGGCGTTTCCTTGCCTTACCTTACTTGGCTCATCTGGACTCAGCCGAATATACATTTTTACTGGTGTGTGTGTGTGTGTGTGTGTGTGTGTGTGTGTGTGTGTGTGTGTGTTTGCATATGTCGGTTAATGTTTTTAAACTGTTATGGGAATTTGGGGTCTTTTTGTAAAACACTTTGAGTAGCACTTTGCTTGAAAAGCGCTTTATGAACAAAATCTGATTGATTGATTGATTGATTGATTGATTGATTGATTGAGGATCTCATCTCGGTACCTAAGGCTACCACTGGAAAGCACACGGAGGGATGTGCCACCTCGCGCCATTACTGACCTACTGCCAAACCAGTCATGCTGAAGGATGTTGCCAGCACCAGAAGAGTCTCCACGGTGTCTCCAGACTCTGACACACCTGCCACATGTCATCAGTGTGAACCTGCTATCATCTGTGAAGAGCACAGGGCACCAGTAGCGAATTTGCTAATCTTGGTGTTCTCTGGCAATTGCCAAACATCTTGATGGTGTTGGGCTGTAAGCACAACACGCACCTATGGACGCCAGGCCCTCATACCACCCTTATGGAGTCTGTTTGTGACCATTTGAGCAAACTATTGCACACTTGTGGCCTGCTGGAGGTCATTTTGCAGGGCTCTGGCAGAGATCCTCTTGTTCCTGCTAGCATAAAGGCGGAAGTAGCGGTCCTGCTGCTGGGTTGTTGCCCTCCAACAGCCTCCTCCATGTCTCCTGATGTACTTGCCTGCCTCCTGGTGGTGCCTCCACGCTCTGGACACTACGCTGACAGACACAGCAAACCTTATTTCCACAGCTCACATGGATGTACCATCCCGGATGAGCTGCACTACCTGAGCTACTAATGTGGGTCATAGACTCTGTCTCATGCTGCCACTAGTGAAAGCACCACCAGCATTCAAAAGGGACCAAAACACCAGCCAGACATCATAGGAACTGAGAAGTAGTCTGTAGTCACCATCTGCAGAACCACTCCTTTACTGTTGATGTGTGTGTGTGTGGCTGTGTGTGTGTGTAGAAACAAAAACGGTGCTCACCAGCACAATGTGCTTGATGGGAGTTTTGCCAAACAGCTGAGACTCTGTGTCAGAGTAGAGCATCACGTGGCACGCGTGCCTGAAGCCTTTGCATTCCAACGCCTCGGCCCTCGACATCTGTCCACTCGCCATCTATAAACGCTCACAAAACACAGAAAAATCACACCGCTACGGCTCAGAGACTCTTAGTCAACTTAGATGGTCCCAGCGTCTCAATGCGCTCCAGTACTTGTCTCCTTATTTTTGTGCTGAATCAGGGGATTTGACAGAAAGCTACTGATCAGCTTAGGAGGCCTGGGAGTTCGTATTTAGACACTTTCAGAAGGAGGAAGCATGAAGGAGGAGAATTATGGGTGGATAAATAAAGCTTTACCTCCCTCTGCTGGTGTGGAGAAAGCTAACAAACACGGTCATTCATGTTTCTGCTGTTAATATCTTTAATAAATGCCACACTTTGTAATGGTACATTGATGTTGGTACGAAAATAGAAATTATATTTCCAAACATTTGCTTTTTTACAGGGTAAAACTCGGCAATAAGGGCCCCTGTATTAACATTACTTAGTGCATTAAGCATTACTAAACTATTAAATAAAGTATTATCAACCATATTATGCAATGCATTACTAAGAAGACACCTGCCCCTTTATCCCATTTTTTAGCCCCATTTTTTTTTACTTTTTACTCAAGTCTTACATTCTTGTAAAGTGGTTTATATGAAGAGATGCATTTTGTATTTTATTTGTCCTTGTTTTGTAAGACTATTAGCACCATGACATGGCTTTCCTCCTTGTTCTGTTCTTGTTTACTTATTTATTAATATTTCAAAATTAAATAATGATGCATATTTATATCTGATATTTGTATTAATTAGTCAGTCTATAGCTAAAGCTTACTTAAATTATTCTTAGAATGATGTACCACACACACACACACACACACACACACACACACACACACACACACACACACAATCGTACTTTATAAAGTGCAGTTTCATCTTAGTCAGCATAAAATCTACAGGATGGATGTGTCATTAGTGACCGAGTACTCTGGAAGAGCCGAATCTTTTTGGTGAATGGGAAGAACTGATTCCAAAGATGTATTGTTTAGATAAATAAGGTGTGTGTGAGGTGAATTTAATTCAAGTTTCTTTACTTTATTTAATTCATAATTAGGTCATCATAATAATCATAAATTAAGTTCAAATGAGGTCTCCCATTTGTGTCATAATAACCAGTTCTTCTGTGAGAGCCGACCGAGCTAGAAAGATCCGAATCTTTGAAAAGCGCCGAACTTTTCATCACTACACAGATGATTTTAGACAGTTTTGTGACGTCGATACTCCCGATTGGTAGATCTGTTTTACAGTAACCAATCAGCTGTTACTCGCTTTGGGAGCATAAACTACAGCTCTGGCACAATGGCTGCGTTTGAGTGGTCCCTAAAGTTACATTAGAGCAAGAAGAAACAATCTAAGCTCTCCATTGCAACAAGGTAACGTATTATTTGCCCGCATTATTTAGATATAACATTAAACAACATACCTTTACTTATCTTTATCAACGGTATTTAAATGATTGAGGTCTCCCATCACGATTAGTTCAAAGTTAACTTGGGTTGAAAGCGACGGTTTCGAGGTTCAGTAAATGTAGCACCGTTGTGTCTTCCAAAACTCCACATCAGTTAGCATTATTAGCTAGTAGGACAACAACGTGACACGTACGGTGCAATTTTATAGACTGACACTTTCAAAGCAGAAGCTGTGAAGTAATAATCAAACACACCTGATTTAGACTCCTGCCTTTTTCATGTCTGTTGCCGTGTGGAAGACTCGAGGCGCAACTCGGAACCTCATAGTGACGTGAAACATTTCGAGCTGGACCTAGCATTATCCGCGAGCGCTAGCTAGGTTGTTAAGCTAATAAACCGATGTCGCCGGATTATTACTGCATAACTCAACGCAGAATTTTCATTAACTTGTGAAAAAGTTTCGGACGTCTTTTTTGTTATAATTTTGCTACTCGGTGTTTCATTGAACTACTGCTACGTAACCGTAAACAATAAAAATGTGCAACAATAAATACATTCCGGGTAAAACACTTAACATTTAATCGAAAGCAAACAACGTTGATTCCAGATTTAGATTAAACAAGCATGTTGTCAAATAAACAAGCAAAGAAGTTGAGAGTAAATTTCACTAACACCTTCTGTTGGAGATTTTTGCAGTTTTTTTTACCGACTTAACTTTTTTAGTGGTTAATTTGTGTTGTTTTTTAACCAGAATGGCCCAGGGGATTCCAGATGAGGTGATGATGAATGCTGCTCTGATCAAACAGCTGGCTGAAGTGGCAAGAGATGAGGCGCTCCTGCAGGGTGTTTTAATGAGGACTAAAGAGACCCCAAACTCATCCGAGGTGCCATTTTTCAAAGCATTTTAGCTGCATTTAATCAAAGAATGTGGCCCAGATATCTTCTTTTTGGCTAACCCTAACCAGGCATGATTGTAATAAAGGAATAATACTGATGTACTAATCTTAACAAAACATGAGAGTCAGGATTTGTTCTTTATCACAGATTAAATGTATTGTGTGCTGCAGGCGGCAGGGATGGGCGTACTTCTGTGTGAATGAGCTGTTGATCCACTGCTGGGGAAACGGGCGTGTTCATTTATGTGTAGTCGTGTGCATAAGGATACAGGATTTCAGATAAATCGGTTTTAATCCAGTGTTTACAATTAAAAGTTGTATTTCTTCATTCCTTGCTAGTTCTCATTCAGGGATGTGTTATAACATTTGTTTTTGTGTTCTCATTCACAGTTGGTGACCTACGCTCCGTTTACATTGTTCCCGTCGCCCTTCCCAAAAGCCGCATTCCTCCAAGCTCTTGCGGTGCAAACCCACTACAACACACTGGTGGACAGAATATCTCAGGACACTGAATTTTTGCTACAGGCCTTAGCCAGGTAGGATCCAGCCAAACCACCCATGTGCTGTTATCTAGTAGTGACCTTTGCCTCATAAACAGTGTGGGTTTTTATTAATGGAGTCTGTTTTTAGCACCATTGAAGTGGATGACTTTTCTGCAAGATTGTTCAAAATCCACCAGCAAATCCTAAACGAAGGAGGGTCTCGGGTACGTTTACACGACTTGAAGATTTCATTTTATTTATTTTTTATGATAATCATTTGCTGTGTGTTTTTATTTTTTTTAACATCAGTTACTTGCTGTGGAGTCAAAGCTTTGGTTGTTCAGAGAAGAAAAGTTTTTTTTCTAGTTTCTACGATCGATATTGTGCAAGTTACTTCAACCAGTTAGTGACAGTTACTAATTACTTCTTCCTAGAAGTAGTTATAGTTACCAGTTATTTATTCAAAATTTTAACTGAGTTTCAAATATTACAAAGTAACTAATCACCAGGAAAAGTAACGCATTACTTTTTAATTAAAAAAATGATGTTTTCTCTGCTTGATGCATTCCAACAGCATCACCCAAATCACTAGCTAAAAAATATCATTAAAGTCTTAGCATACCTTCCTCTGCTTGCCAAGATGCTAATCAACAGGAGTGTTTTCACACGTTGGCCAATTATGGGGCATATAAACAGTGTGGTAATATGGAAACTTAAAGACAAAAAAAATCACACAACATAAAGGTAACACTTACATAAGAGTGTGGATTCAGCCTGTTGGAGACAAAAACACAGTGTGGTCTCCATTTCAAGGGGAAGTTGTGTCTCCTTTTGGGAAATAAAACCCACCTGATGTGTCGTAATGATGTCACTGTCAGCTGCTAAGCTGGCAGTGACATCATGTATATTTAGGAGTTTTTTAAATTAAATTATTTCTATTACTAGGCCTGCACAATATATCGTAAATATATTGTTATTGCAATATCAGCATGCACAATATGCATATCGCAAACAACAGAAAAATATCGCTATGAATGGTCAGCTCAAATGTTTGCTACACATAACACATTCTGTCAATCAAATGGAAGCATGATGTTTTTTTTTAACAAATCAAATAGAGCTCTTCACCCATTTGGCCAATTGGGTGTGTTCTCATAGGTTAGATGCCCGCCCCCGATGCGGTCGGTGTTGGTACAGGATCCGCTTGGGTGCAAGATCGGCTCGGGGTCCTTCGACTGCCAATGACGTCAAAGTACGGCAAACCCACTCGGACAAAATACACTACACATCTTTATACTGTTGGAAAGAATTTAGCAGATTCGTTATTAAAATAATGTATCTTACGACGTAAGTTTGTGTTTATAATGGTATTTGTAAAATAAAACACTATATTGTATTCATAATGTTGAACTCCTCTTTGAGCACATCCCTTGAAGGATCATAGGTATTAGCAACACCTGTGAAATTGTATATGCAGGAAAGAAGTGTGTCCCATTTATTGAAGTATTTTGTGTTTAGAGTTTTTGACGTCTTGTCCATGCGTAGTTCAGTTACGCTCATAGCTGCTAGCCAAAACTCTGAAGTGAAAAGTTTTCTGGCTTTACTAAAATAGCTGTCTGTACTTATTTGATTGATGGTAGTTTTACTGTCTATTTGACTCCAAATGTAATCATTTGGCACATTTCTAATTCATAATTTGTAAGAATGTAATCGGTGATATTAGCATTAGCAATCCTATGGGTTTTTCCATGTATATTAGCATTGTGCTAACCACTCGCTGCCAAATAGCAGCCTTTGCAATTAGAAAATCTCCTTTTGTCACATCGCAATTTAAATGCCCATGAAATTTATCGTTCAGCCCTAATATACATGCATCTCTATGCTAAAAGTGTATTTTCAAAGAGGTAAAGATGGATTTCTGTGTAAAAGTTGTCCATCTTTCCAACAGAAAAATTTGCCTGGACCAACGTAACGTGATAACAACGTAAAACCTGGATCATGCTTCTCAGTCATCTCCGCAAGGGACAGACACACACGGATTGACGGAAGCGTTTGGCTCTCCTACTTCTCCGTCTCCTGGAGAGTGTTGCAAAGCAATTGCCCGGCAGGACAGCAGAGGGCGTAGCGCTGTTCTGTGGTATCCTGTCGTGTATCGGTCCAAGATAGTGTGTTTATATTGTGTTTTTTTGTATATAAGAGACTTTTTAACACAGACAAATTTGTCTCTCATCCTCCTCCACCTCTTCATGCGCTCGCCACCTCCAAACCCACGTTTCCTGTCATTTCCGTCCACAAATGAAACGCTTGCTGCGCATCTTTTCACTCCTCCAGTCAGGGGGAATTAAACGTTCATATTTTTAGAGTTTTTTCGCGAGGTATTCTTCAAGCTTCTCCGTGTCTGCTGCTAGTTATCCTCGGCTCTCTTTATGTTTTTGAGGGCGCAATGGCGGCGCTGTAAATAACAGCGGCGTCCTGACCAATCACAAGCTTGCGTTGTCCGTCTCAACTGACGGATGTTTAGAAAAGAGAGCTCGACTCCGTCCGTCCTTGCAGAGCTCTCCGGCAGGCCCGCAAGGACATTGCATGTCTCCGCACTGACGCAGACGGAGAAGCATGAATCAGGCTTAACTTCCGTAAGATTCATGTTCAGTCAATCAACTACTTTGACGTCATCAGCAGTCGAATCACCCCGAGCTGATCTTGCACCCGAGCAGATCCTGTACCGACACCAGCACATAATTTTGATGGTTAGCAAACACCTGAGTTAGCTTTGTTCTGCTCTTTCTGTTGATTTAGCTTTTCCTGGGATCCACTGATTGCCTTCTCTTGTTCATTTTCTTTTTTATTTCCTCACATCTGTTCATTTTCTCATTTTTATGATTGCTTTTTTTTATTATTTTTGTTCTTGAGTTAAGTTTTTATTTATCGCAAGTAATATCGTCATTGCGATATTAATCATTGTTATCGAATATTGCAGGTTTTCCCAATATCATGCAGCCCTATCTATTACCCATTATCTAGTAACAGCATATCAATGAATGAGAATCCTTTGAAATGACACTAGAATGGGCAACAATGTACCTGATGTAACTGAGAGTTCAGTGTTTTTCTGGTTATGGATAGGTTTCCTTTTTACCATTAATATCTTTGGTAAGTCCACAAGCCCCAAAGTGCAGAAAAACTCATTTACAACAACATAAAGCCAGAAATCACACAGTTTGGGTTTAACATCTTAAAGTTTAAAAAGGCACAAATGCTGTTGTAGAAGTGCTTGTGAACCCTTATCAATCCAATCCAATTTTATTTATGTAGCGCATTTAAAAACAGCATGTCAGCTGACTAAAGCACTGCAGAATTAAACCTAAAAAGCCATTCAAATTCACATACATATACATAAAACACAATTTAAAAACTGTCATAAAATAGAAACACCTAAAATCAAAACAAAAGTTAAAACAAAATAACTGAAGGATGGAATTTGAAACTAAACACAACAAGAACACACCAAAGATGTTAAAAGTTAAAACGGCCAATAAAAACAGAAGTCAGTAAAAGCAGAAGTTACAAAAAACGGAACAGAGGAACAGCATAAAAGACCGATCATTGACCAAAAGCTAAATTAAAGAAATGTGGCTTTAGGCTGGATTTAAACTGTGCCAGTGAGGAAGCCTGGCGTACCACCAGAGGGAGTGCGTTCCGGAGTCTGGCAGCAGCAAAGGCGAATGCACGCTCCCCACGAGCTTAATGTTTCATTTTAGGGACTTTGAGCAGCAGACCTTAGTGACCGGGGGGGGGGGGGGGGGGGGGGTGTTAGAGCAACTCTGACAAGTATAAGGGGGCGGGGCTAGACCATTCAGGGCTTTGTAGGCAAAAGTTAGAACTTTGTATTGTATTCGAAAGTGCACAGGAATCCAGTGTAGATCAACCGGAATGGGAGTGATGTGACAACGTCTATTTGTATTGGAAAGAAATCTTGCTGCGGCTTTCTGGACTTTCTGCAGACGATTGAGGACAGATACATTTGCACCGATAAGGACTGAGTTGGAAAAGTCGAGTCTGGAAGTGATAAATGCATGAATAACAGATTCTAAGTGTGGCCTCTTAAGAATGGGCTTTAGTCGGGTAAGGCAACTTAGCTGGAAGAAGCAGGATCGAACAGTGGCATTAACATGTGCACTCACTGACAAATCAGCATCTAGTTTAACCCCAAGGCTGGTCACACAGGAATTAAGGTTGAGGGGGGAGAAATCAAAGGCAGCAGAAGTATGCAGATTATGTTTTGGTTTGAAAAGAATGGCCTCAGTTTTATTGTCATTGAACTTCGGGATATTGGAAGCTAGCCAGGTTTTAATTTCTGCGAGACATTCTGAGAGCTGAGTAATGGAACTTGACCGATTTAAAGCCATATAAATTTGACAGTCATCAGCGTAGATGTGATAATGTAAGCCCCGTTTAGCAATGATGTTTCCCAGTGGAAGAATATATATAGAAAAGAGGAGTGGACCTAGAATAGAGCCCTGGGGAACTCCCCAGGGGAGCGGGACAAAAGGAGAAGAGCAATCACCTATGTGAATGCTGAAACTTCTATCAGACAGATAAGAGTGAAACCAGTTTAGCGCGGTCCCTGTGACTCCAGCAAAAGATTCCAGCCTGGTTAGCAGAATGTTATGGTCAACCGTATCGAATGCCGCTGATAGGTCTAGCAGTAGTAACAGAACAAAGGAACCAGCATCAGTTTCTGTCAGAATGTCATTTAATACATGAATATGTGCAGACTCAGTTCTATGATTTGGCCTAAAAGCAGACTGAAAATGGTCAAGTAGTGAATGTTCCAGTAAATGATGTGAGAGTTGAGCATGTACCACTTTTTCAATAACTTTAGATAAAAAAGGAAGTTTTGGAGATTGGACGGAAACTTGCATAATCATTTCGATCCAGGCCAGGTTTTTTCAACAGCGGTTGGACGACCGCCTTCTTAAAGGATTCTGGAAACACTCCAGATGACAAACTGTAATTTGAAATATTCAGAATAAAAGGACCCACTACTGATAGAACCCCAAGTAGCAGCATTGGGGGGAGAACATCCAGTGGGGAACCTGAGGGTTTCATGGACTTGATTAATTTATCAAGATCTTGAAGAGAGACATGATCAAAATCAGAGAACGGAGGAGAACAGAGTGACTCTTTCTGGGTAACAGGTCACACAGCCCCAACTCCCACTTAAGGTTCAGCCTTGGTCAAGATTAAAGTGAGGTTTTCTTTTTTGCCTTTGTTTATTTAGTCCATCGTGTTGGGGCTCAATCGGTCTGACTACATGCTGGACAAGAGAGGGGATCAGCCCCCTTCTCTAAAACAAATCGAGATCAACACCATCGCTGCGAGCTTTGGAGGCCTCTCCTCACGTACCCCCGATGTGCACAGGTGAGATGTTTCTGACCTTCTGAGCTTTTGAAACATGGCAGCAGAGGTGCACTGCTACTTTATTGTCAGTTCTAGCACATGTACAGCACAGACAGACAATCCAAATTGCAACTTATCTCTGACCTCTAGTGCAATAAGTCAGCGTTAACACAACACAGAAACTGACACAGCTTAAAGTAACACTGGTGAAGTGGATGTTAGGAGGCAGCAGTAGCTCAGAAGGTACCATGCTGTCGTTCTTTTCAAAACACAGAAACAGTTTTGTTTACCTGTTTTGTCGCGCCACCATCAGCGTCAGCCTGAAGAAGCCTGCAGCTGCCGGCGAAACGTAGCGACAAAACAGGTAAACAAAACTGTTTCTGTGTTTTGAAAAGAACGACAGCGTGGAATTAGAACCACGACACAGCAAGAACACACCTAAGAAGCTCAGAAGGTTGTCCGATAATCTGAAGAATGCGGGTTTGATTCCGGCTCTGACCAGAGAATGCTGCTGTTGTGTCCTTGGGCAAGACATCTTACTTACCTCGCCTGCTAGTGGTGGTCAGAGGGACCGGTGGCCCCTGTGTTCGGCAGCAGGGTGACTGTGGCTACATCGTAGCTCATCCCCACCAGCGTGTGAATGTGTGAGTGGCTGGGTGAATGACTGATTGTGTTGTGAGGAACCCTAAGAAGGCGCTACACAAGTACAGGCTGTTTACCGTGATAAAAATTTAAAAGATACACACTTGAACACACTACATGTAACTTGACCTTTGTCAAAGTGAGCGGAGCCTCCTTCACCCATGACACTGAGAGGGTTAGGGCTGTCTCCGTGGCTGACATGTCCCTCTGGGGTGGTGGTCGGCTGTGGCGGCCTGGGCGCTCCTAGGGGAGTGCTCTTAGGCGGTGGTGGGGGTTTCCGCCCCTCCCTGGGCACCCTGGGGTGGTGCCTCGGCTGCTGCCGTCGATCAACCACTGCCGAGGCAGATGGCTCACCTGATGGTGTGTCATTCATTACCTAACCCATCTGGACTCAGCCTAGTGTTTACTTAGACTGTTTTTTAGGTTGTGTGTGTGTGTGTGTGTGCCTGGGAAATGGGTTGTGGGATGGGGGGTGTGACTGTCATAATTGTTTTTATATTCGTAGGGAAGAGATGGGAATACGGGTTTTTTGGGGTCATTTTAATTTGTAAAGCACTTTAAGCTGCATTTTCTTTTGTATGACAAGTGCTATAGAGCTCTGGACGTCACGTGACTCTCAGAGAGTAGATGCCATGTTGGCAGGCAACAAAGGTAAACAAAATGAACGGGATCGGCTTGAATTTTACTCCGTCGGAGTTTACTTCACACTTTAAAACCGACGAAATCGTTTTATATAGTCAGAAATTAAATAGACTAAACATCTCCGACCCTTACCGTGCCCCTGGGATACTTTTTAAAAACGGCAGAAGCTGTCGGAGCGGACTTCTTACCGGACCTGGCCAGGGAACGCCTTGGGATTCCCCCGGAGGAGCTGGCCCAAGTGGCTGGGGAGAGGGAAGTCTGGGCCTCTCGACTTAGGCTACTGCCCCCGCAACCTGACTCCGGATAAGCGGATGAAAATGGATGGATGGATGGACAAATAACATAGATTTACATGTAAGTAGTTTAAATAGAGTGCTGTGCTGTTTGAATGTATAAACTGAACGCCAAGAGAAATCACTAGTCTGATTTTTCCGTGAATAAAATAAATATGTCAGGCAGGAGCGTCTCAGGATCTGTCTGAGATCTGTCTCGGTGAGACAGATAATAGCAATCCAAAGTGCTTTTTATGTGTGATCTGACAATTGATCAACCAACCATTGCTTAAAAATTAAATACAGCTTAGCCGGTTAATTGCTGTGATCATAAAACACGTAAACGGCAGCACGCAGAAATCACGAGGCAACGTTTTACGTGACGTTTACTTGTTGCTATGAGTAATAAGACAGAAAAAGCCCCGCCAAAATACGTTTAGGAAGCCCACTAAGAATCGTAATAAAAGCATTTAAAATAAATACCACACACAGTTGAGGAAGCGTTTGTTTAAGTACCTGATATGAAGTGGTCGCTGCATAAGCGAAAACCGTTTCGATTTGAACTGTTGCATTCCAGGAGAAGTGTCGTCAACTCCCGGAGCTCTATAGTTCTATACTAATAAAGTTTGAGTGACTGGAGTATTGAAAGAAGAACACTGGGCTTTTCATGAAGAGAGAACTCAAAACAACATTTTCTAAGTGAAAGACCGCGTCCTCCCACCTTTCTCAACAGGCGCGTACTGAAGATGGCCGACCGTCTGGAGGAGAGTCAACGCATCTTAGACAACAACCCTGCAGCAGGTTTGGCCAAGGCCATCGCAAAAGCCTGGGAGCTCTACGGATCCGAGAGGTAGAGCAGAAGCGCAACAGTGAAACGCTTCCATCAGTTCAGCAATAGTTTAGAGCCGGTTGCTGCAGAAATTCTCAAATTCTAAATGTTAAAGAAGGTTGTTTTTTTGAGCCGTGTTGGGTGTCATTCCAGAGCCGTGGTTATGTTCTTCGTGGAGGAAGTCCAGAGGAACGTCTTTGACCAGCGCTGCATTGAGAGGGAACTCTGGAAGAGGTTCAGAGAATCTATTTGTGTATTTTAATCTAAATCTTTCTGCTTTCTGAGGGAAATAAAGAGTCCGTAGAGAGCACGGTCTGGTTTAGATGGATGTAAGCAGCGAGAAGACCTGCGCTTTTAACCCCTCCTCCCCGTGTGTTTCAGAAACATTCCTACATTCAGAAAAAGGTTTGACGACATTTGTAAGACGATCCGCCTCGATCAGGACAAGAGGCTCTTTGTGTGAGTCCCGACCTGCAGTTCACATATTAATTAGCTAGTCTTTAGTGTTAAATTTGCTATGTGAACCTCCTAACAGGATGGGGTGGGTGCTTACTGACTGTATTCTGATTCCAGCGGTGGCAACGAGATCGCAGTGGTGTACTTCAGGAACGGCTACATGCCTCAGAACTACTTTTCTGAACAGGTCTGCACTTTTACAGTCTGATTAGTAACTGATCCAAATGGAACTTTTCTTTCTGCTCCAGTCACACCTGATCAGATGTATCTTCTCACTTTGTCTCTCGTAGTGGAGGTACAAAGGCCTCACTGGAGGCTGACTAAATGCTGTTTTGCCCCACTTCTATACGTTCTTTCTGCAGCTAATGGAGGTTGACGATCATTTTCATATTCTTGGTGCCACTCCGAGTGACTGATCATATTTCAGAAAGAACAAGTATAAAATGTTTTCTATGGGAACTTCCTTGTTTTTGCTGCTATTAGCAAAAATGCTGCTTAAAGAGCAAGTCACCCACCTTTCAGATTCTTACTCCGCTACCACTTCCTGTTTGGAAAATGCAACAAATGATGTTGCCTAGCAGACCGAGAGGGCGGAGCTGCTAACAAATACACACACACACACACAGGCTCACAATAGGGTTGTCATGGTAACCGGTGTAGCGGTAAACCCGGTGAAAAAGTTGACAATAATAATAACCGTCTTGTTTTTAAAAAAAAATATTATCTCGGTGGATTACCGTGGCTGCGGTGTGGGCGCGGTGACCCTTACCAGTCACCGTATCATCTGTTGAAGTTGCCGGCGGCACATGCGCACTTTGTTGTTTACAACCAAAACTTTCTTGAAGCTAAAGCTGAAATAACGGCCAAAGGAGGAGACGGCAGTGCGCAGGACATTTTTTATCCCTCAAAGAAGACAAAGTGGGAAGTACGGGCATTTTTTGGATATTTGAAGAATGCCGAGGGACAGTTGATAGAAAACAGCTATCCTGTTTGCAGCATGTGCAGAAAAAGTGTCTGTGAAAGGCAGCAACGCTTCAAATCTCATGACACATCTGCGTGACCATCACCCACAACTCTACAGTCAACGCAAGGCAAGCTAACGTTAGCGTTTTAGCTAAAATGCGTGATCCGAGGATTTGGGTTGAGGGAGAATGCAACGAGTCGCTATATAAAGCAGCCGCAGCGCCGCTACCTGCATATAAACCGTGTCGCAGACACCCCCATGTTGAAATGACGCATTACGGGTCCCAGGGGCAGATAAGAATTGGTCTCTCTCCGAGAATAATTATGAATTTAACAATGATTACTGCCTGATGACATTTTCCCACATCTGCAAAGCTCACTGGAAGGACACAAACCGAGGATGATATTTTCCTCATATAGGGTTTATTACTCAAGTAAGGGTAAAAAAGTATCTGATTAGAAGGCTACTTGAGTACTGAGTATCATCTGATCTAATATTTTTAAAATGCTGCCATCAAACAGACAAAAAATAAGAAGTTATGGGCAAATATTGGTATTTTAAAGACTAAAGGGAAACATGTAAACAAATAAACAACATAATTACAAAATAACAAATTTTAGGCAAAATTTAGACACAAACTGAGGACAATATTTTCCTGATATACAGGGTTTATGTAGTTGTCTGAAAATGTAACACGTTTAAAAAAATACCGCGATAATACCGAAAACGGTGATAATTTTGGTCACAATAACCATGCGGTTAAATTATCACACCATGACAACCCTAGCTTACAACGATATTGTGACATCATATGGTACCAGCTAACGTTCTAGGGTACCTCTTAGCCAATAGCGATGGCAGATTTAAATTCAACTGCAGTGCAGAGTTTTTACCTGACAACAGCTCAACACTGACAGTTTTAGGCAGAAAATAAAATTTTAACTAAAATGCACTAAAGTGCAAAACTATTGACTACACGTGTCTGCGGCACGATTAGACACGCATTTATATAGTTTATCAGAAAAAAAATTTAATTTGGGGGTGACTTGCTCTTTAAGCTGTGAACTGACTTATTTATTCGTTCAGCTCAGAGGAACCAGACAACAGGGGTGAAAATGCTTCTGTTCATGTTTGCATAGGGGGATCACATGATCTCTGTGTCCCATTAAAAAAAGAACAAACTACGCTCATGCTCTGCTGGTCAGCGTGCTCGCTGATTTATCAGGAATGCTAGCCCAAACAAAACAAGCTCTCTTCACGCAGCCATGAAACAGTAGAGATGAAAACCCGAACAAGCCATTTGGGACGACATCTAAACCCAAATGTCAGGCTGACGTTTGTATTTTCTGAACCACAGTGCTGGGAAGCTCGCCTCACGATGGAGCGCTCTATGGCTGTCAAATGTCCAGATATCGTCTCTCATCTGGTGGGAACCAAGAAGGTCCAGCAGGTTCTGGCCAAACCTGGAGTTCTGGAGAGATTTTTCCCAGATCAGCCTCAGGTCGTGGAGCAGATCAGAGCGACCTTCACCGGCCTCTACTCTCTAGACGTGGTGAGCGGAAACGTCACTGGACTGAACTGTTCACAGCGTGGTTACAGAAGGTTTTTAACTTCCTGGTTTGTTTCTGCATTGTTCCTGTCTGCAGGGACCAGAGGGTGACAGAACCATAGCGATGGCTCTTGCAGAACCAGACCGTTTTGTTCTGAAACCTCAGCGAGAGGGAGGAGGTACTATTCGTCATGCAGTATGCCTCTTTTATGTTTGAATTCCTTAAAAGTCCTTTAAATATGCAATTTGTAAGAATGACACCCTTTAGGTAACTGCAGCTTATTTTCTTAAGCAATTAGATCACTTTCATGGCTGTTGCCAGTCACAGATCAGTGGCAGAAGGTTCTAGTGGACAAAGACCAATCAATCAATCAATCAATCAATCAATCAATCTTTATATAACGCCTTCCACTGCCTTTGCGGGAGCCCAAGGTGCTGAACATGAAATACACTAAAAACATGAAGAGCAATAATAAGGAGGTTAAAGCAACGTACAAAGTGTAAAAGCAGCATAAAAGCATTAAGTCAAGCACAATAAGTTGATAAGTAGATAAATACATTGGGTGTTTCTCAATGTCAAGGCGCCTTGCTTACGAGGACACTGTCCTTCCTTGGTCAAAGGAAACGGTTAAATGGAACATACTTGCATCACGTGACCGCAGCTTCCACGGCAGTCACGTAACGTCACGTGACACGGGAGATAACGTTATATTTTATACGTATTAGTTTCAATATAAATATGTAACGAGGCTTTTACTTTTTAAATTGTGTATATGTTTATTAAATTAAAAATATAAGTGAGTTACTACCCGCTAGCCACCGAAGCTGCAACTCTAAGCAACTAACCAACCATAGATCACTTCTTTGGATCTAAAAAAACATTTTAAATTAGTTGACTTACTTTTAAACTTGAAATTTGCTCCGAAGTAGCTGCTGGCTTCTGATCCGCCATCCTTTTGAAAATACCGCGGTGTATTCTGGGAAATTTTTGACCAAGGCTAGGCTACAAGACACCTCCCGTGTATCCTTGCTCAGCTAGCTAAACGGCTAACAAACAGAGAACGCACGACTCTGTAGAACATGAACATTGGAACGATTGGAACACGCCTTGGCGGTTCCTGATGACGTATCTCCTAGGCAACCGGGGCGGGACCAACACATCAAAGGCAAGGTTCCTTTTCATTGAGAAACACCCATTGTCCTATCTGCTGTACGCACTATAGGGTGTTTACAGTAGGGAGCTCGTACTACTCTTATTACGGTAATATGTCTCCAGCATTAGAGGAGATGCATTGTTTGCTGTTATAGTTCTGAACGACTCATTAAAGGAATTAAAACGTCACGATTGGCCGTTTCTCAATACGCAAATACGCTAGTACGTTCTTGCGTACTTGACTAGTATGATCTTGGCAAGAACAGCAGAAAGTTTGTTCTACTGAGTATGGGAGGATGAGAACGGTATTTGGACCATGTGTCATGGCAACAAGTGTTGCTTAATGCTACAGTTAAAAAAAAACTAATGTAAAAATAAGTCTAGTTTTACCCTTAAATAGCATAATACCATGAATACATGTTATGTGGATAATATTTGGTTCACTTTTGATCAAAATTGATCAAATTTCCTGTTGTTAAAAGAAGAAAAAGGTTCATTTGTCATCAAAACTATTTAAAGCAACGCTGCTTTTATTTTGATAGTGGGTTTGCTAATTAGCATTTCGAGGGATTGTGAAGAGTCTGCAAAACAACCAAAGCAAATACACACAGCAGCTTTCACAGGTTACACACAATTATTTAATAACAGACAACTTTACGTTTCTGTTTTTGTATTTCTGATATAAAACTCTACAGTTTTGAGCTTCGTCTTCTGCCGTTTGGATAATAACGGTTTGTGATGCAGTGCATTATGGGATACCTTGCCAGCCCAAGTCCACTGAAGGATGCATCCAATGCATCCTCGATACAGTGGGCGGAGCAAGAACACATCCCGGAACTCTGAGTATACTTGCATAAAAGAGTTCCTGGGATCGGAACAGTACTTGGGGCAACGTTGACGTTTCACAGTTATGCGAGTATACAGGTTTAGACCAGTACGCATACACAGGAAACGGCCATTATTCACATCACACACACATTTCGCTGTAATATTGAGTTGTTGGGAATCAAAAACGTAGCTTGAAATTTTCTAAAGCTAACTATTTGCCTCTTGTTCACCATTATTATTGTTAGCTCAACGTTAGCGTGGGTCGTTCCTGTTTATTGGATTTGGTTCTTGAAACAACTCTGGAGCTTTTTGCCTGCTGGTGTCCAACTACAAATGCTGAATCTGTAGCACTGGCTTGCTGCAAATTTGATAACCTCACAAACTCTAGAGTGTAAAAAAAACCTACATCCTGCTTTTATTCATTTATTATTTTCGGATCAAGAGGAGCCAGTTGAGGTGGCTCGGGCATCTGGTCAGGATGCCTCCTGGACGCCTCCCTGGTGAGGTTTTCTGGGCACGTCCAACCAGGAGGAGGCCTGGGAACGCCTTGGGATTCTCCCAGAGGAGCTGGCCAAAGTGACTGGGGAGCGGGAAGTCTGGGCCTCTCGACTTAGTCTGCTGCCCCCACGACCCGACTCCGGATAAGATGGATGGATTGATTGATTGATAGATGGATGGATTGTTGATTGATTGATTGATTGATTGATCGATCGATCGATCAATTGATTGATTGATTGATTGATTGATCGATTGATGAAAGGATGGATTTTCGGAAGCAAAAAAAACTGACAAACCCCCAGCTGGCTGAGCGTTGTAACCTTCCTTCCAACATGGTTGAGACATTAGACAGTTTAGTGGTTATTTCGCTGAAGAATTCTTACATATTGCACCTTTAATAAAGAACTAGACCTGACATCAGTTATAAAACACCAAGATTTACTTTAAAGGCACAAAGAAACGAAGCTATCATTTTGAGCATGTATGTGTAATTCATCCCTGCTGTACGGTGCTGAAAACCCTTAGAACATCTCCTTGAAAGTCATTGAAGAATCTTGTTTTATGTGTGAAATCCTCAAGTGGAACTTAAATTTTTAGCTAATTGTGGCACACTTACTGTTGCTGATGGCTGCTAATATGTGGGTAATAAACAGGATTTTCTTATCATAAAACTCAAATCTCAAAACTTCCATACAGACACTGTTTTATATGCAGTTGCTAGAACACTTCCTACAGGAATTTCATCACCTTTCGTCCAAGATTAAGCATGAAATGATGTAAATGTTTATAAAATGTTGGCATAAACCTGTGATATTTTTTTCTTTTTTAAAATGGCTGCAATAATAATAATAACAATAATAATAATGATACAAATTCAGCATTTTATATAAAAGTGTGCGGGCCAGCTCATACTAGCTGTTAGCTCGTCAGTCAGCTCATACCATTTTTGCAAAGTGGAAAATTTTTATTAACTATTTATCTTTTAATAATTGCACATACTTGCAGCATCATCCTGCCTGTGGGTGGGTCTAGTGTGTATATCCTTTAGATTTGAAAGTCTTAAGAAAATGTTCCAAATGCAGCAGAATAAATATTTGTCTGCAGCTTAAATTCTGCTGCTTTAATTCAATCACACCTTTTCATGTTGATACTTTAGGTAACAACATCTATGGATCAGAGATCATCCAGGTCCTGGAGAAGGTGAAGGACAGTTCGGAGCGAATGGCTTATATCCTGATGGACAAAATTAACCCAGCTCCCGTACAAAACTACCTACTGAGACGAGACGCTCCGCTCGCAGTCAGCAGCTGCGTCAGCGAGCTGGGGGTGTTTGGAGCGTATGTACGGTAGGTGAACACCACTGGCGTCCTGCTCAGTTAAAGGGACTGGGAATCATTAGAGAACTATTAAAATAAAAACATACAAAAATAAAACATTAAAAAACTTTCCAAACGACTGAAGAATTGTTGACCAAGATTGCTTTGAAATATTACAAGAACATGTAAAAAATTCTGTTATTTTACCTTTTTTTAACCCTCCCACTGTCCTAATGGGTGTGACCCCATGAGGAAAGTTGGCCATTGTGCAGGGTTGATGGTTTATCCCTTGAGGTCCACGTGGCAGGGGTGAGGAGTGAGCACTACCTCACCCCTGCTACGTGGACCCCAAGGGATAAACCATCAACCCTGCACAATGGTCAACTTTCCTCGTGAGGTCACCCATGAAGACAGCGGGAGGGTTAAAGATTAGTCTCACCAATGGAACACATGGTTCCTTTGATACTCTTTTCTACATTTCCATGAGGGTATTATTTGTTCCCTACAGCTGGACTTGATTTTTGATCATGCAGAGATGACTTCTAGAATCAAGAAGGGAAATGTGTTTAGATTTGTGCGTACATTTGGATTTGTTGGTGCAACACGCCAGCGTAGAGATCTAGACCGACCTTAGCAGAAGCAAGCGGTTCGGTCTAGCCACGCTTCGTTGTAGCCTCAGCAGGTCTACCATTGGGCTAAACAGTTTTCTGCCTTGCCAATCACAGAGCTCTATGTTTGTTGGGTGGGCTTAGCACCTGAGCTATGAAAGAAAAATACTTTGCGTTGGCTGAGGACCAGCACTGATTTGAAACGGCTTTGGTATCAACTTTGAACAATTTAGACTTCTGCTTTTCTTTGAAACATGAGCAGATAAATGTACTTAGGTCATTTACTTTGAAAGAAGGACGTATTTTCTTCTTCTGGTTTCCATAGCGATGAATACAACATGTCCGTTGCTCTGATTGGTCCTAGCGCTGTCCAGTGTGAAAGACATCTGCAGAGGATGGCTCTCCAGGCTAGCAACACGTCGCTTCAACGGCAAATCTGGATAACAAACTAGCTTAAACTTTTTCATTCCTGTTAACAACATTCTTATGTAGCATAGCTATAAACATTGTAGAGATTTTAAAAAAGGAAAGAAACTATTATAGTGCTTCTCTTGCATTTGTCGAAAAACCTGGGCTAATAACACGAAAGCAACCATTGGACCATCTGGTTGTTGGTTTGGCCGAACCGCCACACTTCCCTGGGTCCTCCACTCATCACTCACTCTCGTATTTAGCACCAGAACACCTCTGGTGTGAGAGGTTTTCCACTCAATAAAATCAGGGAAGGTGAACCAGCTGGCTGCTACCACTTCAACTTTAGGACAAAACAGAGTCCCAAGAAGAAAGACACCATTTGAAGTTACGGACAACTACAGATGTTTGGACCTATGAAACGACGACTGGTGTTTAGCGCTATCTCGTTTCCCCAACATTGCGGGTTTCCAGTTCTGGCAGAAGCGTCTCAGGGAAGATACCCAAGGGGAGGTGTGAGTGTTCCGTGACCCTGATTGCGTTCAAGACCTAGCTTGTTCTGTAGATTCATTATAACGGCTTTAATTGAGTTTTTACCCGATAGTCCACAAAAACTCTGCTTTTCTAAAACACTAATATTGTCTCTGGTTGCTTCCACACAGGCAAGGAAAAGACTTGTTGATGAACGAGTGTGTGGGTCATCTGCTGAGAACCAAGAGTTCTAAGCATTCCGATGGGGGCGTCGCCGCCGGCGTGGCCGTTCTGGACAATCCTCTGCTCGTCTGATGGCTGGAGACCGGCAGACCTCTGGAGCAAACGAGTTCTGTAAATGTCTCTGAATCAGAGGGAGATTCTTGAAAACCTGGGATCATGAATGTTTGCGTTTCTAATGAAGTCACCATCTGGTGGCATTCTGGTTTAACTGAATAAGCCAATCATCACTGTTATGGTTTTAGATGTTTGTTTGATCCGTCACCTGAAGGAAATCACAATGGAGTAGCTGTTTGAACAACTAAGTGTATAAAGGACTGGATTTCATCAGATTTCACATGGAATGTACAACCAGTAGCTATTTGATTGTTAAAGTAAAATGTTTCATTAAAAATGATCATAAGTAATGTAATATATGAAAAATGTTGTAGAATCCTGTACAATTGTGTTTTTAAAACATCATTTCTGGGGACTTTTTTGTCTCTTTCATTATGTTTCCCAATAAAAAAAACGTGAAAATTTGACTTGTTAGTCATTTGCCCCTTTAACGATACCGTTTTGTGTTGTATTCCATGTAGTTACTAGAGTATATCTAAGAAAATTACAAAATGTGTCAAACCTCTGTATCTAGTCTAGTTCTTTGAGTTTCTTTACAGAATTGTACAATTTCAGTTTCCCAAAGTAATTAAAAAAAAAACATTTTTACATAGATGATCCTCAACATGAAGCTTGTTTCTGCTGGTGATCAATGAGTCTCTTGTTTGAGGACACCAGTTTTCTAAGCATCCCATATTTCTAAAAAACCAAATAAGTTAAAAACATATATTTAAGAATGTTTGTAGCCTGGCCTGCCAGATCCGTCGTCTGCTTAATTCTGCACAGAGATCTTCCCTTAAGGAAGCATGGGGCTGGCTGGTCAGGATAGATCTTTTAGATTTCTAGTGTGACCTTCAGCAGTTAAACATTTCCAACACTAGATGGCAATAAAGCCAAAGACATTTTACTCTCCAGAATAAAATCTGTTCAGTCAGCTTTTACCTGCATTTCTAATAAACAATGTTGAAATGTGTTTCATTAATAATTATTATTAGCTTTAGCCAACTATAAATCATGTCTGAAAGTATTAACAGATTATTTTTTTCCATGCATAAAACATGAACATTTTTCTCAACTGATTGAAATATTAATTTGAGTTTTAATTATTTGTCACAGATCATGGGTAACATTTTAATTCACTATTTTTATAATCCATATATAAAATGGAGCTGCATGAGGAACACTGATGATGGTGAACGCACCTTCGTTCTCTTTGATCTTCAAAGGAAAACAAAAGATCCATCATCCGTTCACACCCTCTGAAAGAAGATGGACTGAGGTGAAGGGAAAAAAAACAGCTGAATTCTGAGGGTACATTATTTTGGAGAACCAAGGGCGTCGCGTCCTCCCAGCTGATACCATCCAGCTTTCTTTTATCTGCAGTTCAAAAGCCAACATGTGCACACGACTTGGTACCAAACGCCACTAGATTCCCATTAAGATGGTGTCTTTTTCACCAAGAAACCAGTGTTTTATAACACAACTCTGTTATAACGGAATGCAGAGTTCAAGTGAGCTGCCTGCAGATCAGAATAAAACACTAATTAAATGTTTTTACAGATATTTTGCACCAATGATCATAAAATGAAATGTTCTCATTTTAATATTTTGCACACAAGGTGTGACAGGGTGGATGAATTAGTGTTGTAGTTCAGCTACTTTTAACGACATATTTCGATTGCTAATAAAAAATCATTTGTGCATCAATAATGCAGATGTACCATTAATAAGCATAGTCTAGATATTCCTCACCGTATACTAAAGTATTTATAAACTGAGCAAACGTAACTTTTCATTTTAAAAGCTCTCAATGTTCAGATTCGTATTGGATATTAGAATTCATGAGAGATTAATCACAAGTTATTTTTTCTAACACAATGTCTAAAGCAGCAGAAATCCTCTCACTGACTCAACCTCCTGTTTTTGTTTTTCTGCTCCGGATTAGAAATCAGTGTGCTGACATGCAGGGTTGACGCGTTCTCCGAATGGTCAGGGTCATCCTGGGTCAGCCAGCAGAAACGATGGTCGCTGTCATCGAGGGCCACCAGCACCACAGAACCTCTCAAAGGAAACCCTGCAGCGTTCACAGAACAGCAGCTACAGGAAATGAAAAAATGCTGTTTTTAGAAGCCCTTGTCCTGAAAAGATGAATGAATTCGGAGTCTAAAGGGCCATCTACTGGCCAGGCACAGGTATTTCAACAAGCATCAGTGACTTTTTTTTATGTTGAAGCTAAACTATCCCATTTGCAGCTGCTGTCAGGTTGTATTTTTCAAGTTGAGCCCCACATCCAACATTCTGGATGTGGGGCTAAAAGTACCACTCACTCACTTTCACATCATAGGGAGCCTAAGTCTCCCACTTTCCGGTCAGCTCATGGGTCCCTGAATGAGGCGAAAGAGCTATTTTCTAATCCGCTTTTCCTAAGGCCTTGGATCGCATGTTGTACTTATATTTAACCCTCCCACTGTCCTAATGGATGACCCCGCGAGGAAAGTTTACCATTGAGCAGGGTTGATGGTTTATCCCTTGGGTCCATGTGGCAGGGGTGAGGTGGTGCTCACTCCTCACCCCTGCCACATGGACCCAAGGGATAAACCATCAACCCTGCTCAATGGTAAACTTTCCTCGCGGGGTCATCCATGAAGACAGTGGGAGGGTTAAATGAAAAGTAACGATGGGTGTTTCGACCACGCCAGTCACGCACTTTGAGATTTATCAGCTTATAAAAGTTCGTAATTAGCATGACTACATCGACACATCGCATATATGACATGTAGAATCTCCTCTCCTCTATCATAGCTGCTACTCACCACATGACCAGATTTGTGGAGGTTCTTTCCTCCTGAAGGAAGGATTTGAAGTTGGCTGAACTTACAGCCATTTTCCCTCAGTTTTTCTCCGTGTCTGGTTCGATGACGTCACTTTTGTGAAACGCATTTGTAGTCCTGGACTTATTTTCACACAAAACCTAAAATAGCGTATCCTCCCGTTCGAAAATAAGCAAATTTTTGGTATCATTTTTTAAAATTCACTAACATCATATGTGAAATCCATTGAACATAACAAGCATTAAAAAAATAAAAACGTAAAAAGTTGCGTTTTTAGCACCATTGACTCATGGTCCGGAAGTAGATGGGCGTGACTTAGGCTCCCTATCATGTCTCAGTCATTCGTTTTTTCGTTTTTAAATAAACTCGCTAAGCTAGCATGAATGAATCGTTTATTTTTATGTGGGTGTGGCTAACAAGCTCTGGCAATCCTGTCTAGGGGTTGTCGTTTGTCATTGAAGTGTGTGTGTGTGTGTGTGTGTGTGTGTGTGTGTGTGTGTGTGTGTGTGTGTGTGTGTGTGTGTGTGTGTGTGTGTGTGTGTGTGTGTGTGTGTGTGTATGTGTGTGTGTGTGTGTGTGTGTGTGTGTGTGTGTGTGGTGGAGGGGGGGGGGTCAAGAGGGCTACGAGCCTTGCTCATCAATGTTCATGATTTGAAAATATCTCGTCTCTGATTGGCTGACAGCAATACAATTCTTCCGCTGTCGTTGTTAGCTTTGTTTTTTGTTTGTTTGTTTGTTTTTTCAAATAGTAATAGTGATGTATTGTTTTCAGTTGTTTACTTGAAGGCATACAGATTTTTTTTCAGTAATTTTGGAAATTTTGCCTAATGAATTACCTGAAAAAGTACCGCTACCACTAGAAAAATGTCCCGATGTGCTGAGAAGTGCCAGTGCCTCATTTTGGTCGAACTAGCCCACTGGGGACAGAGAACGCAGTTTATCAGCGATCTAAAACTCTGCTTTGAATCTCTAATACCCCAAAATTCCACTATCTCCGCTGGACAGAAATCACAACCGCCCAACAGGAAAGGGAGCAAGCACAACTTCCGTTATTTCACAATAAATCGATAAACAAAAAGCGTTTTTTTTGTTTCATAAGCACAGGTTTAACAACTTTTAATAACTATCAATGGCGGTTGAACTTTAAATGCACAAAAATAAGTCATAAAAACAGTTTCTACTATAAAAGTAGTCACCCTTTGTTGATCCAAACACTGCTGATCTCTCAACACAAATGATAGGCAGATTAAACAGTTCATTTCGATGCTTCTCCCACACAACGGGTGTTCAGATCTAACTTCCGCATTTATTGCTCGGACTGTATCGCAAGATCTCGAAAATCCTGCGCATGCCTGTTTGCGGACCTCAGGTCTCCGCACCGGAGCGGAGCCGTTGTAGAGCGGGTATAGTATAATTTGAGTTCGGAAGCGAGCGGCAGTGGAAAGCGGGGGCGGAGCGGAGCGGAGATAGTGGAATTTTGGGGTAAGAAGCATAAGAAAGTTTCTTTTGGCTTTCATCTGTCCCAGGAGCCCTGATACAGGCCATTCTATGCCCCCTAACCCCAAAATTCCACTATCTCCGCTCCGCTCCGGCACGAACTCCGCAGCAAAAACGGTCCCGTTGTAGTCTATCAGAGCTGTTCCACTACCGCGGCCATGCTGCGCAGTGCGCCGCCCGCCGTTCCGCCATCCGGCAAAAATAGGATTGATTCTATTTTTGCCGGATGGCGGAGCACCCATGCTTTCGTTCTTTTTTAAACACAGAAACAGTTTTGTTTACCTGTTTGTAACTACAGTTTCGCCGACGGCTGCCGGCTTCTTCAGGCTGACGCTGATGGTGGCGCGTCACTTCCTTCTCCGTTTATCTGCAGGCAGCAGAGGACGTTGTCGCCCTCTACTGCCCGCTCTCCCCTCTCCGACGATGCAGTCCCATGCGTGGTCCAGCGTGTAAACTCCGTCGTCCCTGTTCATGGTCCCACATCCACGTCTCCTTATCTCGATTGCTTCCTTGATCCATCTTTTGTATTTTTGTTGTTCGGTGGTTATGATCCATGTGCTGTCCCAGTCCATTATATGGTTTTCTCTTAAGCAATGATCTGTTACGGCTGACTTTTTTATTGTACTTTCTGCTTCTTCTTTTGCTGCTCTTGTGTGTTTACGATTTGCCTCTTTCTCGCACTCCTTTCTGTGTTCTATTGTCCGTGTATTGAGTTGGCGTCCGGTTTCTCCTATGTATGTTTTATTGCATATTTTGCATGGGATTTCGTAGATGACTCCACATTTTTGTCCAGCTAATATTTTGTCTTTTGGGTGCACTAGTCTGTTTCTAAGTGTTGTGTATGGCTTTGTTGGTGTGTTTATGTTGTGTTTTTTCATTGTTGCTCTTATTTTTTCCGTTATGCCTCTGAGGTATGGTAGGGTTATCACTGGTTTTGGTTCTTGTCTTTCTGGGTTTCTGGTTCTTTTTTTGGGTTGTTCTTTGCTTTTTGTTTTTGTTTGTTGTTTTCCTTTGTTTATTGCCCATGTCGGGTATGCGCAGGTCTTTAAAGCGTGTTGTATGTGTTTGTCCTCTTGTTTACGGTCTCTCTCTTCTGTTAT